AAAGTTGAATTGATTTTTATTAAAAGGATAAACATATGCACGATCTTAATTGTTGAATTATTATGTTTATTCTTGTGCTACAATGGAGTACCACTCAGCGTCAATGCTGAGCGGATAGCGTTGTTTTCTTTTGCTGTCCGTAGGTGATCAGACAGATGAACCTAGAGCCGATCCCAGAGGGCATTGAGGAGGAGATGTACGATGGCGTGGCTGTCTCTTTAATATGTTGATTATGCTTTATTTAATTAACTTTAATGCTTATTACGTTTTCGGGCAAGATCCCAAGTTGTTTGGCTTTAAAAAGGCTTCCGCATTATTTTAAATTACTCCGATGGATTTTCATATGTATTGAAAGAACGTTTGTTTAAAATTGTTTTGAAAATGTCGCAAATTCGGATACCAATTCAGTAGCACACCGGTCCGCTGTCTCACGGGTTTGGGTCATGCGGGTTGGGATGTTACATTTTGGTATCGGAGCATTTGGTTTTAAAATCGGTCTTTGGACCCTTTCAAAATAAAATACAATGAATAATTCAGCCGCATCTGCATCTCTTATATACTTGGGTCAAAATCCTATTATAAAAAGAGATATATAATGAGTTGAAATGTGACATCCACCACCCATTTTCATTTTCCATTTCAATACATAGCCATTCAAAATTAATTATGCAATAAATAAGCGGAGAATCGTTCATTCAACTTCTGCCTTTTGTTTTTAAAAGGATTGGTGGTAGGAGCATCCTATTTTTCAATTTCAATTGGGGCTATGGAAAATCAAGTTGACGATACATGGACGAGATCAGCTAGAGATGGAAGAGAAAAGATAAAAAGAATACTTCAACAAAAAAAGGATAGAAAAGGTAGGTACTTTAGATATTGTTTAATCTTAATATATTTAATTTTGTTTTATTGTTTTAAGGTAATTTGATACATAACATTTTTTATTTTTTTAAAATAACAAAATCAAACGGGATATTTTAGTGACTAGAATGTTTGTATTTAAAATTTATATGGTTGCTTTTTAATGAGCATTGAAAAATTTTCTTATGTTCATATCTAAATCGTTAGTATAGATAAATTAATTATTGTTAAATAAATAAAGTTTTATACAAAATTTATAATTAGATGTCAATTTAAGAATGATTTAACAAATTCTCCATATGAAAATGAACACTCCAATAAAAGATAAAAATATGTGTACTTTTTTTAATTATAGTCATGATATTTTATCAATTATAATCTGCATTTGTAAAAAAATTAAACGTCGTTCACATGTTTCATAGAAATCATGGATAATTAAAATGTGTAATTGTTGATTTATCTAAGTATGCATATAGCTCACTAATTATTTTTTATCAATAGTTTATACATATTGAATATTTTAAATAATTGAATGGACGAATATTAACAAAGTTGAGTAAAAATATATTCATATTTATAAAATTTTAAAAAAATTCAAAACTTTGCAATAAATTTGATATGAAAAGGGTGAATATAAAAATGTGAGTACATATTTAAAAATAAAATGATATGCATGCGAGGAAAAAAATTTAGGCATTGATACGGAATGATCAATGTAAATAATTCAAAGTTCAAATATAATTTTTAAATTAGAAAATTTACTTATATCTAAATATAATTTTTTAAATTAGAAAATTTACTTATATCTTAAAAAATTTTCATTTGTAGTATTAAAAATCATGTGAGAAACATATATTTTTTATTTCGAAAAATAAATTTCATTGAAATAATTCAGAATCGACATAAATTTCTTTCGACCCCGTGCATGGCACGGGTCATAATACTAGTTTTAGAAAAAATATACTCACTTACAAAATTAATGTTTGTTTATAGTTTGATAGTCAAACAATTTTTTCATCATTTAATTTTTTTAGCCATTTATTTAAATAAAATAGTTTTCTTTATTTATTTGGAAGTCGAACATGTTTTTCATCATAAATCTTTGTTAGCCATTTATTAAAGTAAAATAGTAATATCCCCTATTTTATTAAGAAGTAATTTATGAAGTTTTTAATTCTAGAAAAAATAATTTTATTTTTTTAATATTATACTCCTCATGTCCACCATAGATCTTTCCAGACATTATTCACATGGTCAAACTTAAGTGAAATTTGCCCTAAATAGGACTAAAACATAATGACTTTCCTAATGTAAGACTTAAACTTTTTTATTTTCTAAATAGGACTTAATAATGACCTAGTACGAGGATTAATGTCCATTAACAATGGACATTTACTTGAATACTGACTACTTCTTAATGACCAAAAGTCCTACATTGAGAAATAAAAACATATGGTCATATATTGGAAAAGTCATTATGTTTTAGTTCTATTTAGGCAAATTTCTCTAAACTTAATTCACTTTATTTGTTTATTTTTACTTCTCATTTCATAAAATAATATAGTATTGTCACCTCTAGTTTTGTAGAACTTTTCATGTAGTTATTAATACATAGATTTTATACTAAAATTTTACTCCTATATTCAGAGACTGTTTGTTTTAGCCTCTTAATGGTTCAGATGTCTGAATGGTTCAGCACTTAATGGTTCAGACTGTTTGTTTCAGCCTCTTAATGGTTCAGATGTCTGGATGGTTAAGAGATTTGCCTCTGAATGGTTAAGTATTATTCAGAGCCTGAATGGTTATGAACTCTTATATGAATTGATCAGACATTTGCCTCTGAATAGTTAAGCAATATACTAGCTCTTAATGGTTCGGACTTCTTACTGGTTCAACACTTAATGGTTCAGATCTCTTACTGAATTTAAAATAAAGTCGATCAAGCTTCGTAACGCGTAATGGGATCTTAGGTGGACGGAGAGAGTATTACTTTTAAATAAATTAAATTGAAAATAAATTTCTAAAAAAATTGAAAATAAGTTAGATCAACAGTTGAATTGAAAGAAAACTTAACGAGAAGAAGACTTGAAAAATTGAAGGAAAATTATCCCTGTGTACGGAGTACAAAAATTTGTCAAAATCTCAGATCAAAGCTGTTCAAGAATCCAATTCCTTTTGAAGTCAATCACCTGAAGATCTTCAGGCGTCGAAATTTAGCGGTGAGCGTTTCATCTCCGAGAATCATATTTGCTTTTAGTTTTATCCCCCATATTCACACCTTTAGATAGATCTAAACAGTTCCACTCCGTTTAATATCTGATTCTACTTTGTTCGTTTAAGATCCGAACCGGATTGAATTCAGAAACCGTTGTAGTTCTTCATTTCGTTGAATGCTTGATAAAGTATAATGAAATTCTGAGGTAGCTATGTCTTCTCTGGATTTAATTGAAAGCTATTTATCACAATGGTACTGGATTTTTCTTGTTATTGCTATATTATGGAGGAGTTAGCTCATTTGTGTTTATATTTCTCAGGGTTTGAGTCCAGTTTGTTTATTAGTGCTGATATATGCAACTAGAACCCATTTATTTCATATGCAGTGCTCTGAAAGTTGCAGTTTGTAGTTTGTAGAACCCATTTATTTCATATGCAGTGCTCTGAAAGTTGCAGTTTGTAGTTTGTAGAACTTTGAGCACTTATAAGCCATGGTAAAAGACACTGTATACTATGATATCTTGGGGGTCAGCATAGATGCCACTCCTGCAGACATCAAGAAAGCTTACTACATCAAGGTAAAAACTAAATGGCATTTCATTTCTTCTTCATTTTAAAAAATGATTTCTCTGCATTCAATGGTTTTCATTCTTGTGCATTAAATTGTGTTTAATTGTTTCTACTACTAGGCAAGGGTAGTGCACCCAGATAAAAACCATGGGGATCCGCAAGCTGCTCAAAAGTTTCAGGTGAATCGTCTATGTTAAATGAACTATTCAAGTATCTCTCTAAGCTAGTTTTCCTTGGTTGAATATCGGTCTTGGTGTCCAATCCTTTGAAGTGCATTGGGCTTCATGTGGCTCTCAGTGTACTGAGATTTCACACTCACTGCACTTCCTTGTTATTTCCTTTCAAACCCGTGAGCGGGCACTTCCTTAGTATATTTGTAAAATATTTTACATTTACTTCCACTGCGGTCTTTTCATTATTTAAGGTGCTTGGAGAGGCATATCAGGTCCTGAGTGATCCAAACAAGCGTGAAACCTATGACAAATATGGGAAAGAGGGAGTTCAACAGTAAGTACTATAGGAGTGTACTAAATCTTCGTTTCTTTTTTAGGAAAAATATTTAGATGGAAAATGTTTTCTGATTTTTTAAATTTTTCTTGTGTCTGGCTCAGGAAAACATTATCCACAAAAAATCCTAGTCATACACTTAAGCACTAATAGAACAACATAATTTTCACAGAAAGCATTTTCCACGAAAACATTATTCACTGAAAGCTTTTTCTACGATAAGTAATTTTTCATGAAAGTGATGAAACAGATGGAGCTTACGGGTATCATTATGTGTCAGCCGCAAATTCCTTGTGGACTGATTTTATTTTTTATTTTTTTGGGTACTCTTATTAGGGACACAATGGTTGACCCTGCAGCAGTTTTTGGAATGCTATTTGGGAGTGATATCTTTGAAGATTATGTAGGGCAACTTTTATTGGCTTCTTTGTCAGTTGTTGAAGTTGAAGAGGAATCTACTACTCCTGAAATTCGTAATAAGAATGTTCAGGAAAAATTAAAGGTGTGAACTACTTCAGCTTTAATCCATGGAAGGTTACATTACTCGTTATGTACACTTAATGATACTCTCAACGCTCTTGTAGTACAGGCTTTACAGAAGGAAAGAGAAGAGAAGCTTGTAGCAAACTTGAAGAATCATCTTCAACCATATGTCGAAGGTCGTGACGACGAATTTTTAAGTTGGACCAAATCAGAAGCAAGCCGTCTTTCAGAAGCTGGTATTCTGACACCTATGTTCTCTATAATGCATAACCTGAACATGGTTCCCAAGTGATTTTTGTTGTCTAAAGTAATCGCTCTGCAGTTTAAAGAACCTTAGACTGTTGGAGTGTTTTGAAATTTTGAAAATTAATTTGATTTTGATCCATTGGTTAGCTGTTAACTTACAAGTACTGGCCAACCCACCAACTTGGTCAGGATGTGTTCCAATGTTAATTTTCTACTTTTGCTCTGTGAGTGCTGTTTTAATCTAGTTACATTGTATTACCTTCCACAGAAGAAAACTATTTGCTTTGCCCAAAGCGTAAAGCATGGTCAAAATAAGTTTTTAGGTTAGTTATGCCTTTGACCATGATCATTTAGATTCATTAAACTCATGCCTTCTGACTAAGAGATTTCATTTCACCCATACTCAACTGTCCTCTCTCCACCCTAAACTATTTCCAAATTCTGGGAAATTCATCTTTCTGATGTAAAGTTAACCAGATCATGGCTTGTTGGGTTCTAGATTTTTTTTGTTTGTAGAGATTAGTTTCATTTCTAATATAAAAGTCAAAAGATATCAAGTAGGATTCTTTCTTCATTTCTATTTTATACAACAGGAAGTAGATTTTAGGACGGCCAAACTTCATCATATTTGAAATTGAAAACAGCTCATTAGAATTTTAATTACCATATAGTTTTGTATGATGCTTCTTGGGCTTTTACCAAAAAAAAACATCGGTTTAGTTTATTGGTTGTTAATTACTCCGAAAAGCTATCTGTTTGTAAAAAGCTTCACATTATAATTAAAAAAGAGTTTTTTTCTTCCTTTACTTTTAAGAAGCTCAAAACTGAGCTATATATGGAAATTTTGTTTCTTTTCCCACACGTGTTTCCTCAAGAACAAAAAAAAGAGAAAAACTATCATTTTGTTTTTGATAAGTGACTTTTTAAAGCCGAATAGGCACTTTTTCCTTCATTAAAAATCACAACAGGCACACTGCAGTACTCTACTCAGCTTCAACTGCCTCCCTGTTTCAAGTTTGTCCGGTTCATTCTCATATATCACTATGACTGTTACTATATGTATAGGAGCACTTACATTTTTCCCGTTCCAGCATTTGGGGAGGCTATGCTTCATACAATTGGTTATATCTACACAAGGCAAGCTGCTAAAGAAATTGGGAAGGACATACGTTTCATGAAGATGCCGTTTTTAGCTGAATGGGTACGAGATAAAGGTCACCGCATAAAGTCCCAAGTTGGTGCTGCTTCAGGTGAGAATAGCTAATTACAACAACAACAACAACAACAACCCAGTTGAATCCCACTACAGTAGGGTCTTGGGAGGGTGTGTGTACGCAGACCTTGCCCCTATTTGAAAGTAGGGAGGCTGTTTCCAAGAGACCCCCGGCTCAACCTGCACAAAAAAATATGGTAGAGAACACAATATAACAGGATAACAAGATATAACAGGATATAACTGGATAAAGCACCAAGTACAATGAAATGAAAGTCCAGCAAGCAAAAGTAGAAGATACCAAACAAACACAACACACTACAAAAACCTCTACAGCACCGAGCTCCTAACCATCTACTCTAATCCTAGTCCTCCAAAGGTTCCTATCTAAGGCCATATCCTCAGTCAGGGTGAGAAGTCCTAAATCCTGCCTAATCACCTCCTTCCAATTCCTCCTAGGTCTACCCCTTCCCCTACTTCCCCCGATAACCGTGATCCTCTCGCACCTCCGCACAGGAGCATCAACATCTCGCCGCCTCACATGCCCAAACCATCTCAACCTCGCTTCCCGCAACTTATCCTCCACCGGCGCCATGCCTACCTGACGTCGGATAACTTCGTTCGAAATCCTATCCAACCTTGTCTTGAGAATAGCTAATTAATGATTTGCAAAACCATGTCAAAGCGCAAAGTACCGTGACGAGTAACATATTTTCTTTCGTTGCCTACACTAAAAATTTACAGGTGCCATCTCTTTGCTTCAAATACAAGAGGAGATGAAGAGGTCGGCTGGGGGAGAGAGTAATGAAGAAAGTGTGATCAAGGCTCTGGAGGAGAAGAAAGATGTGATGCTTAATTCCCTGTGGCAGATTAATGTTGTTGATATTGAAACTACCTTGTCCCACGTTTGTCAAGCAGTACGCACATATTTATTTTTTACTTTCCTGATTTGGCATTTCATGAGCAAGCTTTTTTATTGGGCTGATTAAAGATACCGCCTTTTCGCAGAAATTTGAGCCATATTGCTGAAAAAATGTGTGTTTCCTTCTTAAAACCTTCGACCAGGTCCTTAGAGATTCGAGTGCTACAAAGGATGTTCTCAAGATGCGCGCCAAGGCAATGAAGAAGTTGGGAACAATTTTTCAAGTGAGTGTGGTTGATCTTCCTTGCAAATATCACTTGTATTTCTTTTGTGAAAAGTTTTAATTCATCATATTCTCCTCAAGTTGTAGTAATTATTTGGCATACTATTTATTCCTCAGGGTGCAAAGGCAAATTATTCAAGAGAAAGCAGCTTGCGCCATGAAAGCATCAAAATCGTCCTAGATGGCCGAGGTGGCTCATCATCGACGAAGTGAGCTAAGGGTAATCTTCTTTCAATTCATATCGTGTTAATATTTGGTTGTGGGCTAATGGCACATGCGAGCTTGGTGCACATAGCTTTTTAAATGGTTCATATATTGTTTTGTATGCACAACGCGACATGCATGCGCACGTACCATTGGTGGTGATTCATTGTTTTTTCGCGATGTAGCCGTGGTCTATATGTGTATGTGTGTGGTCTATATATATGCTTGTTTGTGTCTGTATAATTTGCAATGAAGAATTGGCACCTTTGTAATTTTGATCTTTTATGGGATTTCTTGCCTATGTATTTGCATGCACGACTCCTCTAAACTGATTTTTGTTTTGTTGCGAAGCCCCATTTCCAATACCCCTTTTTTCATTTTGTGACCGGTCCGGTCCGGGTTTAATATCATCCATCTTTCTACCGTGGTCTAATTGGTCAAAATCTTGTGTGCCACTTTCTATGTGACTCAAATGTTAAAATTTCGATGAATCGAGTAAATTGGGAGTGTATTGGGTGAGATTTGAACACTTACCCATATAAAATTTGGATCCACTTTTTATTCAAAAGTTTAAGTTAATGCGTAGAGCGATTCAACTTTCTTTATATTAGAGTATTATATTTTTTTTGTTTTACCGGTTTCGAACATGAAACGATTTAATTGCTTTTTTCAGTTCGATTTACAAGGTTTGATTGAAATTTTTTTCAATTCAGCTTATTTCATTATTGGTGTAAAATTAAAAAATAAAAAATAGATATTTTAAAACTATTTCAAACGTTATAGAAAGTAAAAAGTGACATGATTTTATTATTTTATTAAATAATTAACGAAAATAGGTAAAGAAAGTGATTAACATTTGATCATGTGAGAAGTGACTTTGAAGATCATTTTAAAACGGAGAGAATATTTGACTTTTTTCATTTAGAAAACCAAAATTGAATGATTGAAATACTCTGTATGAAAGTAGTGCTAAGGAAAAAAAAATTTATTTATCACAAAAACTTATCTAGAAGTTGAAAATGAAACTTTTTTCAGGACTAATGAAAAAGAAAATATGTTATCCTTTTATGATATAGAGTGAATACTAAAACTAGAGGTGGGCAATAACTTTTTTTGGACATTATTTTAAAGTTAAGATATACGGAGTATGTACGTGTTTTAAAAGATTTTAGGGAATTTCTCTGGCCCTTTGCTAATGAAGGAGCATGGATGCTCTCCCACTAAATTGCTTCCATATGGACTTTTTAGCCACATCATTTTAACTTTTAAAATTGCATATTGGCTCTATCTCTTTATCCGTATTTAATTTAATTTATCTACACATGCTAATGTCATTTTAAAATATTGTTTTTAAATTGAATCAATCATTCCGTTCCAAAAAAAGTTTTAAATCGATTTTTTAGGATCAAAATTAAAAACTGACCATGAAATTTTAAAAACAATATGTTGAATAATAATATAAATTTAAATTATTTGATTTGTCTTTAATTATAATTTTGAAATATCATATTTTTTTATAAAATTTATTAATTATACACACACACACACACACATGCATATTAATGGTTAAAGTGTCACATAGAAGACTTAATAGTTTAAAAAGTGTTATCTCACTAATTGAACAACAAAAATCGGTGTTTGAATAATGGCTTTTTCACTTGGCAGTGTGATCTGAAAAGTCAAAATTCGGAAAGCCAAAGAGAATATCTTTTGGACTTGGCTGTTAGAAAAACTAATTTTTTAAAATTAGTTTTCTTGAAAGATATTTCAATATTATATGTAAAAAGATTAAAGTAAAAAAAATTAAAATTTAAAAATTGAAAAATCAAAATAAATCTGATGACAAAATCAAAAGAAAAAAAATTATTAAAACTTTATATACTCCCTCTATCCGGAAATTTTCTTCTCATTTGACTTGTCACGATTTCCAATGCTACATTTTGACCATTAATAACTATATTTATACATAGGTATATTTTATAAAATTTTGATATTTCAAAATTATGATTCATTAGAAATATATTGATATTAAATTTAGAGTAAATTTCATAATTAGTCCTTTATAAAAGGGGAGTTTCCATAATTAGTCCTCTATTATCAAATACTACCCTAGTGGTCTTTTTTTATGAGTATCTTTTCACAAATAGTCCTTTTTTTATCTTCTATCATGTTGCTGTTAATTTGAGGGCTAAAAGTGTAATTTCACAATGATAATATATCTTTTTTATCATACACAATTCTAAAGGCTGTTCCGTTTGAGTCGTTTGTGAGTTATACTCGCTTTCTACTACAACCATAGTCTACAAATATGGTCTTTCATTGGAATCCTAGCCCACAATCATAGTCATTATTTTTGTGTTATCCGCTTAACCAATATCAGAGCACGTCACTGGACATAATGTTGATGTCAAATTATACTTTTAGCCTTTAAATTAACACCGACATGGCAGAAGATAAAAAAGGACTATTTGTGGAAAGACGCCCTTAAAAAAAGGACTACGGAAGTAATATATGATAACAGAGGACTAAATATGGAAATATCCCTGTTATAAAGGACCAATTATGGAATTTACTCTTAAATTTATATCATAATATAATATATATTTTCCACAAATTAGAGTCAAAGTTTAAAAAATTTGACTAATAAAAGTCGAATGTGAAGAACATTTTCGGACGGAGGGAGTACTCTTAATTTTTATATGAATTATATGAAAGTGAAATTTAGTACTTCACACACACACACACACACATATATATACATATATATATATACATACATACATACATACATACATATATATATATATATATATATATATATATATATATATATAACTAATTAATAAATTTTATAACAAAATATGATATTTCAAAATTATACTTAAAGACAAATCAAATACTCTCTCTGTCCCTAAATATTTGCCACATTTGTATTCCCTAGGCAAAATATCAAGTTTTTTCAATTCATTTTATTTACATATTGGTATAGAAATAAAAAATAAAATTTACATATCAAAAAACTAAATGAAAAAGTTCTTCGAAATAAGAGGTATCAAGAATATTTTATTTTATCAAATAATCAATGAAAACGTAGAAATAAACAAAAGTTCCCGTGACTGCTGAAAAAGTAAACGTTGCAAATAATTTGGAACGGATGGAGTAGTTTAAATTTATATTATTATTCAACATATTGTGTTTTAAATTTCATGGCCAAAGTTTTTAATTTCGATCCTAAAAAATCAAATTAAAATCTTTTTTTAGAACGGAATTATTGATTCAATTTAAGAACAATATTTTTAAATGACATTAGCATGTATAGATGAGTTAAATTAAATAAGGATAAAGAGACAAGACCATTATGTAATTTTAGAAGTTAAAATGATATGACTAAAAAGTAGAAGCAAAATGTGAGTGTAGCATTAAATATTAAAAAATATTTTTAATTTTTCTTTCATCGATTATATTATTATTGTCAATCATTTATCGTCTTTTTTTTTGTAAAGTTATACTACAAGGCTCCGAAAATGATTAGATAAATAATCCAGGTGTCTGCTTTTGCATATGTATCGATCTGTCGTGGCAAGCCATTGCATTTCCCAAATGCCACGTGTGATGATCATGGTGCTTATCTACTCGCTCCTTGTCGCACATGCAAAGAAAGTTATTACTATCATAATAATAATAAATTAATAATAATAATAACAATTAAATAATATCAAAGGGGCACATAAATAAGAGTATAAAACTATAAATAACCAACCCTCTTCTTGGCCAAATAATAATTCCAACTATACCAAATAAGAGTACAAGTTTACAATGGCGCATCTATACGACGAGCGCGGGAATCAGCTTCAGCTCACCGACGAGCACGGCAACCCCGTGACCCTCACGGACGAACACGGCCGCCCCATGCACCTCACCGGCGTTGCCACCACTGTTGACCCCACCAACGTCGACGTGGTAACTGACACCACGTTTGGTGGAGGCGGTGCTCCAACAACTGGTGGCGCCGCCATCTTGGTCGATCAATATCCGGAAGCGCTCTTATTTGAGCCGCCACCGCCGCTGCAGTCACACCAACACCAGCAAGTTCTTCACCGCTCTGGCACTTCTTCAAGCTCTAGCTCGGTAATTATTCTATAATTAAGATGGCGGACTCTTATAGAATAAAGTAAACTTCAAGTAAACCAAAAAAGATAAATAAATAAATTAAAGTATTTCAAAAGTTAGGGATGGAGGAATCTTTGTCCCAACAGCTTTTCTCTTTTTTTTTTTCTTGTCCCACAAAATTATTCTCTTTTCTATTAAAAATAATTTTTACATCTATTAATTCTCAACCAAATATCACATTATATTTTTTTCTAATAATCTATCTATCACATTCTACTTTTATTTATCACATCAAGGATATTTTTGGAAAATCAGCATAAAAATATCATCCCTTAAATTTCCTAAACCTCAAAATTGAAACATTTTTATGGGACGAAAAAAGTACTATAAATATTTTTTTCTTTTGTTTGGGAATACATTTTTTTAACTCGGGCCACATATTTTTTCTTATTGGAGGCAAACGTGTACTAGTTTTAAAAAAATATTTATACTACTCTCTCTGTCTCAAAAAGTCTTTCTTCTTTGAAAAAATGTGCATCTTTAAAAAGAGTAATTTTGGTGTTATTTTTTTGCTTTTACTTTATAATAGGGTAGGATAATAACACTAAAATTACTCATTTTAAAGACACATCTTATGTTAAAAAGGAAGGATTTTATGGGAGGAAGAGATATATATTTAGAAAAAGGAGATTGACCAGGGGCCGTCCCCGATATCAATAGCATATGGATCGGTTAAGTTTGAAAAATGCTAGGGTACACCGAAGGTGTACCCCATTTGTCCCTCACCCCTTCCATTATCACAAAAATGAGCAAGAAATTAAAACAAAATTAAATAAATAAAAATGGGGTTAAAATGAGTGGTAGAGAAATGGGTGGGGGACAAATGGGGTACACCTTTGGTGTACCCCTAGCATGGCTCGTTAAGTTTTAGTACTACTATTTAGTGCAAATATTTTATTTGTTTATTTATCAAATGACAAATAAAAATACACAAATAAATAGAAATATTCAAATATTAAGAGATTAAATCATTTGAGAATGGAAGACCATATTATACTCCCACCGTCCCAAAAAGTTTGTTACGTTTAAAAAAAACTGTGTCCTGTAAAGTCTGTTACATTTCTATTAAAAAACTACTTTTACCCTTTATTTTTTCAAACCATATCTATAACATCATACCTTTTTTCTAATAATCTACTCATCACATCCTACTTTTACCCATCACATCAAGAGTATTTTTGGAAAGTCAATACCAAAATATTCCTCTCTTAATTTCCCAAAAAGTCAAACCGTCCCATTCTTTTTGGGAGGGAGGGTGTTTGGAAGTGATTAACTTATGGATAAAGTGATTTCCACAAAAGCTAAAAGCAAAAACACCTCATACCTGCTTCTCTGAAACGATGTTTTATGTACAAAATAGTGGTTGTGAAAAGCAAAAGTTGACATGCCAAACAGAGTAAAATCACTTATACTCAAAGCAGAAGCTAAAGAATCCTTTTATTACGTTAAAGAATCGTTTTGAAATAAATTGCGGAGTAATTGAGAGGGAGAAATTAATTAATTAAATAAATATATGGTGAATTGGTAATGTTTAGCAGTCAGAAGAAGAAGACGCGCAAGGGGGGAGAAGAAGAAGAAAGAAGAAAGGACTGACCGAGAAGATCAAAGAGAAGCTGCTGCCCGCCGGGAATAAGCATAATAAAAATATTGATGAGGATGATGATCAAAAAATGCAGGCGCCGGCCAGTCTTTACCCGCAGGGGGCGGCCGCCGCCACCACGGTGAGCCACAGCAGCGCACCCCTTGCCGGCGATCATCATCATCCCGAGAAGAAGAGTGTGATTGAGAGGATCAAAGAGAAACTACCTGGGACCCATCACTGATATATATATATATATATATATATATATAGACACACAGATTATATGTTACCTAATTATTACGGAGTAAAATGTAATAGTAGTGTGTCCGTCCTTTTGTTGTTACTTTTTCTTGTTGTTGCTTTTTGTGCGTGGCTATATATATATATATATATATATATATATATATATATATATATATATATATATATATATATATATATATATATATATATGTAAGTCTAAAATGACACCAGTGCACCAGTGTTACTGGTGTCATTTGCTTACACCAGTTCGTTTGGGTACTTACATTGCTCAGTTTGTAAAAACGATGATTCCTACCCCCTAACCCTCCTCCTAAACCCCCCACCTCAGTCCCACCCTTGCCCCCACCCCAGCCCTCCTCCTGCCCCCCTTCCTACCCTGGGAGTACATGCTTGGCAGTATATATATCATGTTGTTTTATTTGATGATGCAAAAGTTGTTTATTGGGTTTGTACTATGCACTATGTAGTGTAGTGAAATTATGTGCCTAGTTATTACTCTCTTCATTTTTTAGAAACCTTTTATTTTAATTTTTTTCTCTTTTTTTCCAAAATAATTTCATTCCTTTTATTAAAATACTTTCGCTTTGATTTTCTCTTTCTCCAAAAATACTTTTACTTCTACTTTTATTATACTTTTTCAATAATAAGGTCCTAATCACATCTTATTTAACCATCACATCAATGGTAAAATTAGAAAATTATTTATAAATATACACTTCTTAATTTACTTAAAATAGGAATTCTTTTAAAAAACGCAGGGAGTATCTTCGGTTTTAAATTAAAATTTTCATTCTTATACCTAGCTTTTAAAGAAAAAGAAAGCGATCATTTGGATGTGACTTTTATAAAGGAGGGAGATAATTAATCTTAAAGGAAGATTTAAGAGGAGTGTATTTTGGTATTGAATTTCCAAAAATATTCTTTGATATGATGGGTAAAAGTATGATTTGATGAATAGATTATTAGTAACAGTATGATTCGATGTGATATGTAGGGTAGGAAAAAGTAAGGGGTAAAAGTGACTTTTTAATAGAAATGAAAAATGTTTTTTTTGGGACGGATGAAAAAAGAAAGGAGAAAGATTTTCTGGGACGGAGAGAGTATTAAAGATACATTTATTGTGTAATTTCTATTTCAATGCTATAAAAAATGGCTTTTTTGTGGAAAAAAATTCTTTGTTGTGGTATTAGTATGAAGTCACTTGCCATTATATTTTTCAAGGAAGTACTACTCTTTATGTAAGATATACTCCCTCCGTCCCATAGAGTGTTACCCATTTTGACTAAAGTTGAAATTAAGGAAAAGATAATTTTGTGTTGACTTTCCAAAAATACCCTTAATGTGATGAGTAAAAGTAAGATGTGATGTGTAGATTATTAGGAAAAAAGGATGATGTGATAGGTAGAGTTTGAAATAGTAAGGGGTAAAAGTGGTTTTTCAATACAAATAGGTAAGGGATTATGAGACGCAATTTTTTTGAAACGTGTAAATCTTTTTGGGACGGAGGGAGTAAGATTATTCTCAATTTTTACAATAAAAACAAGCAGAATTGGTCTATGTTGGGATGCACCCCATTCCGATTCGAAACCGATATCGGAATCGAAATCGGTATCGGTGTTTCCGGAATCGGAACTAGAATCATTAGGTACCGGAACTGTACGGAACTATAGGAAAAGGTTCTGGTTCTTCATTTTTGGAATCAAAATTAGAACTAGTTTTATTTTTGTGTTTTTATCTCTTTGATGCTTATTTTTAAATTGTTTGAGGTTAATTCATAATATTTACTAACAAGAAAAAGAGTTTGGATTCAGTTATGCACGAAGTATTTTTTTTGCTAAAACTTTAACAAAAGTAATTGGAACCGGAACCGCCCCTACACTGTTCCCGGGCCGATTCGATTTCTCTAAAATGAGTACCAAACCGAAATCGTAACGTACCATGTATTTTAGATATACCTAAAATAATACTCCCTCCGTTGCATTTTCTAACGCTTGTTTCGGTTTACGATGTTTGACTGAAATTATTTTCAAATCATTTTATATGACAAATGGTATATAGTTGAAAAATAAAAATTACATATTAAAATATTACATCAAAAGATCTACAAAATTAGTAGTGATAATAGTACTTTATTTTATCAAATTGCTAACGAAAATAGAGAAAGAAAGTGAATGAAGTTTGATCCTGTGAATAGTGAACATGCATTATACTCCGGGATAAATTGGGACGGAGGGAGTAATTGATAATATTTAAAATTATCTATGTGTAGAGAAAACGTGTATGTGAAATTAGTTAACCTATTTTTTAAAATACTCCCTCCATTCAAAAATTGTTTTCACATTGCGTGTTACGATGTTTGACTAAAATTATTTTCAAATTATTTTATATGCAAGGAGTGTAAAATTTAAAAATAAAAATTATATATTAAAAAACGATATCAAAAGATCTATAAAACTGAAGATGATATTACTACATTCTTTTATCAAATGAGTAACGAAAATAGGCCAACAGATTGAATACAGTTTGACTCTGTGAATATTGAGCAAGAAGATAATTTTCTGGAAAAGAAGTAACTCATATTCCATTTGTCCACAAATAAACTCCACGTTGCGCGTTGCGATGTTTGACTGAAGTTATTTTCAAACCATTTTATATGAAAAATGGTGTAAAGTTTAGAAATTAAAATTACAAATTAAAAAACTATATCAAAAGATCTACAAAACTAGAGGTGACATGACTATATTATTTTATCAAATGAGTAACGAAAATATGCCAACAAAGTGAATAAAAATTGACATGTGAATAGTGAACAGAAAATTTATTTTGGACAGAGGGAGTATGTATATTTGAATTAATTTTTAGCATCAATAATTTAAAGAGAAGAAACAATCTTCCATTTTATTGATGTAGCTAGGCAAATTTAAGTACTAATTTTTTTAAATAAAAAATAAAAAAAAGTTATATGTGTGAAGATCTATAAAAATAATATACATCTAAAGTACAGCTAAGAAACACTCTATTGGTAATAATCATACACAATTAAATAATTATTACGGAGTAATTTTTTTATAAATATACGGAGTAATTCATACTGCATTTTTTCTTTTTCCCATCTCTTCATCATTTTTTTCCAGCCAAAGAGCTTCCTCGTTCGCGACTGCCTAATCAGAACCCTATGCAGCCGCAAATGCTCCGTGCATTGCACGCTCTCTCTCTACCGCCACCCAGTTCCGCTGCCATACTCCCCTCACCGCCTTCATGCGGCGGTTCCTCCGTCGCGTCCTGCCGCTATAGTTGTCGCAGGAAACTCTCGCCTTCCATTTCCTTCTCTTATAGACCCCTCAATCTCTCCACAATTTCCGGTGGAGTTAAACCGATGACTTTAAACTCCGTCGCGCCTTCCGGTGATACCAGAACCGCAGATTCGGAACTATCTCCCGACGAGCTCGATCGATTTGTCCGCGTGGGAAACAAGATGGCCGACGCTGCCGGAGATGTCATTCGCAATTACTTCCGGAAGAGCTTCGACATCCTTGACAAAGAGGATTTGAGTGAGATTGTGTTCCCAATTATTGTACAATGAGTTCTTCTTTATTACTTATGATGGAACTTTTGGGCGATGAGTATAAAGCTGTGATTCAGGTCCTGTTACTATTGCTGATCGAGCTGCCGAAGAAGCAATGGTGAAAATAATTCAGGAGAATTTCCCTTCTCACGCAATGTGCGTTTAGAAATGGTTTACATTTTAGTCTGTTAACTTTCTCTGTTAATAATCAATGTGATGAACTCATGAGAGCAATGCTAATTACAGCTATGGCGAGGAGAGTGGATGGAAATGTAAAGAGGAGGTGGCCGATTTTGTTTGGGTTTTAGATCCAATAGATGGGACGAAGAGTTTTATTACTGGTATTTGCTTTCTTTTTTCTTCATTTGAACCTTCAAAGATGAATGATTTACTGAACTAGTTGTGATTTTATTTTATCTATTGCGCCCAGGGAAGCCTGTTTTTGGAACTCTCATAGCTCTGTTGCACAGAGGTAAACCGGTATGAGTAAGAATACTGTGATTCAACTTTGAAAACAATTCATGACACTTTAATTGCAATGACAACTGGCCGATATCAGAAACCTCAAACAAGTTTTGTCTAAGTATTTTGTTTCTATAATACAACTATGAAATCAGTTTAGGCTGTTAAAATTAATATGTATTCCCATTGTTATGTACTAACTAGTATATATGGTTGCATAATATTTGCTTTCCGTGTATCATTTGCAAGATTCTTGGCATAATTGATCAGCCTGTCTTAAGAGAAAGGTGGATTGGAATAAGTGGGAGGTGTACTACTTTGAATGGGCAAGAAGTTTGTGTGCGAAGTTGTGAAAATCTTTCCCAAGCCTACCTGTATGTTTCTTTAGTGGGAGAATTGAATATGCCATATAAGAATTGTATTATGTACTCCGTACTAGATTTATAATGAAGCTGGAATTTCCATCTCTCCCTTTCTCATTTACCTCTTGATCTCCTTTTCGTTCCAGGTATTCAACCAGCCCACATCTGTTTTATGGAGAGGCTGAGGTTGCCTTTGCTCGGCTTACAAGTAAGGCATGTCTGCATTTTTTTTCCTTTTGACAAAAAGGTTATGAGGTCTTTTTGTGAACCACAGTTCTTTTTGTGAACCACTGTTATGTGGAGAAAGGAAAACCATAGAGGCTGGAAAGAAGAATATAACAGCTTCACTTTATTCATATTCTTTTCATTCGAAATGTAACAATTTTGAATCAAACGCACACTATGCAGGTGAAAGTGCCACTCTACGGATGTGATTGCTATGCCTATGCACTTCTGGCCTCTGGTTTCGTGGATCTTGTGATCGATTATGGAGTGAAGGTAACACTATCCAATATCAAAAGTCTTTGAGTGTGATTGATATGTGACCATTCCATAATTACTCTAGTTGTTAGTTCCATAATTACCTTAAATTGCGATGATTCTTAACTGCTGAAGTTTATAGCTCCTTTCGATTATACTCATTCTATGATTTTTGTTTTTAGTCGGACCAGTGAGGATCAAAATATTGACATGCACTAATGAGGTTGTGAAATGTTCTTACAGCCATATGATTTCTTGGCACTGATACCAGTGATAGAAGGTGCTGGCGGAGTTATCACAGACTGGGAAGGTCGCCAACTTAATTGGGAGGCGTCCTTGGGATCACCCGCCACAAGTATGCCTACCCCCCTCTCGCTTCTTATATTACTACGTAATATAACACGTTGTGTACTAATGGTTGCTGCTTCTTGGTATTCTCATCAGGCTTCAACATGTTGGCAGCTGGTGACGACCGAGTTCATCAACAAGCACTGGACTCCCTTCAATGGCACTGAATAGTAGATGAGACTTCACATTTATGATTCAGCTAATAAATTTATTTATTGCTTAAGAATTGAGACCGCCTGCCTGCTCTTTTTTGGGACCTTCCATTTGTATTTGCATTTTTTAAAAAAAATTACGTGTGTTTCTTCTTATAATCAATCAATTTGATTCATATAATTAGTGGCAAATGGTTTTCTCTCTTTTGAAACGTTAAAATTGTTTGCTAACTGCCATCTCTCTTTCTCTTTTTTGTAACAAAAATAAATATTTTATTATAATCAGGATGGTATGAAGAGCAGAATTATGGAATATATGAACGGGAATCTCTCCCTCCCAACAAAAGTGGCATGGAATTCCAAAGCTCTGGCAATCATTCATCAATGGCATCCATCCTAAAGAAAGAGGTTTTAAACCCTCTTTTCTGCGTCTTCTTCCTTTCAAAATCGTCCTAAATTCTTGGAGGGGAGATGGAAAAGGGTATTCCATCATTGCCTGCATGCATATTCTGATTGATGGCTACCCTTGAGGTTCTGTTATTCCTCCTCCTGGTTTCCGTTGCCAATGCACAACCCGCTGCAGTCCCTGCCGTCTCTTCTTCTTCGCCTTCTTCTTCGTCTTATATCGAACCTTTCGTGAGTTTCGCCCCTGAAGACAACTTTCTCATCGATTGCGGCTCCAATTCCTCCTCCACCCTCCCCGGAAACAGAACCTTCCAGCCTGACAATTCCACCACGGAATACCTCTCCTACGCCGGGAAAATCGTCCAGCTTTCCCTCCCGTCGTCCCCCCACAATGTCTCTCCCATCCACCGCACCGCGAGGGTTTTTGCCAAAGACGCCACCTACACGTTCCCCGTCACCTCCCCCGGCTGGCATTGGATCCGCCTCCATTTCCACGCCCTCAACACGACCTCGTACAACCTCGGGGCAGCGAGGTTCTCGGTGGAGACAGATCGTCTCGTCCTCCTCCACCAATTTCAGCTCCCGAAGAACAACGCCAGCACGGTTGTGAAGGAGTTTTTGGTAAATGTGACAACCGAGCGTTACTCGTTGACATTCAAGCCCAAGGGCAATGTGGCTTTCATTAATGCGATAGAGTTCATTTCCGCCCCAGAGGAGCTGATCAAGGACAGCGCCACCCTTCTCTTCCCCGTCTCACAGCCTTATGAGCTTTCAGGAGACAGCTTTGAGACAGTTTACAGGCTCAATATGGGTGGCCCTATGCTTGAACGACAGAATGATACATTGGGAAGAAAATGGGAGCCTGATCACGGTTATCTTGAGCCCAAGGAAATGGGTAAGGTTTCTTCGGTCTCTGCTGTGGCCATCTCTTACCCCACCGGAAGTGGCGGTGGTGGCGGATCGCCGCTGATTGCTCCGCCATTGGTTTATTCATCTGCGGAGGAGCTTGGAGACTCCAAAGTCGTGCAGCCGAATTTCAACATCACCTGGAAATTGGACGTCAACGTCCATTTCTCCTACCTGGTTCGCCTCCATTTCTGCGACATCGTGAGCAAGTCTCTCAACGAACTGTACTTCAATGTGTATATCAATGACAATGTGGCCATCTCCGGTTTGGATCTGTCGGCGTTGACGGGAAAGCTTGCCACGGCTTTCTACAAAGACATCGTGGTGAATTCCTCCATGGTCTCTACTCCGCTTCAAATCAAAGTGTCTCCGGTCGACGATGCCCAGGGGATAAGAAACGCCATCCTCAATGGTCTCGAGGTGTTCAAGCTGAACAATTCAGTGGGGAGCTTGGGCGGAGAGTACGGCGTGGACGGACGGAGAGTGGGGGACGAGGCAGACGGCGTCAGCGGCCATCAAACCGCCGCGACCGTCGGAATCGCGGTGATGTTCGGCGCGTTTGTAGGGTTAGGAGCCGTCGCCGTGAAATTGCGAAAGAGGCCGCGCGATTTGGGGACGAAGAGCAGCTTCTCGTCGTGGTTGCTTCCCCTTCACAACGCCGGAGACTCGAATCCCGTGACCAACAACAACAAGCCTCCTGCCCCAAAAATTTCCACTGTCACCGAATTCGGTAGATACTTCTCCCTCGCGAAATTGCAGGAAGCAACGAGCAATTGGGAGTCGAGTAAGATAATCGGAATTGGAGGCTTCGGCAACGTGTATTTAGGAGAAATCGATGGCGGAATCAAAGTGGCCGTGAAACGGGGGAGTCCGGCATCCAAACAGGGCGTCCATGAATTCCACACTGAAATCCAGATGCTGTCCAAACTCAGACACAGGCATTTGGTGTCTCTGATTGGGTACTGTGACGAGAACAAGGAGATGATTCTGGTGTACGAATACATGGCCAACGGCCCCCTACGGGACCACCTTTACGGGCCGCAGCGGGCTCATCCTCTTCCATGGAAAGCGCGGCTGGAGATCTGTATCGGGGCGGCGAGGGGGCTCCACTACCTCCACACCGGTGCGTCCCAGGGGATCATCCACCGCGACGTCAAGAGCACCAACATCTTGCTTGACGATGAGTTCGTGGCAAAGGTGGCTGATTTCGGGCTCTCTAAAAGCACCGGCGGGGGCCACGCGGAGGACCAGACTCACGTCAGCACGGCGGTGAAAGGCAGCTTTGGCTATCTCGACCCGGAGTACTTTCGGAAGCAACGGCTCACGGAGAAATCGGACGTTTACTCGTTCGGGGTGGTGCTTCTCGAGGCATTGTGCGGGCGGCCCGCCATCGACCTGCAGTTGCCGATGGATCAGACGAACCTGGCCGAGTGGGCGTTGCAGAGGAAGAGGAAAGGGCTGCTGGAGAAGATCGTCGATCCGAACCTCACCGGGCAAATCATCAACCCGGAATCAATGAAGAAGTTTGCAGAGGCGGCGGAGAAGTGCTTGGCGGAGCACTGCGTTGACAGGCCGAGTATGGGAGATGTACTGTGGAATCTGGAGTATGCATTGCAGCTTCAAGAGCCTTCTTCTTCTTCTTCTTCGCAAGGAAAGGCTGATGAAGAAAACAAGTCTTTCGCCGCCCCCAATTCCCCCGCCGTGCTTTCCCCGGCCAACTGTAACGGCCGGTCTGAATATGACAACTGTTAGTTAGCTAACTATAGATTTAACTAACACTTCGTATTTTCGAGTGTTTTTGTATTTTCACTCTAATTGGTTAGCATTAGCTTCAATTTGTAACATTTTAGTAAGCACGTTTGACTTTTCAGTGACACTTATTTGGTACGAGGTAGCACAATTTTTAGTACTGAAAGAGAGTTATCATCATTCTAAGAAATGTTACCCAAACAAGGTTGAACAGAAATGCTAAGCAGATGACAAAAACACTAACATGTCAGAATTTGCAAATCTTTACAAAGGCAAAGAGTACAATTTTCTGAAGGCAGTTACTTGAAACATGTTAAAATGATTAGGAAAAAAAAATCTGAGCAGCCCTAAAACTGAATGGCCCCCACCTAATGATTAATTTGGGTGTCAAAAAGAAAAGCCAGTCACTAAATTCTGCTCCTATGTAATGTATATAAGATACAATAAGAGTAGAGGCAGAATCTCCAAACTGCAGCATCACAATTCCACCCTCTGTTTCTTGCCACTGTCAGATTTTCCATCGAACATGACGAAACCATCCCCATCGTCATCAAGTTCTTCTGTGTTCCTCTCGGGCCCCTTCTCACCGCGAGTCTCAGGAAATTTCCTTTTCTTTCCGGAAGGAAGGATTTCAAAGTCGTCATCACCGTCCCCGTTGGTTTTCAGAGGTATACAGGTTTTAGCAGTGGATGATGATGAGCTTGCACCATTGTCATGTGGACTCTTGTTTTTATTTTCTTCTGTAGTCAAAGTTGGAGTCCATCCAGATAGAACCATGCCTTCAGGTTCCTTCTCCTCATCAAACTCTTCCCTTAAATTATGAATGGAAGAGATAGAAGGTGAGACTCAGTAACTAGAGTTTAGTCTCTTTTTTAAAAAGAAATGCATCAGGGATTGTTTGGAAGTCGGAACATGCCAAGGAAAGAATAGGGAAGATATTTGGAGAGAGAAAAATTAAGGTGGAAAATAAATAAACACATATTGGAGCAAACTCGATAAATCAAATTTAGATATTTGTACTGCAAACTCATTTTATTATATTTTCTTGCATAAAAGGCTAGGAAATTTAAATATATGTAAGATTTAATCATTTCCTTTGCCATTTTTCATTCTATCCCTACCATTATTGATATTCCAAAACAGGAAATGTGCCTGAAAATCTTGTTCCCCTAAACTCAGCCTTGGAAATGCTTAATTGAAGAGAGCATGAATGAAAGGACACTTTACTTTTCACTCAAATCACAAATGCATGCATGATGCCTTTTAAATTGGTCCACCTACTAGAACAACTGAACATGTGTATCACAATTTATACCAAAAGAGAAATATATCATACTATGTATAAACTAGCAATAAAAAAAATGCAAAATACCTATGATTGATGATGATATTGCAGATAAGCTCCTGTTGAAGATCCTCAACAGTAACACTGGTACCACCAGTAATGGGAGATGGAAGTTCACATAGCACCTAATAAAAATAAAAAAAATGAATATAACCATTCAACTATGGATGAACACATAATGAGAGCACCCAGAGACAACGTGAGAGATGGTGAGAACAACAAGGGTCATACCTTGTCAAGGTTTGCAGCGTAGATAGCAACCTCGTCTTCCTCAAGATCGTCTCCCACTTCATAAAGAAGTGCTGCACCTCGCATTATCAAAGGCAAATTCATCCCAAGCTTTGCTCTTACAATCTTCTCAACAAAATCTCTTAACTTTGCAGAATGAGTGTTGATCTCAAGTGTCAAAGGTGTCTGTTAATACACAGGATTCAATCATTTGAATATAGTGAATGTAAAAAAATATATTCACCAGTCATATTCCAATATATAAACAAACAAGTATTGCAGAGTAACTTCACATTTGTACCTCAGAACACACATAGCAAGTTTTGTTGGGTTCAAATGGCTCAACTGGCATAAGAAGCATTTTTTTGGAAGGATGTTCAAGACAATAGGTCATCCTGCACATTGAATCAGATCATTAAGCTAAAAAATTAAAAGAATGGAGTAATAACTACCATTATGTCACAATTAACAGTCTTACAGACATGGAATACAGAAAGAAGAGTAATTAGGTTGGCTTATGAAGAAATTTTGACTCAATTAATCACTTGTCAACATACAAAATAAGAAAGTCAACAACTCACCTATAGTTCTTTATGTCATTTTGCAGCACCTTAATTGCCTCAATCACAATCAACCCAGATATAATAGCATTCGTTGTAGCAACTGCGTGGACAATATTGCCAGCAATACCTTTTGCTTCAAAAAGGCTATGTAACGGGATACCAAAGGAAGATGCCCTAATATTAGCAGCAGCAGTAATAAATTCCACAGCTAACTGATCATCTTTGTCAAAATTCAAGTTACCAATATCCTGAAGAAGTATAGCAGAGACTATCAATGAATCCTGTAACATAACTACATAAATGTGCAATAAACTAATAAAAAAATAAGCATACAAAAACATAGGGTCGTGTCAAACCTTCATCCTTTCTGAGAAAAATAGTTTTAGCGCTTCTAGAAATACTAAAGTGTTTTCTTTCAGGCTCCAAATCTCCTGAGGATTTTTAAGACCCAGTGGTGTCATTGCAGAAATCGAAGAGGGATCGCTGGGTTTTGAATTTTTCTTTTCATTTCCGTTTTGCCGAATCTCATCCAATGGTAGTACATCTTTGATGCGTATAGGTCGAGGCTTGTTGCGATTCTTCCATGTTTCCTCATTTGACAATGCTACATCAATGTTATAGCCGAAAACATGATCATATATTCTTCTCCCATAGTCTTCTGTTTCTTCATCTTCTCTACGCACAAAAACATCTTCATTTGCTGATGAACTAGAGGAATCATTAGTACGGACATTTAGATCATTGGCCTGATTCTTGTCCCCAAAAAGCTTGGCAAAGAGCAGGTCTTTTGCCCATACAACACAGTGAACAAACTGAAAATGTCAGAAATTGTGTCAAAGCAAGTTTTATAAGAGCAAATCATTTACAAGCAAGCTATGGAATGGAGGCTTCATGTTAAGAACAGAGTACTAGACATGCAACAGAAAATAGTACTAGCTAAACCAATAAAATGATCTCATACTGTTCCAGCTATGGAATCATTGTCACACAGTATTTGCACAAACACACTGATTTTCTCATAAGAACCTAGCTTCCTTTAGTAAAACACAATAATCCATCTCTGTAGACATGTTTTCTACCTTTGAAGGAGTACTTGTAATTGTGCACACCGGGTAACTTTTAGGAGCTGGTTTAGGCTGACATTCATAGCATTCAGTTTTTCCCTTCACATGCACAGTGACCTGTCAGGAATAACAGGGAAAACAAGCATACTTAGTACTTGTATATTACTGACACAAGCAGATAGGGATGGATAGCTAATACGCTTATGCAGGTATGTTTACTTTTTAGTGTTTTCGGATGGGTTTGTAACTTTTTATCAGGAGTCCTTAAGGTAATCATAAGCTACAAGATTTAAAAAGCTGAAAGCACTTTTCAAAATATAGGTGAATGCCAGATCCTTGGAAGACATTTTGAGCTTATTAAAAAAATAAAGTGTTAATGGGAAAATAGTCTCTAAATTTCTTTAATCTGGTTACCAAGACAGGTTCAAAAAATTACAGCGACTTTCCTATTTACACAGGAATTCAATCTTATCATAAGCAGAAAGTTATGTTGGTCATTGGCCATGAAACAGATGCAGCTCCCATATAGGCCAACTTAAAATAAGTTCTCAAAGCGTGAAACAATAATGAAAAATTTATTAGGGAAGCAATACTTGTCCAAGGAAACCAGTTGTCCCGCTCTCCACCAATGGAACACCTGCTGCCAAGCAAAGGCGGTTCACATGTCGCCTAGCATCTAAATTGTCAAGCCCATTTAGAACAACATTAAATTGCTTAAAGAAATCCACATTGAAGTTGGAATCCTTAACATTGGCATGGTAAGGTGTAATTTTTATTCCAGGCCTAAATTTCAAGACAGCTTCCCTGGCAACCTGGTGAAGTTTTGGAAAACATCATTAACTAGAAATTTGAATGACCAAATTAAGAAATGGATTAAGAAACTCACTTTGGCCTTAGATTGCCCGACATGTGATTGTCGGAATAAAAACTGTCTGTTCAAGTTACTCACTTCTATGGTGTCCATGTCAATCTGCATAGTACAAGAAGCAGTGCAAGATTAAACACTCCAGATAACAAAAGTAAAATTGAAACAATAAAAAGGAAAGAAAAAATCACCTTATCACTTATATCACATGTGCCAAGGTATAAAGTATTATATGAATATTCTTTCAATTAAAATTAATAATATATCCCTTCATTCTTCAATATGAAATCATACATGGAAGCCTTCCAGACACTTAAAGTGTCAAACAAAGCAATGGAACATCAACTATGGGCCCAATTTTCACTTTGGTCACACAGCTATACATACAAAGAAAATACAGCAAATAGTAAAGCTCCATTATCAACGTCTATCAAGCATAACTTAACGAGAATAATCAGCATACTATAACTCGCCCGTCTTCTAAATCTTTAGACTATAACTAAATGATTTTCCAAACTAAGGAATATGTATTCTCAGTAATTCCCTATCCATAGCTTTAAGTTTCAACTAATTAACTCTCGCACAACTACCATTCAATACAAAAGCTGGTAGAACCTATGGTTCTTGTGATATAGAATCTCCCCAACTTAGTCAAAGAACAACCCAAAAACGATAGCAACTGAGTTCACTCAACAAGAAATGAGTAACGATGATATTCATAAAGCATCAGAAATCGGCAATAAACCCTAAAATTGCACCCCAAAATAAAGGCGGAAAGATTTGGACTCACAATGTGAATGTCTTGAAAGCCAGAAAGGGCAAGGGTTTTCAGAAGCTCACAGCCAATACCACCGGCACCAACCATGAGTAATTTAGCGCCCTGAACACAGTCAAATAGTCACATCAGTTAAAGGAGAAACTCATAGTTCGACTGCAGAAAAGAACAGTGCATAGTAGACCTCTAATAACGAGTCATAAGTACATAAATACCTTGATTGCATACATCTGTTCATCGGAAGCCATGTGAGAGTAAAGGAGAGAGAGAGAGAGAGAGAAGGATGTTGCGTGCAAAATACAGAAAGATGGCGGGGGAATCTTGGAGGATTGATTCAAAAAGTCGCCGCAAGGGAGCGGAACCACCGTGTGCGTGAGGCTCTGGTTAGGTTCTCCGGCGCGGCCGCCCTTTTAAAACTTGGTGGCAATGCTCTCGCTCAATGGCCGGCCACTAAGGTCAACTTCCTTTAAAGGACTGCCTTATTTAATACTCTACCCTCTTCCTTTTTTTAAAAAAAAAACTTTTCTATTTTCTAATATATTTGTTTTCATTTTCTAATCCAAAATATTTCACTTTTTAAGCAAATCTTAATAATTTATTTTTTTATTTTTCAACACCTCTTTTAATTTAGAACAAAAAGAATTGGCGGAACTCAACACTATTCATTTAGGAGAGAAAGACCAAAGTAAGACTAAAATATTAAAAATATATCAAAATAGGACGTCTATGTTTTTATTCCCGAAATAAGACTTACATTATCATACATGGTCATATACATTACTAAAAAAGTGTAGTAATTTACATTTGTACACTGTCACATTTCAACAGGGCAACGTCACATTACCACAGTGCAAAGTTCTATTTCGAGAAAAAAACATGAAAATTTTATTTTGATACTTTTCTCTATGTTTTAGTCCTATTTAGTATAATTTCTATGCCATTCACACGTAATATATATGGATACGTTAGGGTGTACTTCAGTACTTATATTCATAAATTGTCACTAAAAAAATTACTCATGAATTTTTTGTGATTCTTCTGGATGATCTTTGTAAATATTACCGAGTATTCATTTTATGTACTTTAATGTGTTCATACTTTTTTTACAATAATTTTTGTTATAAATATATATATTACTTTCATTTCAGTATATTTGTTTATTTTGATTTTTTACAAAGTAGATGAATATTAATCATTAATTAAATAAAAATCATATTAAATATTAGTACAAAAAGGATTTAATTAGATTTATTTTATAAAATATTTTTACTCCGTAGTAGAAAATTATTGAATTTTATTAAATATACAATGCGTATTTATAATGTACGGAGTACATAAACTCTCTACTCGGTATTTAAACTATTTATCACTCCGGTATTTGAAAGTGCACTCCATTAAAAGAGACCCAACTTAAAGAACATTTCATTAACTACGATATTATTGGCATAATCATATGATAAAACTAGTCACTGATTCAAGTTTCTTTAGGATAATCTAAGAAGTTTGAATCCAAGGTTCAGTGTCATTGAATCAAACACAAAGAAAAGTGTGGGTGGAATCAATCAATCACATTTTGATGGTGGTAGAATCATCAATCGGATGCCAAACCCGATTCGAAACCCACATTGAATCGGCAGTTACAGCAAATCCATCTTGATTTCGGTGCCAGCTGTAGTACGCGTGGGTCCTGTTGTGTATCGCGAGAGTGGCGTGCCCAAAACTTGCCTCCCGAAAAGCCGAGTACTCTGGCTGTGGTTCACTCATGCTGCAAAATGCAAATGCATCAGATCAGTGGCATTACAAACTTCTTGATTTTCTTACTAATTACAGTATATTCCTAAAAATAGAATGGATGGGTGAGATGTCTCACTTGGTGGCTAAGCCTTCAAGATTTCCTCCATCGCCAATCGTGATGTATACAGGGGCAGATTGGTCACGTATTGGCGTGCATTTCCCATTCAGAATGTTGTACCCAACATTGGATATTCTCTCCTGCAACCAACAGTCCAACACCATCAAAAAAGGATATAGTGCAGCAGTAAAAAAACAAGACTAGCGGTTATTTCTACAATGTTGTTAGGGGTAGGTTTTCGGGATACAACTTACCGAGCGTTCATAAGCATGGACGTGACCTGCAAAAACAAGGTCAACTTTGAACTGAACGAACCACGGCTCGTACATCACTCTCATGGTCTCTCCTTCCATGTAGTGATAGTTATAGCTGTTGTACCATGGAGAATGCACCAGAACAATCAACCATGGTGTCTCACTCCTGTTCACTTTTGGCAGCTCCTCTTCAAGCCATTGGTATTGAGGGGTGTATTTGCCTATAATAATAATTAAAAAAAACTCAAGATCATGAAAAGGTTCCATAAATAAAGTGAGAATGCCATGGTAAGAAAAGGGACTTTTTTCAATTCCTATGGTATTACCATATGCCGAATAAGAAGACAGAACTATGATATGTGCAGAAGCTCTCTTGATCGAATACCATAAAGGAGATGTACTGCCTGATGATCTATAAGGAACGCGATATCGATGGGTATATGGTTTAAAGGGTTTTGTTTCTCCCTGCAAGAGGTTCATAGTTTATAAATGAAGAGATATTCTAATATACAGAGTAAAAAGGAGTGTATGGATTTTCAGATAGTTTACGATTTCAGGGGCGAAATCTATCTCGTGATTTCCTGCAGTCCAAATCCAAGGTTGATACGCAGTGCTTCTCTCGACAAACCTTCCCCACGTATCCCATCGTACATTGTCGTGGTTTGGGTAGCTATCTGCATAAGATAGATCACCGGCAAACAGAACCGCTTGCCCCTTGGTTGGGTTTGATTCATAATGTGTGAGTGTTGAGTTTGAGTCAAAAGTCTGCCCAAGATCCCCTGCATTACATAAAGCCCATGTATGGCAATTAGCTGTTTACACCATTGATATTAGTCTTGACCAACTTTCTCCAATTTGAGAGGTTCATTTACCAAACACCCAGATTAGACATTTGAAAAAGGACATTCTACAAAATCCTTAACAGACTTGGCAAGAGTAAACAATTCCCATCAAGAATCTAGTAAGAGAATGGTTTACCAATAAGTCCAAAAGTATATGGAACATCAGGCCCAACTTCGGGAGGAGTCAAGAACCAGAAGGTTCGCCTTGTTTGTCCAACCCCCACCTCATAGTAGTATTTTGTATTGTACTGCAAAATAAATAAGGAATCAAAACAACACACCCAGCAATGCATCTGAAGAAAAGTAGAAACAATTGGGAATACACACCTCGAGATTCCTAATGGTGCAGTGGTGAATGTAACCAGAAGTATAATTAGAGAATTTATATGTATTCATTTTGCCTTTGGCCTCTTTCTTCTTGTGACCGTTCTCACTCCAGTACAGCACTGTATTCGATCCGGGTTCATCCACAGTGACCCACGACACAATCATTGCTTTCCCCTCATGATCACCTTGCGTGATATGAACCTTTTCGCAAAGCACATTATATCAGTGAGCAATAAACAGTTCAATATTGAGCAGACAATCTTGATTAAATAGCTCAACGCAACTAAACAGATCTTCAAATTGGAAATCCATTCTAATATTTAAACATGATAGAGGTGTTAGACCAATGACCTTATTTTAATAGTTTGTATTCTCAACTTATGTATTTCTTCAATGTGCATTATTGTAATCTATTGTCTTGTTCAACTTTAGAATTAAACACACCAAAATATCTAATCCAATAGATTATCATTATCATTATCTAGTTCAACTTGTTAATCTATTGTTCTTATTCTAATTTTTCCAATGCTGAATACTACTTATCGAGAATCAATCCCTAAACAAAAACTGCTGAAAATAGAAAAAAAAACTGAGATAGGAAGATTGGCGGGAAAGAAGAGATTCATCGAGTACAGACCTGTTGAGGTGCATTGTATCCGGACGGGACACGGAAGACGTCGCTGTGGAGAGGCATATCCACCGATTTCTCGACCTTCCGGACGAAGCTGCTGGTGATTCCGGCGCCGCCGCATAGAACCGGAGCACAGAGAACCATCATCGTCACCAACACCAGAAAAGCTGAGGTCACGCAGCGGAGTCCCGATAATGGCGCATCCATATCCTCAAATCTGTGTTCTATGTATGCGTGATTGTGTGCATTACATACAGTGAATTTGATGAACTATTTATAGCATAATAGTATGACGATGAACGGCGGCGATTGCCGGATAAGGCGGCGAATATCCAAAGAATCTTTGGTTTTGAGAAGCATCCAAAGTCAATGTGAAAAAGGAGACTTGCAGACTCGTGAAGAAGAATTCCATCACCACCGGCCTTCTACTCCTACAGTCCTACTCGAGGTAAAACTATGGCAGTTGAACTTTTCTTTCAAAGAAAAAGTCAAATTACGATTTACGATTTTATTTGTAAACCCTGTCCCGTAAGATTTCCCATTAATCATTACCCCTGGCCCAAAATTTATCAGTCTCTCAATATTACCCTAATCAAACTTTATAAACTTTACTAGCTTATTTTTATTACTCATTTTATAAAATAATACTCCCTCCGTCCACCTAAATTCTTCCCGTTACGCGTTACGAGGCTTGACCGACTTTATTTTCAATTCAATTTAATTGATTATAGGAGTAAAATTTTAAAATAAAATCTATTTAGTAATAAACTACATGAAAAGTTCTACAAAACTAGAGGTGACAAGACTATATTATTTTACGAAATGACTAGTAAAAATGAGCAAACAAAGTGAGTAAAGTTTAACCCTGTGAATAGTGTCTGGGAAGATCTATGGTGGACAGAGGGAGTAAAGTTTTGTCATCTCTAATTTGTAGATCTTTTGATGCAGTTTTTAAATATATAATTCTTATTTTTTAATTACGCGCCATTTTTCATATAAAATGATTTGAAAATAATTTCAATCAGACATCGTAATACGCAACGAGAAGTTAGTTTTTGAATGGGAGTATTATCTAAATTTATACATAGATATATTTTATGAAAATTTAATACTCCGTATTTCAAAGTTACCTTTCAAAATAAAATTATTGATATTACATTTGTATCAAAACACAATGTACTTTTTTCACGTATCGATATCAAAATTTACAAACTTTAATTAAGAAAAATCAAATGAGAAGATCATTGTAGAATGGATGGAATATATTTTTATGAAAGGATTCTTTTACATTAGTTCTTCATTATATGACACATGCACCTACAATATTTATATGACACATGCACCTACAATATTACGTAAATAAATATGATAGTTTGTATCCTATAACCTTGTCTCTCAACTCAACATCTTCTACCCCATTGACTGCCAAATCGACAATTATGGGTGGAGGCAAGGATGTTGGGGTAGAGACAAAAGAATTAGGGATAATAACCATTAATTTTATGAATATCATATCATGACACTAATGACCAATATCAAAAGATTTTTGCCCGTATTTTTATTTTAGCAACAATGAATATTATATACTCCCATGTCCTAAATTAAATTCTTTGTTTATCATTCACATGGTTAAACTTCATTCACTTTTTTTCTCTATTTTTATTAGTCATTTAATAAAATAGTATATTCATGTCACTACTAGTTTTGTAAATTAGTTTTTTAATATGTAATTTTTACACCATTTTTTATATAAAATAATTTAAAATAATTTCAGTCAAACATCGTAAACCAAAACAGGTGATTTAAATTGAGACGGAAGGAGTAATCATTATTCTAGAACATGCACATATATAATATTCATGTTACGAACATTGACCCCGTAATTCTTATTCTTTGCACATTATCAAATCAGTATATGCACATTAGATGTACATAAAATAGATACATCCAGATGAAGGGTATACTTTGATCTTGGTAAGTCTTTCAAAAATCTCTTTATAAAAAAGCACTAGTACATGAAAAGAGTGTGTTCTTTTTTCCCTACATTTGAAAATATTGTACTCCGTATCATATGAGTGTTGTGTCGGGAACCTTTATGCCAACGGCATGTTTCTTTTTAATTGAACAACAAGAAACAGTAGAGGCAGTTTCAGGCGTTGAAGAGCTTTCTGAAGGGGCCGTCTTTCCTGTCCTTGGCAGCTTCGGTCAACGCAAGGAACCTTTTGAAACCAGTTGTGGCTGCACCTCTACCAAGCGCAGCCGCTCTGGTGAGCACATCCTCTCTTGATGAGATGGCGGCCACCACCGGAGAAACCATGTTGTTACTCATTGAAAGTGGGGCTACAGATGAAGAAGATGAAGATGATGATGATGACGATGATGATGTGGTCGGGGCAGGTGAAGCCATAGATGGCTGACCCATTCCGGTCCCCCTTTTGTTGAAATCGTCTAGTATGCTTTGTTGGTCCGCTTTCTTCAGTCCCTGTATTAGAATATATAATGACAAGCTCAATAAAATCCCACAGGGTGTGGGGAGGGGAGAAAACTAGCTGAGGGATTAAAGGATGTGGATATTTTATAGTCCAGGAGGTCTCCTTAGTGAAAACTAGCTGAAAGGGTCAAAGGGTAAGGATCTTTTGGTAAATCTAAATACAAAAACAATATTTTGGGAAAACCGACATTAGGATGATAAATTCATTTCTCTGTTTGGACCTCTGACCCCAAATGAAATATATTGCTCCAACCATGCTTATTATATTGGCTTGCTATATTTATATTTTAGCTAGTGAATAGTGATATAGCAAGAAACTTTTTGTTCCATTCTCTAACCATGGCTTGCTAGTCCATTCTACAGCTCTTGGGTTGCCATAATTTGGGGTGCTTGTTATATTTAGAAAGCCAAACTCATTTTTTTGGCAAGCTTGCTAAAGTATAGCACATCCATTGGAAAAGAGAAAAGTTGCCTTGCTATATTATACTCCATAGCTTTTAGCAAGCCAAAATGGGATGGTTGGAGACGCTCTATCATATACCAAAACAGAGATTCCAACACATATATAAAGCCAAGTACAATCCAAACTATGACCTGCTACAATCTTAGCTTGGTGATTATAAAGGCCACTTAAAACCCTTCGCTTTTTATAGCCCAAACTACTACTCCCTTTAAAACTCCCTTAAAAACCCCTCCCCATGCTTCCTCAGGGATCGAATCCGGGAGAACAGCCCCAGACTCCCTAAAGTTGGTCTTTCATCCACTTGACCAAAGGGATGTGTTCCAAAAAAAGGCTTCTAAGCATACAACAAAGACAACGATGAAATATAACCAAGTAGAAGAGATGGACAGTGTGGTGGGGAAATTCTGTTATTTCACCTAAACTAGGATCAATTTCTTTGATTATTTAAAAATATGGTACTCACTTCTTCCTAAAAAAGTTTACCCACTTTCCTTTTTCATCAATTTCAAAATAATTCACCTTTTCTCTTTCCCTTTTTGGAAAAGAATATGTGATCCAAAATACCTTCTCTTTTGAACAAATTCTAACTACTCAATTTTCACTATTCAACATCTTTTCATCACTTTTCTTAATCTTCGTGAAGTCAAAGTGAGCAAACTTGTTTGGCACAGAGGGAGTATATTTTAAAATGAATAGTATAGATACTTCAGGCACTCATTTTAGACAAAACTTCAACGGATTCATCTGCTTCAACCATATTAAGAGCTTAACCAATCAGGCGTTAAGTTCTGTTATCTTGTTAGGCAAACAAAATTGAAAAAGTCTTTTTATGTGGTTGATATTAGATATGTAAAATAAGGATGATTTTGGACCACACAAATATAACAAATACGGAATCATGCAAAGATAATGTGAGATGCAAGAATGGTAAAAAGGAACAAAGATAGTGGGGCGTAGGGAGTAATTGTTTTAGACGAAAATAAATAATAATAATAATAATAATAATAATAAAAATAATAATAATAATAATAATAATTATAATAGTTGAATGAGAGAGAAGGACAATACAACCTTAAGCTCCAAAATTCGTTGAAACTCTGTAGGGGTTCCTTCTGGGAGAAGTGCACAATAGGTATCCGCCACAGAGTCAAACGGGGAGAGTATAACCTGTTAAACAAAAAAAACAATTCATGGAATTAACAGATTGCGCGTATCAAAATCCTTTACAAGAAATGCCATTTGGTGACTGACCTTCAACAATGCTTCAGCTTTGCTCATCTCACGACTTACAAATTTTGAATATCCAGCAGCTCCTGATGTCTATTCAAGAAAGGACATGAGATGTAAAAGAAAAAAATCATTTAACATATGTATGAATGCGCAGATCCAGCACATTCTCTCTCCTACTTAACATTTGTTTTCTGTGCACAAAAATGATGTTTTCCATGTTGCTATTCTCAATTCTCATATCTTGTGCATTCATGTCCATGCAACATGGCAACAATAAAGAAGCAAAGAAGTGATGATATAACCACAAGTGTGAGAATGCCCAAACTATAATATATTGAAATCAAAACAGTCAAAATGTGAAGATATTAGCTGAATTACTTGTTTTGCGAGTGAAGGAATTTCCAAAAGAATAGTCTTCACGGCTTGTGTATCCAGCAACATCTGCAATCGTATCACAAGATTATTTTTTAAAATTCAGAACAATGAAGCACTAGGCACTTCCAATTTTACACTATTACTTGTTATCTGAAGTGTTGTTTTTGCAGTTTTCCTTTGTGTCCCATAATCTTTTTAAATCTTTAACCATTCATGCTTCTACACTTAAATATCACAACATTGCGCAGAGTACTAAAAAACACATTATTGAAAAAATTAGTATATGTGAAGATGATCAGTACTTGTTGAGCTCCAGTTTCTGATATTTGCTTGCATTTGAATATATTGAGGTAGAAGCGTGGACCAAGGGACGATGCGAGCTGAATATAAATTTGCAAAAAAAAAGAGACATAAGTTTTGAAAGGTGATAGAAAAAGCAGAACTATACAAGTGTCACTCAGTAGACAAGTGGGAGAACGGAGAAAAAACAGGTGAGCAGGTAGCTTCAATGTGATACATTGAGGTATAAATTGTGTTTTATTGTTTCAAACTCTTTTTTGACATGATCCCATAATTTATATAGGTTGAAAATAAGAAAGCAGAAGACAACATGCAGGTTCAATGGGTTTTGAAAATTTTCACCTTATCTAGAAAAAACTGGAAGTAAACGGGAATCAGAAGGTTCCCAAGGACCGGGATGCTACTTGTGATGATGGTATTTATGCCATTGACATACCTGCATAAGAATTCAGAGGGGAGGATAAGAACATATAACTAAATAAATATCACTACACTGTGATAGTAGCCAGGAGTTGGCATCTTACTCTGATTGATCACCAACACTTTCAAGTGTAGCCCATGGAACACGAGTCATTGCAAGCATCTCTGTGTCAAATTTTGTTTCTAAACCGTGCACTAATGTCATCAACGATTTTGTGATAACTACAGAAAATTCATCCTGAAATACTTGCCACGTTTATTGGAATGTTTATTATGGAAGAAAACATATATACAGAACAATAGTAGTCATTCTTCTACCTGCACTTCAGACATATCCACCCTCTCTACAAATTGATGGTCAATAATTTTGGACACATTATCCGCCAACTCACCGGACTGTAGCCATATGAAAAAAGTATGATATAAAATGAAGAGAAAGAAAGACATAAGAGGTTTTCTTAAATATTTTTGGTAAACATTGTAGTAACAAATGTGCATATCGGGATTACGACTTACCGTTGTGTGACAATACTCAGCTGTGTTTACAATATAACAGATAACCCTCTCATCCTTGTCAGATGTCTGCAATAAGTAGTAATTTGGTCACAGGCACCGCAGCATGGAACAGATTCATGAAAAGATGGAAGGTTTCACTTGACTAAATAAATATATAAATAAATGAAGAAATACCTTTATTTGTCCGTCTATGCCTGTGGCTGCAGCTACAATTCCTGTTCCGCCCTTGGGCAACCTAGCAAAAAGCTTTGTTGCATATGCTTTAAGTATTTTTTGAAACACCTATTAACACAAGCAATAAGCCTGTTATTAGATAAGCTGATGATTTCATGATACAACAGTTTGAATAACTGCATCTTCATTTTTGGAGGCAATATCTGACATGCAAACGAAACTATCCTATTGCATATCATGTAAAAGGCAGCTGCTTAATTCTTTGATGCATAAAATCCGAGTTCAATTCTGAAAGTGGAAAATTAAAACTTGTTTTAATTACCCTCCAGAAGTACACACTGACTTTTCTTCAATAGAGTACATAATGCAACAAGGAAAAACAACACAGTCGGTAAGAACCCACACCTTGAACAGATTAAACAATGTTTCGCTTTTTGTCAAAGCACTGCAACGCTTCAAGCTTCTTTTGATAATCGCAAAAACCTTCAAAAGTAAAAGTGTCAAACCCATAATAAGTACTAGGAAAATGTTCAACGTGGCAAAATAAACCCAATATAGACTGGATCACTCGTCTTTATGCATTTTGTCAATGTCCTACTTAGTGTAAATAGAGCAAGGTCAAATTCATTGGGAAAGTATTTGAAGTACGGGTCAAGATATAGCTTAAATCATATCAGATGGAAATTGAGTCATAATCATAGTATAACAAAAAAACGGAAAGATATTGAAGGATGAAGAGTTTCCAAGTTTCAAGTATTGAATGGCAAAAGAATTTATTATAAGATCATGGTGATACTACAATGTTTTATTTACAAGGGGGGCAGAATATGCAATACTCGATTACTCCATACTAATTTTAAGAAAATGTAGCAGAAACTGCTGAAAAAAATCCAGGAAGAACAATATGGTACTCAGTACATGAACCATAAACGTTTTGGAAAACACTAATTGCAAGTTGGTTCAATAAAGAAACAAAAAACCTTAATTATATGGAAATAACCTGAATTCCACTGGATAATATATTAGTCTGACTTCCCTCATCAATTTCCCATGTTTCCTCCTGTGGTGCAGGATGAAAAGCACTATCAACAGCTGAAAGAACACTAGAAATTTAACATGCTACTGCACATAATACATATGAATTTATAACTTTAGATTTAGCACCTGCATTTGTTTCTCTAGACTCTCCATTAGTGTTTTCTCTTCCAACTCTACATATACTATCAAGTGAGGTTCAAAGCACGATGAAATGATCCCCCGGAAATTGAACTGCATTGTAAACATACATCATAGCTATTAATATCCAGATTTATCAGTTTGACTCAAAAGAGCAGACAAATCATACAAATCATTAAGTGAATCAAGCAGCATTATCTAAGAGACACAACAATATTTGAAATATATATCCCCATAAGAAAATTATGTTTACAAATATTATAAGAATTCTAACTGGTTGTAAAGCTCAATACAACAAAATGTAAGCAGATGGGAAAGTTCAGAAATGCTTCATAAATAGTCTCCAAACATGGGCTTCTAAAACTTGACCAGAATCATTGATCAATTATGCATCTTTATGGTGCAATACTGATGTAAAATCCTTTTAAACTTGCAAGATTGGCAATTAGCAAAATTTAAATCCAGTAGAATTTACCCCAGCTCCAGGCACTGACAAATCCTTGTGTCCACCATGCTCCTAAATAAATAAACAGACATTAAAACCATATGTATCTTTATGCTGCATGTGATTAAAGAAATCAATATCATAAACTTAAGCACAATAGAGAATCCAAATGACAGAAATAACCAAATGAAACAATGATGCATACTTCATTTCCACTTTCATGGTGTACAGCAAGCCTTTTCTCATATTTTTTTCGGATGTCTGAAACTGCCTGACTATCCTGTCCAACTCTATCTATATCCTCCGCATTACTGGCTTCTTTGCTACGGCTGCCACTGCCAAATTTCTCTGCTAACTCATCCTCAAATTCTAAAGTTCGCTGTAAAGCCTAGAGAAAAAAACAAATTACATATGAAATAGGACAAATATCAGTGAAATAGGTACTCCTTCCATCCCAATATATTTTAGACAGTGGGATGTGGCACTCAAAATAAGAAAAGTGATATTATGCTGCTGATATTGAAGTTACTTAGTAAGAAAAGGTAAGAATGAATGTGAGCCACACAAATGTTACTAAAGCGCCTTTCACTTACCACCAATAGTGTTGAAACATCCGGTTTTTCTTTTAGGTTTCCAAGGATCTCCACAAGTTGTGTTCTGAAAAGGGATAGTTAAATGGAACAGGGTGTGAAGAGTGGATCGTCATAGTAATTCTTTTAACCATCATATGATAAATATATGCAAACCTTGTCAGCTTGCAAAACTGGATGCAAAGCAAATAATCAACATGCCATGAAGGGGGGAAAATTTTCCAGATCTCCTCATTTGTTCTCAAACGACGCTTGATCCAAGCATATCTCCTTTCAGTCTTGTCTAACTTTGCTAGTTCTGTAGAATGCTCAAACTTAATAGACTATCGAGACCAAGACATCAACTTAAATGCCATGAACCAATCATTGTTAATTATAAACTGCTAAGAGGAAGAGTACATTATAAACTGTGCATACCGGCTCCTTCAAATATTTGCTGATAGGAGGTAAGCTCCCTGCTGCAAAAATTCTTCACCAGCTCTTCTCTCACTGATGGCTCAAGAGAATCAACTACTAAGCATGCATTTGATAATTGCTGCAGCAAGTTACTTTCTTCGGTCTCTTTCCCTGTTCCCAGGCTGCAATTGGAGCAAAATAAATAACCAACAGTAGTAGGGGCATTATTATTATTATTATTATTATTATTATTATTATTACTATTACTGTTGTTGTTGTTGTTGTTATTATAGCAAAGCAAAGAAAAGAAATATCATGAATATACACACATATAAGGCCGGTGTGGGTAGAGCCGTGGGAGGGGGGTCAATTTGATGGAAATGGCTAAATGAGCTGAATTTTCTAATGTTTTGTCCGAAGTTGCTGGTTGGACTGATTTGTCAAAATGAGTGTTAAAAACATTTTTATAAAATAATCTAAAAGATTAGGATAAAAGTGGCGTGAAAAGAAGAGCAAGAGGAGTATAACCCAGACAGCACTCGCACACAGCCCCATATAAGGACTCTACATTCTAAAACCCTGATCTGACTGAGTCCAAGAACCCTAAAGGTCATGTCCTCAGAGAGATTTATGGCAGCCAAGTTTATTTTTTCAATCACCAGAGTCAAAGATGTTGGCCAGATTTATATAATGAAATTCAATATTTATATAACCATATAAATCGGGTTCTACAGAGAAAATCTCCAAGCTCAAGTAGAAAGGACCTGGAGAAGTCAGAAAACACATGAGACTTAAGGACTTGTTTGATGCTTTTGAACTTCTCCCTTAGCTCAGTAATCTTTGGTATGTCCCTATAGGCTTCAAAATGGCTACACAACTGGTTCACAGCCTGAAATTCAATACACAATACGAAGCACACTGTATTTGAGCTCACACAAGAAATATGCATATGCAAAAATAGTACTCCATGTATAGATGCATTACTAGTTTGAATGTAACTTGCATGTTAACCAAAATACTCCGACAAAGTTAAAAAAATGCATGTTTTACTATGTTTGGCTAAAATAGACAATGTGCAAAAAAAGATGCCTTTCCCAAGTAACCTGGGGTCGACTACATGAACCGAGAGGAGAATCGAGTTCGAAAGATATGTGCGGACAAAGTTTTTAAAAAGCATGAATAGTATATGGATGCACTGTAGAAAAATATTGTACAATTTATCTTTCAATAAATGCAAAAGACACAAGAAATGAGCAATATGACTTAAAGCTAAAAGTACTGAAGAAACCAACATCTTTAGCTAAGCCTAGACAAATACTTCATGTGATCTAGAGAGGCTGCAAATCTCTCTTCATTGATACAAGAAAGCTACTTCTATAAATAGACTGGCCATATTTCATCCATCAATTCAATTAGAAAAGGCAATGGGTTGTTCAAAGCAGCCTTGTCTTATCCACCCATGCATGGCAAGGTGTAGTCTAATGTATGATTGGTCCAAATTTCTTTTAAAAGAGGCTTCCCACTATTATGTGGCCTACGAATTTGCCTTTTGAAACTCTGCATATACTTTTTGAACTTGATAAGCTAGGTCAAACACGCACAAGACTCATAGATATATAGTCAGCAAGGCATTAGGCATGTTTCACTATTCATGACAATCCCATGAACATTTCCAGCATTAGTGTGCAAAATTGATAAGCTTTCAAATAAAAAAATTGTAGATGGTAATGGGAGAAGCAACTGCTAAAGTACCTCTAGCTGTGCAGCTGCCTCTTTATATTGACGTTTTGACACCATTACTTGTAGTTGTTCAACAGCAGAAACTGTCAAAATACATAATAATAAAAATGAGAATGTGAAGAAAGATTTCTTTTCCCCTAATAAAAGAAAGCATGTGTGTGTGAATTGGTGTATCCAGTGCCGAAGCTCAGACACCGTGGGGATCTGGTAAAGAGCATTATCTGGTCCACCATTCCCTTTCTTATTGCAAGGAGGTGGATTCAGAGGTAGACCTCCAGAGACTGCAAAAGTTGTGCCAGGCTGCCGCCTTTCAAGAGAAGGCATGCATGTGTGTAACAAAAAAGAAATGTTAGAATTAACCTCAACCTATTGAGGCCAATCAATTGCAGAAAAATATAAAAAGATACTGTTGTGAGAAAGTATGTTAAATTATTGAGTAAAAGAAGTGACGCTAGAAATAATAGTTATACACCGAATAATTTATTAAATATGGGGCCTGTTACACTTACAATACAGTTCAGACCTGTTTGGATGTGCTTTCAAAAATTTACTTTAATTAAAAAGAAAACTAATGCAAACACAATCTAGGTTTTTTTTCAAACGAATTTTTTTTGTTGATAACAAAATAACATAAGTTCAATAGGGTAGAAAATTTCTTGAAACTTGAAAGGATTCAGCTATTGTTGTGGATTGAATACATAAAACGAATATTAAAATCCATTAAAGCACTTTTAACGATTCTAAAAGCACACCCCAACAGGTCCATCATGTGTTCAATGTTTACATCAAACTCAGTAATATCCTTTCATGCTTCCAGTACAATGCAAGCGGAGCATAATCAAAGAATCTATTTAACAATTAAAAATGCTAAATACTGTATTCCCGGTCATTGAAACCAAGCAACAATAGCATGATCTTTCTTCAGGTAAATCAACAGCAATTAGCATTCCCTAAGCATAAAAAGTTGTAAGGAAATAAATGCCCATGACAGTGCAATAAAGAAGAGATTAACCTAGCATTGTGAGACGATGAAGTGCAGTAATTGTTGTGGTGATATGCTTCTTCGCAAAATCCAATTTCTTAATATCACGGCATATTTCCTGGACCATTGTTTCACTTTGCTCTGCTTTATTTTTAATTTCTCGAATCTTATACATTAGCTCCTGGTTTAAAAATTTATCAAGTGAACAAAACCAGAAAAGGTGAAGGTAGTATTAGACAATAGCCATGGAGCAATTGACCCTGTTCTAACTTTATAATGTGATTTGCTTGAAGCCAATCAGGCCATGGTTTTCCATAAATGTAGGAGTTAAGGAAATATATGTGCCGATCAAACCTGCACAGCTTGCGTAGCAGCAGCGAGATCCTCCCTGGCTTTCGACCCAGAATTACTCTGCAGGAGATAAGGGCCAGCAAAATTATAGTATTTTAAACAAAGGAATTCCATGGAGAAAAAAGAAATGCTTACAAATTTGTTAACTTCAACTTTGTTACGGGAAGTCTAACAATGATTAATTCACATTGATAACAAGAGCAGAAAGAGGTGATGAAACAGAAGTGCTGAAAGATGCTAGGTTCAGTTATTAAGGTATTAGGTATGTCCATGTTTTTTACTAAGCTGTTTACGCTACTTTCCCCCTTTAAATGTTACGGAGTAGTTTTCTAATTCAACAATTTGCTTAAACCCTTATAATTTAATATTTTTATTTCAATTATTATAACCTTCCAAAACTTTCCAACTCTTTTTTACTTGGTCTGGAATCTCCACCAGTTCACCCTTCCTTGCCCTACTTCTAAGTGAGACTTAATGGGTATGTATGGCTTAGTTTGGTTTCCCAGCTGACAAAATAAAAGGAAAGACATATAAAATATGAAGGTCATAAAAGAGAAAAGGTGTAATGGGTGCATGAGAGGTGAGAGAAATAACCTGCTGACGAACAGCAGATAATATTTCAGCATCCACCCTACGAATTTCACTTTGTACGGTCTGCATTAGTGGCTCAACTCCAGATAAAGATGCTTCTGAAAATCAACAATCTTCCATGTATCAAAGAGCTTGATAACATCATTGGCTTAAATAAAAATATTTGCTCAACTGAAGATGATAATCTAGCAATTTATTACAATGATGATCGGTGTTTAAGGAAAATTGTTCAATTGTTTTACAATGATAATCCTTGAATGTAGAAAATTCATGTAATGATGCAAAACATTAGAAAGCACAATGCTGACTAATGCCTAGATATAATACTTATAGCCGGCTTGCCAAAACTTTTTAAAAATGAAAATGCTATTGATTTTTTCAAAAATGTTGATCATTTAAAGGCTACGTGCTGCTTCTTTCATCTCATATAAATTCTTTTTTAGAGTTTGTAATATTAAATTTGATGCAGGCTCAACTGATCATGGTGAATATCTACCAAAAACCATTTGGCATACACATTTCCATACAACACATGAAAACAATTCTGCTCAAATATATAAATGTGTGACCTGTAGGAAACATCTGGTTGATGTAATCCAAGGTATTCTGCTTGTCCATTGATGCCATTGATTCACCTTGCAGATTTCTCTGTATATAATAAGGCAGTTTGTTTTGCCAATTTTCCCAGCACAACTGACTGAAGAAAAAGTAACAAAATCAAGGTATGTTTTGCAAATCTGTCAATTTTTTGTATGACTTGTTTTAAATTTTTGTATTCTCTGTGTTCAATAACAAGGGGTAACAATAGCTACTTAATGCCGAATAACAACGTTCAAGCTTTTTGAAATCTACCCTCACCCGGAGAATGAGAGAGTGATAGAGAGTCAGCATAACTAGTTAACTACCCACTAACCCTTCTATAGGTAAAGGGAGGAAGTTGGAGATGTATTGCAGATCTTCACTGACATGAAAGTTATGGAATTACGGCAACAAGGCAAGGCACCAACAGACCTTACATCCCCTAATCGAATAGATGTCCCAAAAGAAAACTCACATCCAAGTGTTAGTTGTTTGTCTATTTATTTAAGTTAAGTTTTAAAAACGAGAGGCTGTCTTGAACCACCCGTTGCGGTTGTGGCATGATTCTACGGATATTTTCTTATGTGTACTCATTTTATTATCTGCATTTCAGCTTTTTATATATGATGACTGCCAGCATATACCTACGGGGGAGTAATCCGAAAATCCTTCGCCTAAACAATTAAAAATGGCAAGAAATGCAGTTTTTCTTAATGTACTCGGGTACTAATATACATGATTGTGATATTAAAATGCAAGCATTTCAATGTAAGAGATGCTCCCAATATTAAAAAAAATGAAAAACACATAGACCGTATTATATAGTAGGAAAAATGGCGCAGCTGTTAAATACTGTAAATGAATATATAACAAAGCCAATTCTTATTGTAGAGTGGACATCTTCGAAAATATAGTGCTTGCAGAAGATCTGTAGAATAGTGTTTCGGATGGGGAATTCTGACCAAGTTCATCACTGATTAATAAAAACATCTGCTAAATTGTGTTTCAAATCTGGATTGGTTGAAACAGGACATGACTTTTGTTTCGAGGATGAGAGCAGAGATTGAAGATGGAGGGTGGAATAGAGAGAGTATACCTGAGGTTGGATCACTTCAATGTATTTCAGTAAATCGAAAAATTGGGAGTCGTCCAATGGGACTGCGAGGAAGCCATGGCCGAAGGGAAGCTTGAGAATCCTTGGGAGGCTACCTCTAATCATCCCGAATATCAACAATTTTTTTAGACGTTTTTTAGTTTCAACATAAATTTCAATTTTTTATTTAAAAAATAAATACAGAACAATATTTAGATTAAATTTCAAAAATGATACTCAATAACTATATATTTTTCTAAATTAATCTCCAAAATCAACTAACAGCAAACACTTTTTAGTTTGCTAAAAATATATCAAACTGAGTGTATTAGTCCATTAATATACTCGTAATTTTTAAGAATTGATATATTTTTATTTTGAAAATGGACCAATTTGAGAATATATATACCCACTTTGAAAGTAATGTTTTGAGAAAGTTGTCTAAGGTTTAACGTCATTTTAATATTGTTTTTACTGTCATCAGTCGAGAGGACTGAACTGAGCATTATATTATTCTCAATTAATAAGTACTATTTCGGGAATTAGTTAATTTTGAAGACTAATTTGAGAAAATACATAGTTATTGATTATCATTTTGAAAATTTACTCTAATATTTATTCAATTCTTTGAGTTAAGTTAAACAAATTTTAATTTTATTTTAATTAAATAAGTACTCAATATTGTACTTATTAGTGTAAGGATGACCTCATCATATTTGTCTTACATAAAATTTTCACAATATTTTCTCATTATATATTAAGCCGTTGAGATATAATATGAATTTGATAAGGAGTATAATCGATAATGGTTAAAAAAAATTAATTTGACTCAAAAAATCTAACCAGACGAGTACTTTTGAACGAAGAGTATGTAAATCATACAGACAAATAATATTTGTTTATATATCCATAATGTTCAATTAATTTTTATATAAGTAAAAAATGATACTTTAACTTTTAAACGGAGAGAATTGGATATTTTTATTATGCCATACTATGCAGAGTATGTTTCTAGAAAATTACATTATATATACATACATACATACATACATACACACACATACACATATATAGACACACACACTAATATACAAAAGATTAGGAAAATACTTTAGCATTTTATTTCATTTACATTCTAAAGTAAATTCTATAAATAGTAATTTATGATATGAGAGTTTTCATTTTTGGTCTCTAATATTCAAATATTTTGTGATTATGATCTTTTTTATGGGTACTTGCAGTTCAAAACATTATTCATTGTAACCATTTCTTTAATATGTCTCAATCCATGAATATAGTACTCCGTATTTGTTCAATCTTATAATTGCAATCTCTTAAGTGTAGGAGTGTGACGTGTAGGAATATTGAATTTCATATAATGGATATCATCAACTAGCTTCCACCTACATAATTTATCATGGCGGTAGGCGTTGCATAGTTGCCAAAAGCATGGAGTGTCAAGAGGACAAGAGGTAGACTCGAGTTCTATTCGTAATAGTACTAGGAGGTAACTATGTTAAGCATATGACATATGCAAGTACCAGGTGCAAGCTTCACTCTCTACCACCAATCTGCGATTAGGTTTAATTTATCTTCCCTCAAGTGATCATCCGATCGAGTTTGAGAGGTCCTCGAAAATCGAGCTCATCATATCCTTTTGTATCCAATGTGTTTCCTTTAAAAAAACTACTCCGGTAGAAAATGTAAATGATTATGGAGAAATATACTTCTAGTCTCTTTGAATGCACGAAAAAATTAATGCGGACAAAATTGAGAACTAAGATTTTGGGTAAGGGAAGAAATGCGCGGCGGCGGGCATGAAATTAGTAGTAGTAAAAGGAGTGTGGTAGGAAGGATGCGGCGGCGGCTGTGGTGGAGATACGTTGTTATTGGAGGCAGCCGCGGTGGCATCGCCACCCACGAGATGACCGAGTTGCTGCAGGCGGGCGGCGGCGGCTGACGATCCCTCCTCGGGGGTGTTGTAACGGCTCTCCGGCCCTTGATCGTAGAGAATCCCTTTGAAAACGTGGCCGGCAATGTTGACCGCCGTCTGGTACGCGTATTGATAATTTGTATCCTCCCCGCCAGCACTGTCGACGGCGCTCACCCGCACGCATCTAAATACCGCCGGAAAACTCACTTCCGCCGGAAAGTTACTCTCTTCTGCACTACCTGCGGCAACCCAACATAACAAATTTAAACCACGCTTTTCAGTTTTCATCATCAATATATATATAGTGAGAATGATCAAATTAAGCAATAAGCAACATTGGTCCCGTTAGCTTGGGAAAAGGCTTCCATGTTAGAACATACATTTTGAGTATTATTTAGAGTAAATTCCCAAAATACTCCTTTGTAATAAGATATTTTTTTAAATTAGTCTTCAATAAATTTTAATTACCTACGTGGTCCTCAATAATTAAAATTTATTCTCAAGATAGTCCTTCATAAATAATGTTACTCAAATGAAAATTAATTAAGGGTATTTTGGTATTTTTACCCGCTAAATTTAGAATTAATTCTTAAAATGATCATTTATAATGAAGTGTTTTCCCAAAATGATTTTTCTAATTAAAGATGTGTAGTTGATTTGAAATTTAAAAGATCTTTTATAAGTTAAATAATTCATGAATTATTTATAGTCAATGCATTTTTTTCAATTCTACATTTAGTTCTACAGAAATAACTGTTTCGAGAAAATACTTTACATTTGAAAGATCAAAATTCCAAAATATCTCCCAATTAATCATCATTTGAGTAACATTATTTATGAAAGGCTTTTTTGGAAATAAATCTAAAAAAAGAGGACCATGTAGGTAATTATTAAAACTTATTGAAAATTGAATTGGGAAAACATCTTATTACAAAAGACCATTTTGAGAATTTACTCTATTATTTAATACTACCCCCGTCTCAAAGTATTTGTCTAGTTTTGAATTTTTTCAGTCAATTATTTTCAACTTTTGATCTATAATTAAATAAAATATATATTGTATATTAATTAGATAAAATAATATTTTGAAAATATCTTATAGAATAAATCTAATAAAATTATTTTTGTATCAATATCTATTTTTATCTAATTCAGGGTCAAAACTTATAAATTTTAAGCGAAAAAAGTCAAAAAAGACAAATACTCAAGAACAGAGGAAGTATTTCGTAGCAGTTTTTAATTTTATTGTTTTTAACATCATACGGAATAAAAAATAAAACAAATCAAAAAAATTGGTCCAAACAACGTCATAACTTCTGGGATTCACAAAATGGCACACAAATAGTAAATAAGATATCATGAAAAACTAATCCAATTCACATATTTAAAAAAGAAATATTTGCAGCAAATAGCACTAAAAGTTAAGTCATTTTCCAAAATAATACTTTAACTACTCCGTATTTTATTCCCTAAATTGTACTTCATAATGTCTAGAAGGAGGAATAATGTTCAGTGATGGCGAATATTTACTTGAATAATGACTAATGAATAATGACTAAAAGTATTACATTAGAAAAAAACACATATAATGCTATTTAGGAAAAATCATAATCTTTTGGCGTTATTTAAACATTAGACCTTGTGTAGTGCCTCACTTGGGAAGCTCATAGTGACAAATGGGCAATGCCACATAGGCGTCACTCACACATGAACACTGCTCTCTCTCGCCATGAGTGATCTCCCGAACCCGCACGGGTAGCCCAAGTGGCAAACAGTTGGTGAAGTTTGGAGAATGACCAAGGATCGAAACCTGGCAGCGACCGTTGTAGAGGCGACCACCTCTGAAAAATGGGGGGAGTCTCTGGTGCGCACTAGGATATGGTCTAGCTAAGTGTTGTGTTTGGGTCACCGTGATTTACCTCCTCTCACATTCCCGTCGGGTCGGGGGTGAGGGGCGCCCGAGGTGAGCGATTTCACTTTTTGGAGAATGAGTGATCTGCCGAGATGTGGGAGATAAGAGCAGTGGCAATGGCCTTGGAAAGTTAGTGGAAATAGGTTGGTTTATTTTAATTTTAATTCATATCTTAATTATTTTGTATTATAAAATTATTTTATTTAATTTTTATATTACAACATATATTTTGTTAATAATTTTTAATACTTAAGTCATCATTATGAAAAATTAAATAATATACCGTCGAAAATATTTTTCACAAGTAGTTAAGTATACCTATGAGTTAAGTTGTTTATGAAATCAGGTCAGCGAGAGAGCTGCGAGATCGTCCCCACGATGCAAGTCGTTAGTCAAAGCTGAAACCAGGGGCGGCTCAAAGGAGGGGCAAGATGGTCACTTGGCCAGGGCCCATTTTTGAATGGGGCCCAATTTTTTGTATGCATACATGTATATATTTATTTATATAAAAAAATTTTGATTTATTTTTAAAAATATAGTCTTAAATAAGTAAATCTAATAAACTATGGAGATGTGATCAACCTATTTTCTCTCAAGAATAATAGAATAATTTCACAAGTCTTCGGTTAGGTACTAAAGTTCGGAGTATATAATTACAAACTTATAAGATTATGAGTTTGACATATTATTATTAGTACAATGTTATATATTATTAAAAAAATTAATTGATAAATTTTACTTTTTTTTATCACACAATGACGCATTTTCTCCGTGTCGGACAGGGCCCCTAATTCGTTGGAGACGGACCTGTATCAAACGACATGAATATTGCATTTATAATTTTAGCATTGAGTCTTGTTTATATTTTTGCTCAGAATATAAACAAAAGATCTTGTAAACGGAACTATTTTTATTCTTTTTTTTGAACGGGACACACATTTTAAGTATAAATTAATTATGTCTCAGTTTTACTTTTGTTTTTTTATTTTGCAATAAAAAGACAAAAGAAACAAATTTTACAAATTTCTTTTCAATCATTTTTCCTTTTTAAAAAATGTGACATACGGAGTATGAAGCAATATTATATTAAAAAATTAAAAAAACAAAAAATTAAAGGGTTTGAATGGAAAATTAAAAACAATTATACCAAACATATAAAAAATGGTTTGGGAAAAAAACAAAAATTTAGGAAATAAAGGAAGATAAAAATAAATTATTTATTTAAATTACAAAAGATATAATTTAATTTAAGTTAATTTGAATAAAATAGCTTTCAATGGAAGTGAGTGAAATGGTGAGTGTTGTCAATGCTGATGTGACGCTAAGTGACTGCTGATTCAAAGTGAGCAGTGAGAGAGCAATACAGATGACAAGATCAATAGATTACATGGTACTGCCTCAGCGCCTCTATTAAGTCTTTGTTTAATTTTGAATTTTTGTAGTCAAAATTAGAAAATGTTAACCATTAATTGAATAAAATTGGTATTAAATATTAATACAAAAATATTTTTTATTAGATTTATTTTATATGATATTTAAAAAATATAATTTTATCTAAATAATATACTATTTTAGAAAAAATAAATGATCTATGATAACATTTGTTTTCTATATTTAGATTCGAATATCAAAATATTAAATTTGTGATGGTCTTCAATTTTTAGAAACTACGTAGAATTCCATATTCAATGCTTTAGAGAACTATATATGTATCAAAAATATTTGGTCATATTTAGGCTAAATGATGAATTATAAAATACTTTTCAAAAGTTGATGAAGCACACATGTGAAGACTAAAATATAGAAAACTACATGTTATAAGGATCATGTATACACTAAATTTTAGTATCTAATTACATATTCAGGGTTGAACATATATATTTGACTAAAAAAATTAAAATTGGACAACTATATATATATTCATGAACGGAGATTTTATATTTCTAACTGACAACAAGATGTTTGAGAAAGATCAATATATACTCTTTTCGTATTAAAAAATAATGTTTTCTCTTGGCTTTTTGAATAAACATTAAAATTTTGACAATAAAATTTGAAAAATATATATTGAATAATGTTTTAAATTTAATATAAATCGATTTAATTTGTCTTAACTTGAATAATGAAATATCATATTTTTATTTAAAAAAGATTATCTATAAATACAAATATTAATAGTCAATAACTTAAAATACCATATTGAACCCCATTAAAATTCAAATGATAAGATCATTGTCTTGAGATGAGCATGTATAGTAGCTAAGTAAGAGTAAAGGAGGATAAAAATACTTAAATGAAAGTTTCATTTTTTTGTGATCTAGATATGAGTTCACACTCCACACTTCCACGAGAGCTCTGTTGTGGGTTGTTGGAGCTCTGCCGCCAGCCACCGGCATTTACCACCATTGACTAGTAGTCCACCACCACACTGTACTCTACATTTAATGTTAAAATTTAATTTGGTGGGCCAATTGAACTGGGCGTGCATCGAGTATGTGGGATTTGACTAATTTCTCATTTAAGTCTGAATTCAATTTCTATCCAAAATCTTAAACCAAAGGGTTGTCTTTCACCTTATTTTATAGAAGAGTCGTACGACATTGATTTCTTCGGTGCAAGACATGTTCAACACACAACTCCCAAAACCTATTTTGATATTTTCATAGCAATTTACGCTTATCGATAGACATTTGTTTATACCTATATGCTACGCCTACTCGTAGATATTGGTGCATGGATCGGAGGGATATAATATTCTTTCGTACTCCCACCGTTTCTTAAACACTATCTCTTTCATGTTTTATTTCCCCAAAACACTTTCACTTTCTATTAAAAAACTACTTTTATTCATTCTTTTTTACCCTATCTATCACATTATATTTTAATTAGTAATTTATCCATCACATCAAGAGTAAAATTAGAAAGTCAACGACAAATACTCCCTCCGTCCTAAAATTAACTTTCCATTTGACTTTTCAGTCTCCAATGCGACACTTTGACCATCAATATCTCAATTTTTATATAAATATATTTTATAAAAATTATATATTTCAAAACTATGTTTCAAAATGAATCTATTGCTAATAAATTTATATGAAAATTCAATATATTTTTTCCGTAATATACGGTCAAAGTTTAAAAAGTCTGACTACAAAAGTCAAACTGGGAAATTAATTTTAGGACGGAGGTGGTATATACTTCTTATTTCTCCTAAAAGTCAAAATAGGAAACGTTTTATGAAACAGAGGAAGTATAATTTATTTTCTCTTTTGAGATGTTCTAATTTCTTTCCTTGGCTTTTTTTTGAAGGATTTTGAGTGACTCACAATATTTCTTTTTTCTCTATACCATTTTCACTCACACATTTTAATTTTTTCTAAATTTTATATCATGTCAAAACATTTAATTTTTTTGGGGGGATGAGGAGTAATTAACTAACTAATTAAGGTTATTAATTAATGGGTAGTACGTACGTACCGAAGAAGGGGGGGTTTTGAGGAGGCGGGGGCGGCGGAAGGTGGCGGTTAATAGGGTAGGAGGAAAGGCGGTGTCTGGCGGCGGCGGTGTGGCGGCGCTTGGAAACGGGGATCCAAGTGCTCTTGACGTGAGTGGGACACTGGAACCCACGGCTCTTGCAGCAAGTCCGGCACCTCATGTACCCACAGTCTCTCTTTGATTGGTTCCCGCAATCTTGGCATCTGCTGCTGCCGCTGCTGCTCGACGACGACCACCTCCCCCCCGCCGCCCCTCCGCCGCTCACGTCTTCTTCTACTTCTTCACCTCCTCTCATCATCTCCTTCTCTTCATCATCATATATATAATCACCAGATAGATCTTCTATACCCTTTATATTTTCCTCACTCAGCTCACCAACATATATATATATATATATATATATATATATATATATATATATATATATATCTATATCTATGTATGTATGTATGTATGTATGTATGTATGTATGTAGGGGATAGGTATATATATCCTCTAAGTCACAAAATAGATTGCACAGTCAAATCTCGCAAATACTTCCCAGTATTTATTACTTTTCCGGTTAGCCTCTTTATTTATATCTTTTCATTACCTTTTTTAACATTTAAAATACCATAACTACCCCCACTTACTTTAATTATTACATCTTCTCCACATTATGTAATACACCTCACCCATTTTCATTAAGAGTATTTTGGTAAACTTTCACCTTTTTCAACTCTCTTAAAAAATCACAAAAAGTCAAAACAAGAAGATCTTAGAGGACGGATGAAGTAATTTGTTTACAATTATTCATTAATCATTACATAAAATAAAATAGGACCTTTTTTACTCCTAATTTTGTAGGAGTCCGTACTATCTATGTCTCACTTTATTATTTACTCTAAATTATTTTAGAACAAAGAGAGCAATATGAATTGAACGAAATACTTTGAATTACCTAAAGATTAATAGTGGATCTTCATGCAAGCCAAATGAGCATTACTTAATCACCGAGATAAACATATTTTAACTTATTAAAAAATATAAATAAATACTCTCTACATCTCTAAAAGATTGAAACAATTTGATTTTTTTGGTTAAATTGTGACACCATTGAACCACGAATTAAATATATTTTTTTTTAAAAAATGAATATTATAAAAATCTGATACTTCAAAACTATATTATAAAGTAAACCTAATTTTATTATATTTACATTATATTTTAACTAAATAAAAAGTTAAAATATAAACACTTCTCATTTCTATTAAAAAGTTACTTTTACTCCTTATTTTTTTATACCCTACCTATCACATCATACTTTTTTACTAATGATGTATCCATCAAATCATACTTTTACCTATCACATCAAAGGACATATTTGGAAATTCAATAAAAAAATACACTCCCCTTAAATTCCTCTCCAAAACCAAAACTCTCATTTTTTCCGGGACGGAGGAAGTATAATTTTTCCATAATTCGCAGTAAAAAGGAGCCGCAGTATGACCAAAGAAATCAAACTGTGACAATATTTTTAGAAACGAAGAGAGTAAAAGTTTGTGTGAGAAGGTAAATATAAACCTTGTAAACGTTATGTCCATCATAGAATTACTGAATCCTTGGGGTCTCACACACTAGATTTTTTATGCTTTAAAAGAAAAAGAGTAGTAAATTTGAAATAATTTTCTTAAAAGAATTGAAGAAAAATTCAACATTTTTCTTAATATTATGTAGTACGGAGTATCATTTAATAAAATATAGAAATGATAAAATGATTAAAATTCATGCATAAACGTAAGTACGTATAGTATATATATATTGGCCGCGTTTGAAAAACGGCTTTTCGGATGGCTTTTGGCATGTTTGACTGACTTTGGCTTTTTTGACTGAGCGAACAGCCAAAACCATTGTTTGGCTAATGGGTTTTTTCCCTTGGAATTTTGATCCGAAAAGCCAACATTTGAAATGCTAATGATAGCTTTTGGATTTGACTGCTAGGAAGATTAATTTTTTTAAAGTCATTCTTCTTGAAAGATATTTTATAATATATGTAAAAACTAAAAATAAAAATAAAAGTTAAAAAATTAAATATTGAAAAAAATAAAATTTAAAAATAAAAAATTTCAAATAAATGAAATGAGAAAATAAAAAGTAAAATCATTAAAAAGTTGTATATTAATAATTTCTTATGAATTAAATGGAAGTAAAATTTAATACTCCATATAGTAAAAATTTAATTTTTACATGTAAAAAAATGAAAAATAAATATTGTGTGTCGATATATATATATATATATATATATATATATATATATATATATATATATATATATATATATATATATATATATATATATATATATATGACGAAAATATTGTTTTTATTAATGAAATCTGAAAGACGGTACATGCTCATTTTTCGTAGCAGCAATTACATTTGGAGTACAGGAAGTAAGAAAAACTATTTTCAAACAACTAATTTTACCAAACATTTTTACCGATCTGTCAATTCATCCTCCCGGTTAAACTAGCTGAACTAAATAGTCATTGACAACAGCTGACACGAACCTGGCAACCAGAGGCGGATGCACATTTTCGGTAGTGGGGGCACTTGCCCCCAATGACTTCCAAATAGCTTTTAATAGTTTATTTTTTAAAAATTTTAAATATGTCCACACCAAAATTTCAAATATGCCCCCATTAATTTCTTGAATCTCACTTAATAGAAACAGGTCAAAACATTTAAAATCCTTAATTGAAAATTAGTTTTAGTAATCTATTTATATATTAAAAATTTAAATTTGAAATTGCTAATTTACTTAATTATAAAGTATGTATAACAATTCACAATATTCAAATAAAATTTCACATTATTTTTATCGTTTCAAAATATGTTTCAAAAAATATTAGATGCATCGCCCCCAAACCCTCCGACTTATTATTCTTGCCTTCGGTCCTTTTTTTTCTAGATCCACCACTGCCGACAAGCAACATCCAATCCAAACAAGGCCATGAAATTGGGGATAGATTCGAGTGGAGCGTACGTATAANGTGATTTTAGCTAGGCCGACAAAATAGCTGCAGTCAACTATATACACATATCTGCCTGGGGAGGAAATTAAAAGCTTTTGTCGTTTTACGTAAGTACGAGTAAAAAAAGAAAAGGAAACAAAAGAAAGCATATTCTCATTTAATTTCTTCTCTATTTAACCTTTTTAAAGGTGACTGAGGAAAAAAATTACTTTGTACTTCCTCCATCTCACAAAGATATTGTCACTTTGATTTTTAGAAAATTTAAGAAAATAAAAATTTTGTATTGATTTTCTAAAATTCTAAAAATACTTTTGATGTGATGTGTAAATTTAAAGTAGAATGTGATGAGTAGTTTCTTTTAAAAAAGATTGAATGGATTGTACTTTGATCCCTTCATCTCAGAAAAAAACTTTTGAAAGGAAAAATTATCTTAAATAATCCTATCTTTTCACGTTCTCTTGAAAATAATTCCATTTTTCACTGGCGTCGAAGATAATCTCACGTTTCTGCATCTGTGCGAGTTTTAGGCCACCGTTAAAAAATTAACGACTACTTAACGGAATTTTTGGAAAACGCATGTTTTCAGAAATAAATAAAAGTTGGGATTATTTTTTGCAAGTTTACTTTTTTTATTTTTTTAATTTTAATATTTATGTTTTTAAAATATAACAGTACATTCTTGTTAGAGATTTATCTCAATTTTTAAAAAAAATATACTCCGTAACACTTTACAAATTTTGTTTTATGTTCTGGGAGCAATATAATATTGGATTATCGAAAAATAATTCAGAGTATCGCTCGAAAAAAAGATTGAAATATAAAAAAATTGTAGGGAGTTATTAAGTTAATTGGTGTCGTCTCAGGGAAAAAGTATTGTGTCCTTTTCATAACTTTTAAATTACTATTTTGGGGGAAACATTTGTACTGAATGATAGAAAAAAATCACAAGTTGGGTAGTTCCATTTTAGAAAAAATGATATGGGTAATAAAAGATTATCAATAAACATTTCGAAGTTTTGTTTATGAAAATTATTGCAATACAACAAAAAATGTAGCACATTATAAAAATAAAAGTCTCATTTCAGAGAAAAAAATATTGTGTTATTTTCACATGCAACTGTTGTAACGTTGTTTTGCAAAAAAAACATTTATATAGAATTATTGAAAAATATGCACAGGATTTGTAGTACCATTTTTTTAAAAAAATAATAATAGTATAGTATCAAAAAACAATTCGAATTGTCACTCAAGAAAACTAATTGCAACTTACAAAAAAGTGTAGTAAGTTAAGAAGCAAATAAATTAGCTCCATTATGTAGAATAGTTTATTGTTCAATTATTACCAGATTATTAATTATTGAAAAAAATTATTAGTTTTCATTCTAAAAAAACACTTTTTCCTTAGCCCGATTCCATGGCCACTAGATTCCAGTGGTCACTGTCCCCTACGGGGATTCGTTCATAAAATTGATGATTCCTACCCCTCCTAATCCCCCGGTCAACCCCCTTTGCCAAGTCCCGACCCAAACTAATCAATCCATTTACGTCAATTGCACCTCGTAAGTATTAAAATCAATTATACTTACGAGGTGCAATTGACGTAGGTGGGGTAATTAGTTTGGGTCGGAACTTGGCGGGGGGTTAGAGGGGTAGGAATCATCAATTTTATGAACGGAACTTCGTGTGGGGGTAGTGGCTTCTGTGGCCATTGGAATCCAATGGCCATGGAACCGAGCCGATTTTTCCTACCCTACTAGGGAGTATAAAACAAGTATAAAAAAATATTTGGGATTTAGAGAAGAAAATTCTTGTTTTAAATTTATTTATGAGCTAGGCATGTTTTTTTACTCGGGTGAGTATAAAAGAATAGAGAAAGAGGGATAGGAAATAGAGCAGCACTGCAGTAGTCATATGGAAAGATCAGAGTAGATCTGAGAATCCAGAGAGGATTTTGTTCTTTCTGCCAAATGTCAGCACGGCAGCGAGAGAGGCACAGCGGCCCCGCCGGGCCGGCGCAGGCATTAACCAAACGGTAGATGCGCTTTTATTTGACGGAGTTCGAAAATCAGACTCAAGTTTTTTCTCTATCGCCTGCACGTGCAATTATATATTGGCCACTCAATCCATGTCCAAACAAAAACCCACCTACACACACACACACACCTAGCTAGCTATAGCTATCCTCGCCTCATGCCCTTGTGTTAGATTACACCGGTCCAACACTTGGCCGACAAGACATAAATTGATTTATAGTATATAGAAGTCTCGTGCTTTACATGGCTGTTCTTTCTTACAGTTACTACTTAAAACTCGAAATCCGTCTCTTCTATCACTTTTATGCCAAATGTTAATCGCTGAGTTACGCCTCACCAAAACTTATGTTAAAGTTTAGGCGTATATGAGATTGAGCTATGGATACGCCAAGATTTGTACCCACTTAGGAGATCAAGTTATTACAGACATACACATGCAATAATTGTCTATACACTACACAGACAAATATTTTCTCTATTGTGATATAAAATTAGAGTATAGATCTTTTGTACCCCAAGCTCTACTGAAATTTAAACCGGTTCTGGTGACATAACTCGGTTAGTCAACACGAATGTAAAAGTGTGATGTAATCGAGTTCGACACTAGATGAAGATTTAAAATTTCATCTACATAGTTCGCGACGTTAGATTTAATATAATCTTGGTTCTTTCAACCCTGACTTGCACAATCTCCAATGGAACATTTTGAGCGTGAATATCTTTATTTATATATGAATACTTATTATAGAAATATAAAAATTTACAGAGTAGATACTTATTCATAATATTGATGGTCCTGTAAAAAAATTAATAGCCCCGTATATAGATACTACTACATTTCAAGATAAACATATTGATATTAAATTTATATTAAAATTTAATATATTTTTCATATAATTCATGATCAAAATTTTTAAAAATCGATAGTAAAAGTCAAATTTAGAAAAACTAAAAGAGACGAAAAGAATATAATATAGGACGAATTTGAGGGGATTCTAGGATTTTCGTATTCGCAAATTCAAGAATATATGACTAGGCACCCTTATTTATAGGAAAAAGTAGAGCAGGAGTAAATACAATGAAAACAATTTATTTGAATAATTTATAATAATGAAAAAGGAGTAAATATAATAGTATCAAACAATTTAAAAAATATTCCAAAAGTAAGAACAAAGGGCGTTTTAATAGTGCTCATGTCCCCAAATTCAATTCATACTTTTTTATTCCATTAATTCTAAAATAAAGTTCATGCTACATTTTTCTCTTTTAGAAAATGCAAAAAATACCATATCACACACATTTCACATTTCAATACTTTTCTTAGATTCCACTGAGTAAAAACTCTGAGCAATGTCGGAGAGGAAGAAGAAGGCGAAAGCTACGGTCAGTTCTCAACAAAATTCAAAGGAGAATATACATCTCAGAAAGTTGCACAAAAATAAATTTGGAGGTTTCTATAAAAAAGTGATATTATACGAAGTCGTCTCCAATTAGTTCAGGTAGAATTGGAGATCAAAAAAATCCTGTGATGGTAAGCTTATTGAAGATGAAAGGAATCTTATTAAGCAATTCCATCATAATTAGATAGCCACAACTATGATGGTTAATCAAATGAGTAAGAGAGACTGGATCACAAAGGCGGACCAAAATTTTAAAATATTTTTCTCTTGGAAAAAGAAAAGAAGAATTCAGAATCAAACTGTTACTTTAAAAAATAGAGATGACATTATTGTTGAAGGTGACAGAGAGGTGGCAGCTGTTATAGCTGTTATACTAGAATTCTATAAAGAGTTGATTGGTACATCAAGAGTGATTGAAGATGTCGATAAAAGGGCAATGTCTGAAGGAGAAACATTGACAACTCACAATAACTGACTGTTACAGGTTAAAAAAAAACAAGGAAAAGAAGGTGTTTTTGGGATCACAAATTATAAGAGCCCAGCCCAGATGATTTTAGTAGTATACTTCATAAAAACCATATGAAGGTAGTGGAGGAACTGAAAACCAAAATTTTGAAATTCTTTACAAATGGGAAATTTCTGAAACAAATCAACTCACCATTCCGTCAGTTATTCCTAAAATTTAGGCACTTACTTTGGCTAATGACTACAAGCTCATAGCCTGGCAATGTAATTCATACAATTATATCCAAGATCTTGTGTAGCAAATTGAAAACAATTCTCCCTGCTGTGGTAAGTCAGAACCAAGGTACTTTTGTTAAGGGAAGAAATCTTGTTCCTTGCTCTGCCATGAATTAACTAGAAGATATCAAAAGAAGGGGAGTTCTCCTAGATTCTTAATTAAGCTAGACATCTAGAAAGCCTCTGACACCGTAAGATGGAAGGCTTTGTTGTAGTTTATGAATATATGAACTTTCCTCACGAGGTGGAATGGATTAATAATACATTCCCACTCTAGTCTTTTCTATACAGTTGAATGGAGGCAGATATGAGTATTTTAAAGATAGGAAAGGACATCGACAAGAGGATCCAGTTTCCCCTACTTTTTGTCCTTATTATGAAATATCTAAGTAGATTGCTACAACAAATGGCTCAGTACAATGAATTTAGATTTCGCTTATGTAAAATTGATTAATCTAGTTTGCAGATGATCTGATTATTGTGTGCATGGATGAAGATAAGTCACTTAGATTATCATGGATGACCTAGATACTTTTTACAGAATTACTGAACTGAGCATAAATTATGTTAAGTCACGTATGGTTTTTGGTGGGGTGGACAAGAAAACACATGAGAGACTACTACTGAAACTGACTAATCTATACATTAGAGAGTTGCCTCTTAGATACCCGGGGATTCTTATTACAGGAGCTAAAATCAGTAATAAAAAATGTGACATGTTAGTGACTAATATCACTTCTAAAATAACATCTTGACCTTCTAAGAAAATGTCTTATGCTGGAAGATGCAAACTGATACGCAATGTACTGCATGGTATTATGATTGGTGCAAGCTCTTTATTCTCCCATCTAAAGTGATGAGAAGGGTACAAAGCATCTGTACGAACTTTATATAGGGTGCCACAGCCAGCTATACTAAAAGACCATTGGTCAATTGGGAGGAAGTTTGTTTATCCAAGACATATGGAGATTTGGACTTACGAAATTTGATTCTTTGGAATAGGATTTACATTCACAACTACTTGTGGGATGTTGCCCTAAAAAACATAACTTATGGGTGAAGTGAATCCATGGTAGATATATTAAAGGGAAGAGGAGGACATGAATCATCTCTTTAATCAATGTGAGACAACAAATTTACTCAAAAGGTTATCTGCGTGGATTGAATGTGATATTGAGGGTAAGAGTGAAGGATATAATGGAAAAACTAATGAAGATTAGAGCGAAAAAAAGATTGTCATTGGCTATGTATGCAGCAGCGTGATCAATAAAATTGTGCCTTTTATTAAAAAAATGTATCGAGCTAAGTAGCAAATGCAGAAAATATGATTTACAAAGGAGTAATGTGCAATTTAATAAAGTCATATGCAACTTGAACAGTAGATACACAATTATGCGTCTGAAGTGTGTGTGTGTGAGAGAGAGAGAGACAGAGAGAGAGAGAGAGAAACACCAATTTGGATTTGAGATTGCAACACCATTCAACATTGGAGCAAGAAGTGTTGCATATCTTTATAAATGTTAATCGGTTGGAGAAGCTTTTATTGTGACAATTTGAGTGTGACTTTTCAACACATTGGACACTTAGACGCCACCTGCACAGATGATATCATGAATGCACGATGGTACACATTACCACAATAGTGGAGGTTAGTGAACACATTCATTTCAATACTTTCTCTAGTCTTCAGCTAGCCCCTGATATTTCTCTCATTTTATTTTCTTTACGCCCCATTTTTTTGTTATCATTCCTCAAGGAAAAGAACACATGTTTAAGAAAATGTCTCCAAATTTCATCCACACTTTTTACTTTTCAATATTCATGTTAAGCTTCATAAAAACAAACAATTTTTATGGGACATATATTATTATATAATATTATATTTAATTAATTAATAATAAAAATGTGTTTAGTTTAACAACAAAAAATCTCGTAAGAATTAGAGACTTGAAGGTAAACTAACCTCCACTACTATGGTCATGGGTACCATCATGCATGCATGCATGATATCATCCCTGGTGAAGTCTAAGTGTCCAATGTGTAGAAAAGTGGCACTCAAATTGTCACAATAAAAGCTTCTCCAACGGGTTGTACATTTTTAAAGATATGCAGCACTTCTTATTCCAATGGTGCTGCAATCTCAAACCCAAATTGGTGTTTTACTCTCTCCCTCTCTCTCTATCTCTCACTTCAGCTGCAAATTTGCATATCTGCGTTTCAAGTTGCATATGACTTTATCAATTTGCACATTACTCCTTTGTAAATGATATTTTCTGCATTTGCTACTCAACTTGATGTTTACTACACACAAATGTACACACGAACACTATGATAGCACTTACAATCATTACACAGAGTTGAGCAAATTGGTCAATATAGGGCGCGCACTGCATCCGAAAACAAAGGGGAGGAACTTTACTTTACATCACTTGAAAATTTACAGTTAAAAATTCAACCATGTAAATATGGTATTAACCGTATTATATCTGTATCTCTCCATTGCAACCACCTCACCTCGAAGTGGTAACTTCTAAGTAAAAGCAAAAATCCTATCTACAATCTTTGTCCGGCAAATCGGACACTCGGCACAGGCAAGGGAGCAAGACTTGCACACTGCAAAAGTCGTGGGCAAATCACTCAGTGATGTGAAGTGGCAGGGAATATACCTCTGCGACTCTGTCCCAGTATATTCATCTAATTTGACTTTTTTCAATCAAATTGAACAAATTTCGATCATGAAATAAAATCTACATTGCATATTAGTTGAAAAATGAATTGTTAAACTTGCAAAAAAGTTTTTTTTAAAAAAATTCCATTGTACATAGTATTAAATATGTAAGATGCCTTGAAGTTGATTGAAAAAAGTCAAACTAGACATATAAACGGGGACATAGTGAGTATTAAGCAAGTGAAAACTAGGAAGCGGGTACTCACAGCAAAAATGACGGCAAGGAAGAAGCATAGCGGCAGTTGGTGATTCAAAACACACTTTGCACGCATGTGAATTTGCATCCCCGTTCCCCGAGAGCCCACGCTCTTTTTCCTTCATCTCTCGCATTCGAGCCTGTACGTACATAATGTATGCATACAGAATAGCTTTAAAATCTAATATTGTAAATGATTATTCGGCGAATTAGAACAAGCCATTTATGACAATCAAATGGAGCCTGAGTTTGTAATGAGGATCACGCTTACCTTAAGGCGTGCAACGAGTGGCTCCTCTTTTGGAATTTCAGGAGGTGGAGATGGATTATCAAGGGATTGAAATTCTGAGCAGACGGGATCGTTGTCATTCATCGTGGTTTCCACTGTGCCACGTTGCTTCTCATTCGTCTTCAACTCTCGTCTCACTCCATTGTCTTTCTTCAGCTGTGCAACCAACACCCACATATTAGCTAAGTCATTTTCCAAAGCAGCTTCCCTTTTCTTTGCCTCTTCAACAGTTTTCCGGCTCTCATCCTCCTTAGCCTCCTTCTCAGCCAAGGCAACCTCCAAAGCAGACTCGCGCTGTTTCCTTGCCAGCAATTCCATCTTTAAATCTTCATGGTCTAGGTCCCACGTGTCAAAGTCATCATGAAGGACTTCATTTGCCCGACCGGATGGAAAACCTCTACAACCCTGCCTTGTACTACTCTCAATGCTATTGCGGTTTCCAACATTACCATTCTGCACACCAGAACTCCAACTAGAGTTCATCAACTTCTCTCGAGCAGCAGATAGTTCTTTGTCTACTTTTGCCTTCTGTAACGAGAGCTTGGTGACTTCTGCAGCTATGCTTTTCAGTTCAACAGCAGCAGCTGACGCTAATTCCCTTGCATATGAAGCCTCCTCTGACAGTGTCTGGTTCTGTACACGAAGTCTAGTGTTCTCCTCCACAATCTGAACATGTTCTAGCTTGAACCTCTCATTCTCAATCTCCTTCTCAGAGTACAAGAGATTCTATTAGTAATAGTCTAGAACTCCCGTTGGTTTTAATTACGTTCTTAAAATTTAGTAACACTTGGAGTCCATTTTCATCCATGAATATACTAGAGAGAAAATAGAAGGAAAATGGGAGTGAAAGAAATTTTGGGAGAAATAAATACTTGTACTCCGAAATAAACTCAACCTCGCTGAATTAATTTTAGATCTATGTTCAAAAATAAATTCTATTATATGAAGACTAGGAAATCTAAATATAAACTTGTAATAAAGGACAAATGAAAATTCATCATATTCCATTCCACACAATATTTTCCGAGGCAAATCCAACAATAAGAAATCAAAATTCATGAACGTCTCTTTCTTCCCCTTACATTTTCCATGACCAAACCATACCCTAGGAGAAGGGAGTGTAAGAGTGTTTAATACTTGCAGGGTGCCAATTACCTGAATTTGAAGTTTCCTTTTCAGTTCATCTGTATGTTCATCACGCACACACTGTTCAGAGAAGAGTGATGATTTTTCACTCGTGAGATTAGATAACTGGTGTTCCATGTTACCAATTTTTTCTTGCAGCTCCTCGTTCTCCAAGCACTACCAATAACAAGTGAACAATAATGGTGTTAATCATTCAAATGAAAGCAGTAATTCCAGAAAATTAGTAGGAAAAAAACTAAGGGGGGTGTATTCAATTCAGATTTTAAAAGATTTTGATAGAGTATTTAAAAATGGAGTAAAATCAACGGATTATTTTAAGTCTCTGTAGAGTTAGATAGATTTTAATATATTTTTCAAAATGATTTTATAGAATTGTTTAGGATTGTTTTTATTCCTTTATTCTTCTTTGTTTCTCTGGTTCTCCTCCAGGCCCTTTTCGTCCTCTTCTTCTTCGTCCTCCACTCCACCTTCCTCCTGATAGATCTATACCACTTCTTCTTTCTCCTCATCCCCACTTCTTCTTTCCCGTCACTATTCCCTCCGGCGTCTCCGCCCCTGCCGGCGCATCTCCCTCTGCGAGTTCAAACTTTCAGATCTTCCCCCTCCTTTCTTTCTTTGAGCAATTCTCTTTCAGTGGCGATTCCAAATCAGTCAAAATCTGGGCACGTTCTGACAGATTTGTGTAATGAATTTTCTTTATAAAAACAACCGCAAAATCCATCAAAATCCACAAATGAAAAAAATCCTTCAAAATCTATAAATTATTTAATACCATTGGATTTTAACATGCATTTTTAAATCTAAATTCAATATCCTTAGAATTTGAATGACTTTTTAAAATCTCAATTAAATACCTACTAACTTTGAAAATCTAAAAAAATCCTACAAAGTCTTGATTCAATACACCCCCCTAATATTCTAAATGCACCAAATGTGGTGAAATAGAAGAGGGGGTGGGGGGGGGGGGGTTGGACTTCACCTTGATTTGCAGCTGTTCTTGAAGAACCCGATTATCTGCTGACTTGATCTGCAACCCAAGATTCAGATGTTAAAGAGCATTCTGTAACAAAGTTAAATCATATACTTTACTCTCATGCCGGTGATAACCTCAAGCTCAAACCCCTGTTCACTACACTGGGCCGTCAATTTTGTCAACGCCTGTTAAACACCAAAGACAAATTGTTACCTGAAAGACCAAAATGCTACTAAAAATCACCAACAACGTTTAGTATACATCACATATGAAATGAGATAGGGAATGCATTAAAGTGACTAAAATCAGATCACCTGTTGCATCTCAATGAATGTTGATTTAGCAATTGACGTTTCACCGCTCTCTACAATTCGTTGTTCTAGAACTTTCATTTGTGTTCTTTTCTCTTGAATTTCACGCTCCAAAGTTTGAATCTACAGAAAAATTTTAGGCAATTCACATGAATAACACTGTCTAGAATTTGAAAAATATTTTTCCCATGAATATGTTTACTTCCCACTTAGCATAGCATGTTATGGTAATGGAAAGTGCACTCAGATTTCTAAAAACAAAGGCACAAAGTTACTACATTAATATACAAAATATCTTTACATATATGAAAAAGAATCCATACTTGCTTTTTAAAGCTCCCTGGATCATCTACAGATTGCTCCAAGAGGCGCTTTAGTGTACTGGTGCTGAACGCAATATCTCCAGCAAGCATTTTGACTTGCTCAACTAAAAGATCCATCTGGTCTGAAATACAGATTTCTTCCTATAAAGCCAACAAGGAAACAAACTGGTTAACTAATGCAATCCATATCATGACAATTGACATATTTCATGATGTGCATGTTAATTTTGTAAGATCAATCTTGTAATGAGATACGACTGTAGCAACCATCACACGGTTTCAACTCATCAGCATCAAAATCTTCCCATACAATTGGAATATAGTGTTGAACTGTACATCCAACCCTCCCAAGGTCTGTGACTCTGTGTAGGTTGTTCTATTCCTTCCTAAGAACATGGTACAAGGGAAACTCTCCATTTTCGCATGATAATATAGTGTTGTTTTAGAATGTCAATTCTGAAATGGTACATGACTATAATAATTAGCTCAACTCATCATCATCTTGTGATATCTTTTCTATGCAAGATTGCAAGTGGGAAAAGCTTTGGAATTTCATGTTTTATTTTTTTAGAAGGTTGCTATAGGAAGGGCATCCGTCGACTTTGTCACTATTCGTGCATTTAGAGTATTAACTCGTTTTAGATAAGTAATAGACACTAGTTTTCATGCTACTGATCCAATGTAGCTAGAGAGTAGAGAATAAAGGTAATAAAGATGAATTAATACTATAGTTGAGATTAAGGTAATGATGACGATGAATATGATTAAAGCAATATAGAGATATACTGCAGGATGTTTTGAACTGGATGAACCACTGATAAGTTCACCCGCTTGAGTTGATTCAGTAATTGTACTACCAGCCTGCGATAAATCATCATTCCAGTTGCTAGAAGTTCTTTTGTGCTTAGAAACCGAAGTATCTGATGGCAAGTTCTGTCTGTCGCTGTCTGTCAGCGAAGAACCATCACGGAGAGCATCTAACTTCTGATGAAGGTAAGGCAAACATAAAAGAAGATAATCAGTCTGCAACTTCATCATGACACAGACTACACACCAAAAGATATACTCCCTCCGTCCCCCAGTTTTTGTCCACTTTCATTTTTGCACACCATCCAATGCACTTCTTTAATCCATTTTATCTTGTAATTTGTATATTAAAAAATTATAGAAATTATATATTAATAATCTATATGTTAAGACAAATCAAACAAGATCACACATGACTATATTTAGGCTTACACATTGAAAGAATTTGATGAGTCAAAGTGCTTAGATGAACCGTTTCAAAAGTCAAAAGTGGACAAAAACTGAGAGACGGAGGGAGTATGTATATAAGTAATTGGTTCAATAAACCATTACATGAAATGAACAAAATATTTATGAAAAGAATGTGTATGCTTTCTTCAATTAATAGGTTAAAATGACTAAATATTACAGCATAAAACCTTAAATAAGCAATCTAAAGTCTAGCGATTACTGAATGAACATTAAGATTTGATTAAATAATGAATCAACAAAATAGAAGCACCAAACAACCAAAAATATATTTTGTCTGTCAAATTAGGGGGTGGGGGGCATACATTGTCTTCAGAAGCATAATGGCTTTGTGGATAGGAAGATGCATCACGGCCATCACCCAAATAGCTAGGTGCTGAATTCTTTGAAGAAACAAGAATGAGTTTTGTAAGCCTCTGGATTCTGCTCATTAGAGCAGCCTTAGCTTCCTCCTCCTCCTCCAATCTTGACTGCATTTTAAATTGTCCTTCTTCCAACTGTAAAATAGTTGAACCAAATAGAGCCCAAGAGACATATAGTAAGTCCACTAAAATATTTAACTAGTGCATAAAGTTCAAAAAGACAAATATTGAGACTTGACATGTACCTTCTGTTTTAAGCTTACTATTTCTTCGTGATTGACACCCACAACCATCCCACTTCTTAGCTGATCAAGTTCTTGCTTGAGGCATGATATTTCTCTTTGGTATTTCTTAATCAAAGATTTTTCATCTATAATCTGTAAGAAACAAACTCAAACATTAGGATTTCCTTAGCCAAAAACCTTCAATAAGTCCAAAGAACATTATAACAATATTAATCTATAACCTTATTGCGTGATGCATATATTTCCACTTGTTTTGCCCTACTTGCAAATTTTAACGTATTGTGAGTTTCCTCCAAATTACTGGATGCAGGAGTAACTGTACAGATGAGCTGAATTGAAAGAGCAAACCATAGAAAGTGTGAGTATTTTGTCATAGGACTATTATTTTCCCATCAACTTTTTCTAAGGCATGCTGCATGCAGGTGAAAAAGTTAAAGCTTAGGGAGGAATAAACTAAAGAATGGCATGTAATAGAAAAGTTTAAAAGTACGATAAGATATATGTATGAAATGAAATGTAGTATGGCACTTACAGAAACATGTCCACGCCCACTCAATGAAGACTGTAACAAGCGAGTGAGTTTAGAATCTCTATAGGGAACATGCGATGCCTTCCCTTCACTTAATTTTCCAATAACCTTAACAATCGTCAGATGCAAGCATAAGGTTGTGTCAGAGAGAGAGAGAGAGAGAAGCATAAGGTTAAACAGAAAACAAAGCTGGTGTAGTGTTGTAAACCATTTTAAAGGGAAGCATCATAAAACTTATACCATTAACCAACAAAAAGTAAAATTTAAATGTGCTGTGTGCAGTAATAAAGCAAAAAAGTGTATTCATGTTTTTGTACACATAACAAAAACTTTGATACAATGCCTGAGATTAGATATTATTTCCTGACAAAGAATGTCTAAGTACTTACTGTTCCAAGGGTTAAAAGACTTTTATTTATGTATGATCCTTCCTTTCTCCTTACTCCCGTTGTTTCTGTCTTTGAGCTCTCAGACCCAGCTAAATCAATTAAGTTCTATATCAGAGAGAAAAAGGCTACAAGTCAGTAATAGGCTGCTGCAATTGAGTTGTTAAAAATGAAAGCAAAATGGAATACCAGTTGGGAAAATATCACTCCATCATAGTCATCTCCATGGGCACTACTTTCAATCATCTGCAGAGATTAAAGCTCAAATTAGATGAAGAATTTAAACGGTCACAACAAGTGGCACTAAAGACAAAAATCAAGCAATATACAATCAAAATAACATTATACGGAGTACATACATACTGGCAAGGTCCCAAATGAACAACAACAACAACAACAACCCAGGTGAATCCCACAACAGTAGGGTCTGGGACAAAGGAACTAACAAGCAAAATTGTACAGTTATGACATTTGTGCAAAGGACAAATACCAACAAATTACATTAGCATCAACAACACTAGAAATAAGACAAATTACCAGACGATGACTAAAACATAACAGGTTTCCCAAAATGTCACCACAAAAATTTATTATTTTTAAAATGATTAAAAAGAATCAGCGTGACTAAAATCACCTTATGACAAAAGACTAAGGTTTACTGGTCAATCATTTGACTGCAACCAACAGCCATGCAATGATCAAATATAGATTATTTATCAATAGGCTAGAAAAAGTAGAACACTAGAAAATGGCATAGTTATAATTTGCATACATGTCTATCATAGGCTCATAGCCAAATATGCAGACATGAAATTCAATAATCCATGGCCCATATGCATTTCCATAGATTAAACATGTGTGTAGCACTTTGGTGGTGCTAGAGATCTAAATTAAATACTACTCCCTCCGTCCCATAAAGTTCCGTACACTTTCCTTTTTTGGATGTCCCAAAAAATACCTTACACTTGTTATATTCCCTATTTTGGTAATCGATATGTGGCTACCAACAATTCTCTCTCCTCTAAACAAATTCTAACCAAACTTTTTACTTTTCAACAACTTTCTTAAACTCTGTGAATTAAAAGTGTGACAGAGGGAGTATTTCACAAGTGAACCGAGCAAAAATTATATTCTGCTTTAAAAAATATATACCTAACAGGTGCATCAGATAATATGAATAAATTTGAGAGATTATTATGCTCAATTGGCACTCAATCGAGTCTTCTTGATAGCAAGGAGAGATTTCTCCACCAAGATAGGAAATGAATTGGGCATCATCAATCATGGTTACCGATTACACAAGAATACTTCCTCCTATGAAGAGTATGACATTCAACAAAACACTAGAAAACAGTGGAGAAAAGTCCAGTGTAGCAAATAATAGTACATGAAAAATTATAAGTATGTTTAAACAAAGCAGAAACTTGTATTACAGATTTAATAAAAGAATTAACACATTGAATCTGAACTCGATGAGGGATGAACTCCCCGTTTGGGAAGCAGTTGTCACATTGTAACCATGCATCACACCTGTTCAGATATGCGAATCTGCAATACATCTTAGTCATTACTGCTACACCAAAAAAATCCATCAAATAGATAAGTAAACTATGCAAAAGCACAATATAAAGACCCAAGAAAAGAATCACTAACAAATACATTTAGTGCATCTTAGCTAACAAAGAAACAGTCTTGAAGAATAAAATCGTAGTCAGAAATTCATATTTCACTCCCTTGCAGATCAAATTCTAAAAGAAAATGACTGCAATGAAAATGGAAACTTCTCTTTCCAAAAATACAATGTGGAAACCATTCGATTAAGAACAAAGGTTTACAGAAACAGCCTGAAAAGTTATGTACTATGAATAATGCCCTATATGACATTAATTCAAACAGAAAAGGAATTGGAGGATGAAAATGAAGAAAACAACCAAGCCAATTCACTTTGTTTTATATTTTAAAAATGGCCCCAAAGTGGCATTGGATAATTTCAAGCATCCATTCAAAACAGGCACATTAGGGTGAACACTTGCTTTAATCTTCCATTGGTATCAACAACCATTGGAACCACAAGTCCTCCACCTCCATTGGCACACAATTGAAAGGTTTCCACTTTCCACGCTGGTATTTTAATAATTTTGGAAAAAGAAATTCCCATTCCCATCGTACTAATTTCCTTCTCACATTTGACTTGCTTGAGAATTTAAAGTTTCATATGAACTTCCAATTTCCAACTCTAATTCTGTTCTTAGTAAATGTTCTCTTTGTAAGCGCAAAAGCATTTAATGTATTTCTAAGTGACTATTTTGTTGTAATCTTATATTTTATTCTACAAATATTACATATCTATTTGATGGGTTTGTGGTGTGGCAGCAAAGTACAAATATACATTCCACAGGACCAAGTGCATTGCAGGATTACACCATTTTTATTCTTTTACCAAAGTTTGTAACACAATTTTCAACTTTATTTAAACATCACGTGTTTAACGTTTTTTTTCATATACTATTATTTGTTACTATTCCCCAATGTTTTTTATGTTTTGTTGAAAGTCTTAATCTTCAATCCAATAGGGATTACATGTTTAATTGGTACTTATGACTGACGGAGCACAATTCATTTGCTACAATGAGGAATTAATCAGCCATAGGACTCGAATTCTCGCACCTACCTGCCAAGAAGACTCCATTGCAAAGCAGCTGAGCGTAAGGATTTTCTGACATCTGTTCATGTTCTTATGTACATGTTAGGAAAAAGATACTATGTAATACTTAATGCAACACAATTTTTTCGTAAAGCTGACTTTTGAAACAATTAATTTTGATCTTTCTAAGAACATCATTATGCTATGGAAATGCACAAGGACCGTGAACTATTACCCATCACTCTTATTTTTACCTAACAACAATCGAGCATAACCATTTCAGATCATACCATCCAATCACACCAATAATCCAACGAAAAACCTACCAATGTAAATATAGTGTGACTGCGGCTGCTGAACAGATTAAAATTATTTGAACCAACATGACGGTGCTCTGAAATAGAAAAACAATAATCAGAGAATTATTTATGAGATTTGTAGGTAAAGATGCATAATATAAGCAAAAGTTACCTTCCCCTGCAGCAATGAAAGAAAGTGCATGACCAGGAGACAAAACAACTTCTTCCTTTATACCCTCGACATAAGTACCCTACACGTTCAAATATTCAATCACACAAAAGAGAAAAGGAGATCCTAACCCAGCCAACTTTTCTTACCCATCCCAGTTCCCTAAAAAACCTACTAGATATATTTTCCTAAACAACTTTCTTTTCTTAATCCACCTTTATTTTCTTAAAGCCACTCACTTTTTAAAGCCTGCACATCTTTTCTTACCCACCCCAATAGAAAAGGCAAAATGGGGAGGTCAACAGAAAAATTAACTCCCCTAAAATACTGTGAAGTGAACTGTGATTTTAATTGCAAGACGGGGGACAGGGGAGTACTTGTTATCAGGCATTCCAAGAAACAAAAGTATTTATAGAAACACTTGTAATACAGAGAGTACAGAATGAAATGGAAATTGGCATTATAAATATTGTAAAAGCTATAAAAAAAACTCTGTAGATAGTAAAAGCTAATATAATCGACCAACTATAAAAGAAAAACCTGTGAATCTTCTCTAACACGCAGATTCTGCCCAGTGGGATCAAGCAAGTCATTGATCACCTGAAAGCATCATCATGAATAGTAGAAACTACATTTAGAAAGAGATGAAATTCCAAAACAAAATTAATAGAGAAAAAAATCATTTTCCTCCACTTGCACACATGAGAAATTGCAATAGTAGTGTAGTACAAGATTTAAGTGTTTAAAAATGCATAAACTTCTCAAAGGCAAAATCAGGTGAAAGAATTAAGGATGGGTTCAAATGTATATGAATCCACGATTCAACATGGATAATGATTTATTTTTCCACAATGGAGAAAGCTGACCTCGTTGTAGATCTCAAGATATGATACACGAAGCAAAAATTCACTTCCTGGAGTCTGAAAGGAAAATTTAATCAAGTTAGTCCAACTATATATATGAAACAACAGAAGATCTGCATAGCTCTGATTATTTGAATACTATGTGCTGGAGCAGAAAGAGGGGCATGACACAAATACAAATCTGGATAAGTAAATGGTAACAAATAGTACCGATATATAATTGCTTCTTTGAGTGAGATAGACTGTACTCTTGTTTTTAGTAGGGTTTGCATTATTCAAAGAAATGAGAGGTTACAAGCACTTACATCTTGAATCATGCTGAATACATCCTTTATCGCCAATGGAATTATACCTGGAGAACATTGATCTCCCTGTGGAAAACAAAACAAAAGCCCATGTAAAAACAAATGGTTGTGAGTGTATGGGTGTTAAAAACTTTCAAATGAGCAAAAGGGGCATGCTACAAACCGGAAAAGACAATATTTCATCTTTGTTTGGTCACAAGATTTGTGATTAGCGTTAGCATTTTGGATAATTTTTTTATGGTTCATATTAACTTTGAAAATACTAACACTAAAGGCTACTGTTGGATAACATTTCCAAAATACAATAGTTGAATGCTAAAGTTAATGCCAAAAGAAGCCTTCATAAAGTTCAATGCCAGATGTGTTAGAATATAAGAAATCATTGCTGGACCACAACCACAAGCTTGAGCTTTTGGTTGAGTTGGTTCGTTGATAGGATGCATATTCAGATAGCTAGAGCATAAAAAATAATTTGCGGGTGTGATGAAATTGAAATAAGTTTTTGGTACCTTCAGTGCTCGAAATATCATTTTTAACTTGAAAACTAATCACTACGTAGTGTTGTTACACCTAATTATAGCCTTCTCCAACAAATCTACAAAATGTGATTGGCAAAGAATAGAGTAACATACATGCATAGTATGTGTCTTTCCACTGCTAGTGACACCATAAGCAAATACAGTCCCTACAAAACAAGCAGGGCTTAGGTTGAAGATATGAGCCAATGAAGTAATGGAACTAACCAAAAAACATAAACCATACTCAATAACAACTAGATAACCGTTTCTTTTGTCGGAAAACTTTAAAATGAAAACAATATTTTTTCCCCATTTCAGCATCCCTTCCCACAATTATATATATTATTGGGAAACCTAGAACTGGATCAATTAAACCATGACCCCAATATAGTTAGGGTCAGTTAAGTGTGCGAAGGGATGCTTACATGGACACTTTCTATTTAGTGCAAGGATAGAAGTTTGTCATTGTACCAATAACTTCTATCCGTATAAAATACACATACCATTTATCCCTTCCATTGCAGATTTGACAACCGGCCGAGCAGCAATTTCATAAATCTCCAGAGTACTTGTGTCAGGCCCAAACACTCTATCTAGCAGTACAAAAGAAAATGTTGTCATCACATTTCATTCCGGACTAATCAAATGCTCTGTATGAACAAGAACAGTTCAAATACTACTTGATTGTTTCATTTCAAAAAGTACACAAATCTCACTATTGATCACAACTGGAATCAACAAGTGGGTGACGAACGGTATAAACATACCAAATGCATATGCAGTTGCTGGATTATATTCATTTCTTACAACTTTATCACCATCTGGATACCAGGCTATTTCATCCCCTCTCTGATATTCGCGTTCACTGCAACCACATATTCCAACAAATTGCAAATTTCACAGCCGTATGTATCTCACAAGTCAATCCAATCTATTGAAATATGTAAAACATGATGACCTCCGATCCAGTAATAATTAGATCTAATACCGTTCAATAAGATCAAGCATCTACCTCATAGGACGAAACCTAACAGTCACAGATATACTATCCCCCGATCTGGAAGCATCCACTGGTTCATCAAGCATCTCATCCGCGGACGGATAATGGACCGGAGTACGATTTCCATAACTTTTTGAATATGCCGAACCACCATGATTTGCACTGGGCATCATCGATCTGGAACTGTGCCCAACAGCAGACCCAAAGAAGGATGTGTTCGATGCGGGAGACGACCGGGGTATCAGCCTTCCGTTCGTGAGAGACGACGACGAAGAAGAAGAAGAGAACTGACTGGACGGCTTCCGGCGGTGAAATGGGGAGCTGCTTCGTCCTCTGGAAGAAGACGCCGACATTCCTCAGTCAATTCACCGATCGGTCGAGCTAACGCGTACTAAACATAGATAGGTATGTGTGTAACTGTAAGAGATCACATGGAGTCGCGAACAACCAACTTTACAGGAATGTTGAAATTCCTGAGCCAAGGAAAAAGCCAAGCAGTAAGTCTGAAGCATCAGTAGGCTGACACGACTGTTTCTACGTCAGCAGCAGCAGCATCTGTAATTCCCTAGCATTCACGGAAAAGAGAAAATGCCTTCTTCTTCTTCTTCCTCTTCTTCTTAACAGAAGAAAGTTGCAGAGATTTGAAGTAGAAAAAGACCGATGGTGAGCTCGCAAAATTTTCAAAGACGATCGAGTATACTTTTTTTTCTTTCTTGTTTGTATGATTACTTTTTGTTTTTGATGCTCTGCAGATAAATTCTTCCTTTTGCGGTGGAGTGGGCCAGTTGAGGAGCGGCGACGTGGAACTCTGTGGCTGTGTGCGGGCAATCACGTAAATATTTTAACCAACAAATATAGTCCGCTTAGACATCTCCGGCCGGAGATGTGAGCTAAAAGTTAAAGTAGCTACTCTATCATAATTTAACAATCTAAATTTAAGTATTCGCTCCAATCATAGATGTTAAATCTGTACAGTAATTTTACAATTTTTTTTCTCTTTCCTCTCGATAATTTTTGTTTGTTTACGTGATTTCATTAAGCATTTGATAAAATAAAATATTCGTGTCACCTCTTGTTTTGTACTACCTCCGTCCCATTTTAAATTGCATGTTTGTCTTTTTTCCCCGTCCCAAAATAAGTTGTCTGTTAGTTGTTTTCGTAAACTTTTAAAAATAAAATACTTAAACTACCTCTAAAATAAGTCAATCTTCTCCACATTATATTCTCATTCATCATCATCCCTCCTAAAAAGTATTGACAATTTCAAAAAATCAATTCTATTTTTAATTTTCCTTAAATATGCTCAAAAGTCAAAACGGACAATTTAAAATGAGACAAAGAAAGTAGAACTTTTGACGTAATTTTTTAATATGTAATTTTTATATCTTATTGATATACTAATTTGTAAATAAAATGATTTTAAAGAGTAAGAAATTTTACTTCGTAACCCGCAATTTGTAATCTATTTAGGGACGAAGGAGTTTTTTATTATTTGATTTCAATCCCTAGGTTCATCTATGGCTGAAGCATGCCCGGTCTTTTTAGATGATACTACAGTATCATTTATAGATAGATGATGCTCAATCAAATATAGCATGGAGTCTATTTTATAGATCTTCCATTGGAGATGCATTTTATGAATAGTAGAAGCTATATCTTACAATCATCCAAAATAACATTTAAAAAAAGTTAAAATAGGAATGCATTTCACTGTCTCAAATTACTGACCGTGCAACGCACGGGTTAGAGATCTAGTTTACAATCAAACATAAAAACAAAAATAGAAACAAGGTTCCAAAAATACAAGCCTATCTTTTGAGAAATTGGAGAAAAAGCTTTTTATCTTGGCCTATAATAAGGTAGGGAAAGTTAGAGGTGCTGCAGACTCAATGTATAAAGGATGAGGATACTACACACAACAACATGCCACAACATATATAACACAATGGCTTTAAAAAACTTCAGCCACGACCTTACTCGCAAGAACCCGTTCCCTTCTCTCTATATAACCATAAGGGAACCATCCAGCTTTGCCTTTGCATTCACCTTCAGCCCATCCATTATTTGAAACCTGTGTTGACAAATCAAGCATAAGTGTTGTACATGTGTTGTTTCAAGCGCACAAATAAGACTCAAAGCATTTTAATGAAGCACAACACTCTGGCCCCACCCGAGCATTCCATATGGAGATTTCTGAAGAACTGCCTAATGCACATGTGAGAAACAATAACTTTTTCTTAATGGGCAGTTATTGAGAACAGAGAAGTAAGGTCGCCTAAGGTGTAATAAGTTTTAGAGACCAACAAACCTTTCGAACAACAACACAATCTCCAACTGACAAACTAAGCTCCACACCAGATTCAGCACGGAAGGAATACAAAGCCTATATCACACACACAAGGGGTAGATGCATAAAAAGGTTGACATGATGTGTCTGATAAATTTTCTGGTTTCAATTTTCAAAGGTAAAGGTTTTTTATCACCTCCCCAAGAAAGTAACCCATGCTGTCAGTTAAGCCATTTTGCATTGGAGAAGTAGATACACCATTTATTTCTTCATATGGAGGAGGCGGAGGCATACTATCTTCCCTAGAAGCCGGAGCTTCAATCCTTCCGCGTTCTGATGTCATCTGGCATAAGCATAACACAGAGAAAGTCAGTACCTTAAATGTTGAGCTTTTAAAACCTGAACAGAGGTTAGAAAACAATGGCATCATACCTCAGCTTCTAGTTGATCAAGTATCTGAAGAACTTTATGATGGTAAGAACGTTCTGATTCGACCTGACGATAGAGAGAAACTAAAACTCACAAACTTGAAGGTACTTGAAATCTTGAACATGCATTTTACTACCTCCATCCAAAAGGAGTCATGTTTGACCAATGTATTACTTTTTCAATTTTTGCACGGTAAAATTGCCACGAACCATAAATCATACTCCGTACTCAACATTTTTAAAATTTATTTGTCAGTTTACATATATTTATCCCATGTATTTGTTGAATCTTTTTTGGTATTTTTTTAACAAATTATATGAAAATTAGCTTTTGTTGAGCAAACTTGCTCTTTTTTGGAACAAAAACAATCTTGGAAACAAGACTCTTTTCAAGGCAGGAGAGGGGACGGTGGAGTAATAGTTTTTTTTTGAAGTTTGAGTTTACAGCAAAGTCAGCTACCATGGAAATCAAACGCTGAAGTGTAAATCTTTGCTGTTGTGCTTCAACAGCAGCCATTGCCGAAGCAGCTTCCTTTCCCAATATAGCAGTATTTGACTTAAGATCCTGCAATTTTGATTCGGCCACTTCCAGTTTCATTGCCATATCAGGATTTCCATTCCCCTCCTTCAGTTTTGCTTGTCGTTTGAATACTTCAACAGCCTAACTAGGATAACGAGCACATACAATTAAATCTTTGCAATCAACTATAGATTTACACACAACACAGCATATATGCATCCTAGAGAATAATGAATTCAGCTTAAAAGGAGCACCTTTCAAATGGCCAAGGAAGACTTGAATATTGACAAAGTAGAAAAAATGGAGACAATGCTGCCTAGATGTGAGCTTAAAAATGAATTGAGCAATTAGGTTTGAAGTGCATCAAATACATTAATGACTAAACCGAATAACCGGGAATGGTATTTAAATTCCATGGGAGAAGAAAAAAGAAATTATCTACACTCTATAGTTTTGCTGATACGCATAAAATGGAATAGCCAGGAATAAAAGAACCAAATAAAACAAGCCCAGCATATCCTACTCAAAAGTAGGAATTGGAAGGTCGATACATATGCAAGCATTACCTCTATTGCAAAAAGTAGAGATGGTGCCCTAAGGGAAAAAGAACAATTGCGAGATTGGGGTTAATTCTGTCCATACATGCCTACTTTTGCTCTCAATTGGAAAAGAATATATTTATTCCTAAGTCGTGGTCAAACATAGGAATATTTCTGCATTGGAAATAAATGAAAGAAAAGTGTCTCGTGTACATAACATAGGAATATTTCTGCATTGGAAATAAACATTCATGTGTACCAAGCATGCCATAAAACGGAGTATTACACATCAACTTTTTTGGTAACACCAGCGCAATTTATTTGACAGAGAAAGTGTTTGGTGCGTATAACAATGTTCTCTTAATTTCCAGTGACCAGATAATTTTTTTTAATAATCCTTTCATGATAAGTTAGGTTGACTTCGATTTAGAGGCTTGCATTGTGACAAATTTGCAAGCGCTCAGTAGACATCTCTCATCAAAGTGCGCCACAGCATATGGGACACACTATTGGGCAGGAAAAATGTCTAAAAAGGGAAACCAGGACACATGAAGTAATTAGGACACCAGGAAAGGCATATTTAACTTAATTAAACACCTGTGCTTCAGTTTCCTGCCGCAATCTATCATATCGTTGGGCTAGATGTCGAGCATCTTCCAGTGGAGCTCCCATTACCATAGCTCTTAATGGTTCGGCGACCTGACAAACAAAAACATTTAGCAAGTTTCAAGCTACATAATTATTCTCACGTTATAAAAAATCTAGTATTTAAATAAACATTCAAAATATGATTCCCAAATGAAATTTTCAAAGTCATAACTTCTAGATCAGATAATTTTCTAAAGATAAAATTTAGTAATTGGATATAATGATTTTTTGTCAAAAGCCTCGAATTAGAACGAAAGATTTAGACATATTCATATTTCTTCAGTATCACACTTTAAAAATGGAAGTAAATTGTAAAAAGAATACAAATAAAACATAAATTAGATTTGTTTAGGTATTTTTTAAGGAAAAATACTTGTAAAAAAGCAATAACAATTATAAATTCTTTGCATGCATCAATATATTCTACACCCACAGTATGGTAAATAACCGCAAAGACTGCAGGTTTAAATTTTAATGTTTTACATTCCAAACAAATTAATACTACGAAGTATAATTTTTAGGTTTTCTTGTAACAATGGAGAATGAGATCAACATTGTATTGTTTGTTTATTATTAAAGTATGAGGATAGCAACAACAACAACAACCCAATTAAATCCCACAAGAGTAGGGTCTGGGGAGGATTGAGCTGATTTTAATAGATTGGATGTTCTTATTTCATTTTTGATTTCCACTAAATTTTGAAAGCACTCATAAAAGAATTAAATTAAACAAATTTAAATAGCATGTGCATTTAGATGTTTGATTGTCAAATTGGAAAAACTTTAACAATTAATTAAAACCCCAAGTATTCATTTAAATTGAAATTCTAATATAGCAATAGGTATTAATACAAAATATTGTTTCCTAAAGAAATATAATAAAATATATGACAATAAAAAAGTTTTTGTAAAGTACTTGAAGAAAAAATTGAGCTCAAATGCTCAATAAAAAGAACAAAACTGAGGAGAGGAGAATCGAACTCAGGTTCACGGATGTCAAAAAATCAGCACCCCCTACACTGCACCGCTTCAATACTCTTTTACCAATCGGGTTTTCAGGAATATATACTATAATATCAGAATACTTAATATATACTCGTATATAGGATCCCACGTGTTTTCAGGAATATATACTATAATATCAGAATACTTAATATATACTCGTATGCTTCAAAAATCTCAGAATATTAGCATACCACATTTTCAATTTTCTTGTTCTATTAAAGTAGAGCCACATGTAGACAAAGTGAGTAACAAATTGAATTTTAGAAAATATCGACGACGTTAGCCTTGGCAACAAGATGTGAGATTATCTTCAGCTTTTATGGATTAATTGATAATTTAATAGCTGTCATGAATCTCATGATAAGTATTCACCTGTGTGCCAAAGGATTTCAATAGATTTCCGCGCTCCTTCTCCATTTGAGCACGGGCTCGTGAAAAACATAATGCAGCTCTTGATAACGTAGCCCCACTAGTACATGTATTGTCAGATCCATACTTCCTGCTTTCTTCTGAGAGCTTAGTTCCTGAATATAGATATCACCATCATTAAAATTTTGAAAGTACTTTAAGGTTTGAACAAGAAATCAATAGTGTCAATTCAAAGTGTTGGAAATTACCTATCTCAACTTGCTTCGACCCAGTAACAATGTAGTTTTCAACAGCTCGGACAATATCCCTTTGGAAATGCTGAAATTCATAAAGAAAACAAGAATTTAAATGGGTGGAAGAAAATAAAAAGGTAAAAATGTAGCACAAACCTTTAAAATATAGGTAATACAAATTTGAATATTCAGAAATGGATAACTATCTAGAAATTGACTGCAATGCAATATGTCTCAATCAAGAACCTGATATATTACAGACAACAAACCTTGGCAGCACGAGTAGATATATAAAGCTTTTCCAGTTTTTTATGCTGGTGGAGTTCAGATTCATCTGTGTGATCTGAACCACCATATCCCCCAGCTCCGAACTGCTTAAACACAGCCTAAGTAAATAATTAAGAGTTATACATAGCAATAAATATGTCAAAGAAGAAAAATGTGTGCATAAATGCAGGTAACAAATGTAAAAATGCTCTACGTATACATTACAGTTTTTACTATATGCATAACCTCATTTAGATTAATATAAAAACATCGTGATGTAAAAAGTACAGCATGATGCCTACCCTGATTGTTCAATCATATTTTGGAAAATCTAAATGTCTCCCAGCTAAGTTATTTTTATAAGGAACATGCTGACAAAGTTTAACTGTGTTATACACATTGAACATTCAATTTCTAAACTAGACACTCCATAAGTTTTAACAAGTATATGTAGTTACATAAAAGCTAGGACATTAGTTTTAACTCAATAACAACAACCCAATAGAATCCCACAAAAGTCAAGAGTATGTCTAGGGAGGGTGTGCGTTTGCAGACCTTACATCCTTACCCCTACTTGAAAGTAGAGAGGTTGTTTCCAAGCGGCCACACATGGCTATATTTTTCTTTATGTATAAACACAAAAATATAATCAAATGTGAGTGAATGAATTGTGTAAACCCTTCCTCTGTTGCATGTTTCATGGTGCAACAATTCAATCACAAAAAAATATCCACAAAATACAAACACTGTATTTTTGTTGATTAATATAAACTTCATAAAATGTCCAAAAGTTAATACATAGTCCATGACTCCATGGTTAATCCCCCCCCCCCACACACACACACACGGGGGCATATCTACATTCAACCCAATGGGGAATGTGCTGCCAATAAAAATTGGAAAATCTCTTTGACCATATGTCCATATGGAGTATATCATGGAATATCCATGGGTTGGATTTTATCCATGCCACCCCTTGTAGAGTTGTATCAAATACTCCGTAAATCATGTGAATCAATCAGCCACAGAAAAGAAACACTTGTATAGATAGCATTTGAAATTCTTTAATGACGTGTTTGGGAACTTCAATTTCAATTTCAGAATTGACTCAAATTACGTGTTTGAGAATCCAAAACATTGGATTTGGATGTGGGCCAAATTCTTCTAATTCCCAACAAGATCAATTACAGATTCAAACACTCCCCCTTTATATTTGAATTCCCAACCCCAAACTTTAGAATTGAAATCTTAGAATCCAAATGAATTCCTAGTTTCCAAACACTGCCTAAATGCAATGAAATATTGGTAATTGTATGAACATCAATATACATCATCAAATTATCCACTCATTTATTAATGCTTATTATTAGACCACTCTTAGCTCCCTAAAGTAAGCTAGCTACGGAAAATTTAAAATTAACATAGAAAGCACCTACCGGCCATGGAAACAAAATCACACAGATGATAATATGAAATCACAAGAGCATCGTATTATACGGAGTAGAAGTGAGGGGAAACAGATAGATCAATGTTTAACAGATCCTTTAATGGGATCAAACGCTTACAAATCCTTTTTAACGGTCGGGAACGAACGGATTGAAGAAATCAAATGAACATCAACTAGATTAAATTAAAAACTTCAAATCAATCAAAAGAAGCATTTTCTAAGTCTATGATTGTATGAATGCATGAATATGTGAGGAGATCGTACTTGCTGTTGCCGAGCAACCTGTTCCCGTAGCCGCGTGGCTTGCTTTCTAATTGCATCCATTAATGACTCTCGATTCCTTCTGATGATCTCAGAGGTGTCAGGGGAGGGAGAGAAAGTGGACAATGGTTGCGACGAAGGGGCAGTCTTGTCCGAACACATGTGGATTCTGGATACGGATTTTCAAATCATTGGGCTTTTGTAGTTTTGGGCCAAACTGGGTGCGGTTCAAGGGCCACACTATTAGTCCATATATTGCTTCTTAATCTTTCCCGTTTCCATAATACTCCTTCCGTCTCAATTTAAATTGTTTGTTTCAGTTTATGATATTTGAATAACGTTATTTTTAATTTAATATATTTTAAAGTTGGAGTGGAATTAAAAAATAAATTTTACACGGAATGATCTTACATATAGATTTTTTATGAGGTTGCATATAGATTTTTTTCCAAAAAACTCTCTTCTTTTATGCTACAAATACACTAGGATCCGTTTGGTACACGGAATTGACGTAATTAAAATTGAATTGCGAACTTAAATTCTATTGAATTGATTTGGATGGAATTGAATTATACCATTACAATTCATTTTTGGCACTACTAATTCCAAATCCACGTATTTTTGTGCTATCAAACAAAAGGAACGGGATGAAAATTCTACCGAAGAGATTACTACGGGAGTAGGACTATCAATTTTTAAAATGAAGCATCATATACGTTCCAATTAAGATGGTGTCCTCCATATTACCACTCTCTTTGGGTTGCTATAGAACCCAACCAATATATATTTGGATGAGTTAAATAAAAAAGATATTTACCATTCACCATACACACTTTTAAGCACAAATGCATAATCTTAATGTGGAAATGGTAAAGATAAGAAGTGCCAAGGGGATAGATTTGACTTCAAGTCATGAAAACTGTGATACAAGACAATCATACTAATCATAGTGGCTCCGCAGGTATTGGATGCAGGCCACACCTTACCACCAATATATAAATAAAGTTTAATCTGACTTTTTTCAATGACCATTTAACCGGATCTAAAGAGACACTCGGAGATAAGATTCATTCGTGAGTATTTTATTTGTGAGTAGCATTATTTTTTTGGTTGAATGAGAGGAGTAATATGTTCAAAGGGCAATAATTGCATAGCACGTTGCGAGTGTTGGACCATAGCAGGCCAACCCAACAAGAGAGAGAAAGACTAGTCAATTAGTCATCCACTCAGCCGTCCGCATCGCCATTAGGCCCGTCCACCGTTTAACATTTTCCATTTGGTCACATGGTTGGATGTTAATTTACGGAGTCGTAGTCAACGTTAGTGTAACTCCAGCTTTCAAACGTATAATAAGCCATGCTACACTTACACTAAAAATTGTAGAGACTACAATTAAACACAAACATTTTAATGGTTTACACCAACATAAGTGTTGGTATGTTAACAAAAATTTATACTAACACAAAGTATTGGTGCGTTAAAAAAAATTAGTTTTATACTAACACAAAATGTCAGTGCAACCCTACGGTGTACAAATGTGGTACAAAAGTTTGTGGTACAAATAGCTTTATCCTAACCCGATTAGTTTTAGCATTTTAAATAGTATTTCAATGCCGTAGATTAAATCTAAAAATATTAGTAAGATAAAATATTATTGTTAGATAATTTTTCCAAAAGAATAAAATAAATGTTGAAATTATTGTCAATTAGGCTCAACATCATGCAGTTAGGCAAAACTCTTTTACAAAAAAAAATCATAATGCCAATTGATGTGATTTTTGGTCGATATCATAGATATTTGAATGACTAAATCGAAATCACCCTAAATAAGATTAAAATATATTGAGAAGTACAAAAATATTACTTTCATATTTTTTCCCCAAAATAAGACTTTGCACTGTGGTTATGCGACACTGTACATGTGCACATTCCTATATTTTTTGTAATGTGCTTGATCATGGTTGGTGTAAATGCATTTTAAGTCCTATTTCAGAAATAAAAATATGAAAGTCCTATTTTGAAATATTTTTAATGTTTTAGTCTTACTTTGATCTTTCTCCCATAACTAAATAATACAAAAAAAACCCCGGACTAGAAAATAGAAATTAAGTATTGAAATTATCAAGTACTTTGATAACATATATTTGGAATTATCAAACAACTTTCAAATATGTAAAGCATTCAAAAGCCTAAATAAAGATTTAAAAATAGAAAATATAATAGAAAGGGAAAGAGTGTCCTTAAAAACAGAGTTAAGAGCAAGGAAGAGGGATGCCTTGCAATGCCACATCAGCTTTTTCTACTTTTATCATGGCATGGCAAGGCCAAAATGTCTTGCTTGGTGAGACATGAGTGTGGCACTCTATTCTTCCTTTTTCTTTTTTTTTCAAATAATTTTTTTAAAATTTTTATGAAAAAAAAATGTACAAGAAAGTAGAATAATTTTTTAATAAAATAAATAATAAAAATATTTTTTTTATGTTTAAAAAAGTAAAAAAATGTAAAAAAAATGATAAAAAATAATGACTTGTCATTGTAGAATTTGCCAATCCATGCAATTGCCACACGCTGACTGGATTATTTTTTATTGATTAAAATGTTCCATGTCACCGTATGGCATTCCATTTTTGCCTTGCCATTGTTCATGCTCTAAAGGCTACCATCAGTTTGGATTTAGTTGCCATTTTTTTTTTCAATTGTCTCATATTAGTTATCAATTTTGATATTCTATAGTTAAATTACGATGCACAGGAAAACGAAGATCATTGTGTTACTCCAAAATACCTATAAATAGAAAAGACTATATAACAGTAGTTTTTAACATTAACATTTTCAAAATTATTCTATATCATTAAATTTTTATTCAAAATACGAACACTAATTGAAGAAGTGTTGTCAAACAAGACCTAACAAAAAACACAATTTGTTAAAACGATAATTTACCTAAATAGGACTAAAATATAATGACTTTCTCAATATAGGATCATATGTTTTTATATCTCAATGTAGGACCATTAATCATTATTCAAGTAAATGTCCACCCATCATTGGACATTATTCTCTCTCACTAGATATTATTAAGTACTATTTAGATAATAAAAAAAGTTTAAGTCGTACATTAGAAAATGACTTATGTTTTAGTCTTATTTAGTACGAATTTCACTTGTTAAAAAACGTGATTTATATTTTATATAGACCAATAAGTATCAATAGAGAGAATAGTCTCAAAAAAAAATAGGATGATTAAAATTTCCGTTTGAAATGTAAATACGGAGTACATGAAATTGAAAATAATGACAAAATGTGGGAAGGGAAAAAGTAGATAAATGGAAAAAATTAACCCATCCACCAGTTTCGCCTTCATTTCAGACCTTTTCTCCAAACTCCCTTTACCTTCCCCATCTCCTCCTCCTTCTGTAGTCTTCTTGGAAAAATTTCTCCCCGTATATAAAACTCATTTATTCTTTCATTTTATCTACTAAGTAAATTAAATAAATTCGCCCCCGAACTGTCTCCGGCGAAGCCCGCGGTCGGTTCTGAGTTTTTTTTTGTAGAGAAAAATGGAGTGTATTGAAGCCAGAGCGTTCAAGTCGAGCGTCCTCAGCAAAATATCGATGAAATCCAACACCCAAGCGTTCCTCGACGACGTATGGTGTTTCGCCGGCCTGAACAACGTCGGCAGCGGCGACGATTTCTCCATCGACGACCTGTTGGACTTTTCCGGTAAGAGTCCCGGGGACGGGGAGTCGTCTTTGGGCTCCGAGGAAGATGATGGCCTGAAGAGGAATTCCTGCTTGGCGTCTCCCCGACACCCGAATTCCGACTCCCGGACTGTTTCCGGCACCGACGATTTCGGTTCTCTCTCCTCCGGCCAGCTTCCGCTTCCGGTAACAATTTTTTTTCAATCCGATTTTTATGACTTCAGTTATTGGCAGGAATTAACTTCGTTCTAATTGAATTTGCTTTTACTTTTTTGTCAATTTCCTTTTAATGTCATAATAATTCAACTCTTAACGTTTTTACAGGATTACGATATGGAGAATCTCGAGTGGTTATCCCAATTCGTCGACGAATCTTCGCCGGAATTGTCATCGTTTTGCCCCAACCCCTGTTTTCAGCCGTTGACCGGGAAAAACCGGCTTGAACCGGTGATAAGTCAGGTGGTACAGAGAAAACCGAGGAGCAAACGGCCCAGGCTAAGCGGAAAGGTCTGGTCATACTTGTCGGCTCGACCGGTTCATACAGAGTCATCGTCCTCGTTTTCCAGAAAAAGTCCGGGAAAGCTCGTCGAAGGCGGCGTTGACTTTTCAGCCGCCGCAGAAAAGTCACCGCCGGCTAAAAAGCGCAGGAGAGAGTCGCTGGCGGATTCCGGCGTGTCGCTTCGCCGTTGCAGTCATTGTCAGGTCCAGAAGACTCCACAATGGCGAACCGGCCCGATGGGACCTAAAACTCTGTGTAACGCTTGCGGTGTTCGGTACAAGTCCGGGCGGCTCTTCCCGGAGTATAGGCCGGCGTGCAGCCCGACCTTCTCGGGAGTGATGCACTCGAACAGTCACCGGAAAGTTCTGGAGATGCGGCGAAAGAAGGAAGTCGCCGGAGCGGCAAGCCTTGGCGGCGAGAGTTCTCGTTAGCGGCCAAAATGGACCGGAAACGGCGTGAATGACGTGACGTGCGCGCAATAGAAACGGTAACGTTCATAGACGTTTTGAGGGAGTTTTAGAAAGGTTGTGGTTTGTCCATGAATATTTTTTTTTGGTTTTCTTTTAGTTTTTTGTTTTTTGAATGTTTGTAGCATTAAATTTAATTGTAGTTCAATCTAGTATGATTAGTTGGAGTATAAGTGTATCATTTTCCTTTTTTTGTTAGAATAATATACGGAGTATGTCCGTATTTACTATTTAGGAACAGAATACATCTCAAGTTTTTTAAATTTGTTTTTTATAAATTAAATTAGAAATAAACAATTAAATTTATTTTTAAAAAATATGTCAAAAACTTTTTACAAAATAAGATATGATAAAAATACGGAGTATACAACAAAATGAATTTTCATTAAGTAAAATTTTCAAAAAAAAACGGGATGTACCACCTCATAAATAAGAAATATTTATATTAAATAATACTAAAACTTAAATCATTTTTCTAAATATCACTTAAATTATTTTATTCCCTAAGTAACATTTAATAATGTCAATTCGGATATTTACTTGAATAATGACTAATGGATAATGACTGAAAATGCTAAATTGGGAAAAAAAAAATACATGTGATGGTATTTAGAAAAGATCATTATATATTAGGAGCAAGGTTCCCATGACATTAGGAACCAATGTCATGGGATGACCCGGGGGCGCTCCGGTGCCCCATTCATAAAATTGACGGTTCCTACCCCCCTAACCCCTCTGGTAAACCCCCCCACCCCGCCCCGACCCGAACGCACCCCCACCCCCTTCAATTGCACCCCACAAGTTGATTTTGACTTTGGAGTCATGGGAACCAAGGTGTATATATATTAGTGTTATTTAAGTAAATTCCTCAATAAATAACCCTTACCGTAATTTTAACATTTGACTTTTAAGGAAAATAAGAAATTGATATTAAGCCTTTAACTTATCAATGATACCCCCAAAACCTGAATGTAAAGCAGGGGCGGATCCAGCAAGGAGAGTATGGGGGCAGCTGCCCCCAGTGAATTTTTTTTTAATATATATATATATATATATATATATATATATATATATATATATATATATATAATGTTTTTATTTACGGAATCGAATGGGGGATGAGTTTTTGAATGCTTGTGTGATTTGTGATGTGGAAAAGGAAGCCTTTTTAAATGTTACAAATGAAGATATAATTGATCGCTTTCAAAAGATGAAAACTCGAAGAGGACAATTGTAAAAGGTATGTTCTATCTATTTAATTGTACCTTGTTTTTTAATATAATTTTAATGGCAAGAAGTATGTTCTATCTATTTAATTGTCTCTTATTTTTAAATTTTTTTTCACTTTAATTTACATAATGCCCCCAGCGAAAAAAATTTCTGGATCCGCCACTGATGTAAAGTAAGTGAACATCTCAGCATAGGAATTGTACTTTAAGCAATTACGGAGTAAAATATAGAGAAGTTTACATTTCTAATCAAAGTACACTTGAAAAAGAGAAAAGTTTTAATAATGAAAAATTTGTTCTAGGACTAAAAAAATAATGTATTTTCATGAATCGAATTAAGTATGTTATATTCTTTTTATGGTAGATAATTTCATATGATCCACTATAAATGCACTCAGTAACAACAAGTGTTAGATAATAACTGGTTATTTTATGTTATTTTTTTAAATACAAGTCATTTAAAAAAATCATTATCAAACATTAGAGTAGATATGATTGATCTTATTTAAAAAAAAGTGATATGTTAAATTTTTATTTGAATAAATTATCCGTATGAGTAATAGACACTAAAAGTTACACAAAACTTTTTCCCGACATACATACATTGCTCACACCATTTAAAGGAAAAAACTAGAAAAAGAAAAAACAAAAGATAGAGATAATCATTCATATTTAATTTGATATGCAAAATGGTCTACAAAGGTGATGGTGATGTAATAAATGAAATGGCCCGAAGATAAGGCTTTGTGATTGTGATGAAGGAACACGTACAATAATCTGGCTTCGTAAATTTAATTTTAATGTTTAAAAGTAAAATAATGAGAAAAATCAAAAGTGCGTGTTACTTTCATCTCATAACTAGAGACACAACACCAATAATTGCAAGAGTTGATTTTTTATTAAATCTACCTAGAAAGTATAATGATGAATAATTTAAAAATAAAAATTATATTTTCAAAATCTGGGGATGCATTAAATTTCATATTCCATTATTATTTCCGTATAAAACAAAATATGATATGAAAATATTATATTAATATGTTATTACGAATTTAAATATTAAAGAGAAAAATGTCAATCAAATTGTTAGTGTGAGTGTTTCGAAGTGCGACTTTAGTTTTGAGTCGCGGTAAGTATATTCATACATGCATTTGTACGTATTTGGAGTTTTGGACGTACTTCAACAATAAGTATAGTGTTTTTGGACAACAGATTTGATAGCGTAATATGTTGCTTAACTTTCCGAGCTCACCGTGTTTATACGTTCAATCATCTGATTTCTTCGTTCCATAAAAAATTTCAAAGATAAGAAAATGTGCGTCTTAAAAAATAAGTAATTTTGATATTAATTTCTAATTATGACTCATTTATCTTTCTTATTATAAAGTAATGACAAAATTAGAAAAAAGTATATATCAAAATTACACATTTTTAGGCGCGCCTTTTTCGTCTTTAAACAGGTTTATGGGACTACTTTTTCTATTTACTTCTCCATACTGTTTAGATCCAATTTGTCACATAAATAAAAAAAGTTTTTAATTACATTGTTTTGTCCTCACTTCTTAATTAATTTGCGATATTTGGAAAATGGACAATTAAATTGTTTGTACAAATGTCGTACATTGTACTGTGCCGGTTATTAAAAAACTGGCCCTAATTTGGTTGGTCTAATTTGCATTGCATGAATAGATTATATTGCGAGAATTGAATGAACCAAGTTTTGTTTTCTCTTTTCAACATGGGTGGTGACTTGGTGCATTATTATCAGTGTATGTAACTATTCTGACCCACCCACGTTTCAATGTTTGTTTTGTTATTTAATACTGTGACTTATAATACGTACGAGCAGTGTGTGGAGATGATTTTTTTTTTTAATTTATTGCTTATTGATCGAATTGATGATGAACTTCTTTCATGGCTTCCACGTCTAATTCACGGCCATGTTATTTGGTGGTCTACAAATGTTGTACTTCCTCCGGCTGAATTTTTTCATTAAAAAAATTATCTATATTCATTGACTAGTATGTATTATTATATTCGTTTAGTGCAATTTTTATAGTCAAATTGAATGAATTATTTTAATTTTCCTAGACACAGTGAATGAATTGTGGACTTTAGTCTTCAATCAAACTCGCCTTTTAAAATTTTCCAGTTTTCCACTTACGTACCATTTTCTTCAACTTATTTCTGTTACTTATTCTTATTTTTATCAGAATCAAATCAGTTTCATTCAGATCAAATCAGATTAATTCATATCAGTTTAGATCATATCCAATTTATTCAAATCAAATCAGACTCATTCACATTAGAAAAGTGTTCAAAAAATAAATTATTTTAAAATAATAATAATAATAATTACAATAATAACAATAATTATTATTTTAGTTATAATTATAATTAATAATGATAATCTTCATAATTAATCATAAAACTAAATACTCCGTATTATTAATAATTATTATTATTTACAATAATAATTATAATAATAATATTAATAATTACAGTCATAATTCTTAATAATAAAAATTATTTTTTTAATATTATTAAAAATTATTAATAATAAATTATTAGTGTTATAATTATTGTAAATTATAATTAATAATGATAATAATCATCATTAATAACAACACATAATCATAATACTAATTAATTATAATAATAATTAATATAACTATGAATGTAACAATGATGATGATGATAATAAAAATAAAAATAAAAATAAAAATTATGACTATTAATATTAAAAATTATTATTGTCATAATAATAATAATAATTACAAATAATTATATTTAAATTATTATTAATATTATTAATATAATAATTTTTAATTGATAATGATAATCATCATCAATCATCACAACACTTAATAATAATAATAAATATAATTAGTTATAATAATAATAAATATAATTATTAAACTTAAAATGATGATAATAATAATAACAATTAATAATAATTACAATTATAATTATCAATAATAAAAATTATTATTGTACTACTACTAATAATAGTTATTTATTATAATTAATAATAAATTATTATTATTATTATTATTTGAATATAAATTAAGTTCACTTATATTAGATCAGATCAGATTTTTACATATGAAACAAAAAAATACTTCAAACAGATACTTCGAACATTAGGCGAATAACTTTGTTGCCTCTTATGGGTTTGGAAATGGGTGCCAAAGCTTCATGCTCTTTTTCTTTGTTGTTTTTCTTTTTTCTTTTTTTCATAAAGATAAGAAAAAAAATTTGTGTTTGAAATAATGAAAAAAAATTGTGTATGAAATAATGAAAAGTTTTTTCCAAAATTATATATTTACAAATTTTTTGAAAAAAAAAAGAATGCTTGTGTTTGAATTAAAATATTTAATATACACTTCATTTTTTGTCACATTAAATATTTTTATTTTTTTGCATAAAAAAGTTTTTATTTTTTTAAATATGCTGGGACCAATAGAATACTGAGTAAGGTTTGTTTATTATATATTTCATTATATATTAATAAGATCTTTTTGACCGATGCGCAAGATATTTCCTTCATGACTTACATTTTCTTATTCTATAGAAGTATTTTTCATATACTTTTCTTTTTCTTTAATTTCTTTTCTATTATTTTTTATTTTATTTCAATTCTGATTAAAATAAAAGAAATGGTATAAATTAATGAACAGAAAATGTGAAATTATCTTTATTTGTGTAAAAAGAGAATTTTTATTATGAAAATGGACCAATAAAGACCTCTTTTGGATAAAAAGGGAAATTTTTAATTTGAGATAAATGAAGTGATGTTAGTTCTTTTTATTTAATTTGTTTTTATTGCAAACAAAAAAATTGATTATTAAAACATTATAAAAAAAATTAAAAAGAAATTTAAAACATTTCTGAAAAAATTATAGAAAAAAAGAAATAATAAATAAAAAAGATAGGAAGCGTTGGTCCGATTTCCAAAGCCATAGGAGGCAAAGAAAATATTGCCTCAATACTTAAAAGATATTTTAGTCCAGATTGATATTAGCGTAACAATATTAGAACTGCGATGGGCAACTATGTGAGTTTTGAAAATCATGGGGGTAATGGTGTACATTTACCAAACTACGTGGGCATTGGTGCAAATATATTCTATATTGCAAAAAAGTGACGAGCCCCATCCCGAGGACCCCTTAGACCCGGCTGGACGGTTACTGAACAAGTAAATTAGACTTTAGTCACGAATTTGTGGTATAGAGTAGACATTGCACCATGTACTTGCAGAGGCTATATGCTTAGCATAGTTGCATCCGAACGCAATTGTCACAAATCAAACTCGAGTCTACCCTCTTGACACCTATGTCACACCCACCGGCAAACTCCATATTGTAGTTGGAGAAGTTAAAAATAGGTAAGTAAAATACTACATATTTGTTTGATTGGATGTCCTTTGGCACCATGATTAGGTTAGCGTGTAATATTTAGTAGTGTTAGTATTTTTAAAATTTAATCTATATTATTTCACTTATATTTTTATACAAAATGATAACGTTAATTAAACATACGATTTTTAAACAGGGTGCTTATCATTCTATTACGTAATATTTAACAAATCCATTTAAGATGTTCATGTTTCTTTCTTACCAAACATTGATTATCAGCATGAATATTATAATTTTAAAAATAAAGCTACATGACAATTCCAACACTTAGGATTACCATAATATCATACTTTGTACCGATTACGCTAACAATAATTATCGGTGCAACATCAAATATTATTTGTGTGTAGATGCGAGCATTTTCTAATATACTAAACACAATTAAATTTTTATCCAAAATGATAACGTTAGTCGAAAAATTAGTGAAGATGTCCATATTTTTTTCTTACCAAACATTGAGTATCAATATGAATAACTTTATAAATTAAATAATGATAGGATAATCTCAACAATTTTGGGATTACCACAATATCATATTTTGTATAGATTACACTAATTATAATTATCGGTGTGACATCGATAACTACTGTGTTGTATGTAGGTGCGAAGAAATTATGGTACCTAATCTTTCACTTCAAAGGCATCACTAATGAGGTGGAATGAAGGGGAAATGGGGGATAGAATGATGTGGATGGGATGATACGAAGTGAAGAATGATTTTTCAAAAAAGGGATGAGCCCCATCTCCGAGGGCCTCCCTTAGACTTAACCAGTGGGTCATGGAGAGAAGGTAAATTAAACTTTGATCAAAAATTAACAGCAAAGAGTGAAGTCTACACCTAGTACATGCAGAGAACCTATGCTTAGTATAGTTGTCTCTTAGCGCAGTTGCTAAGAATCGAATTTGGCTCTTACCCCCTAGCACTCCTTGCCTTACCAACTGCACAACGATCACCGACAAGAACGATTAGAAAGAAGAGGGGAATAAAGGAGAGAGGTGAAGAGGGCGGACTGGAACAATATTCTCTTAGAGAGAGAAAAAAGTGATTGGTCAATTAATTTTTTATTGTTTTTTTTAACAAATAAGGAGATGACATGTGGAAGTAAAGTATAAAAAAGAGGAGAATGATTAGAAAATGGTGAGAAAAGTTGAAAATGAAAGTGGTGTGACATTGGAAGTAGATGATGTGAGGAGGGAATATGAGTGAATGGTACCAGTGCTCTAAGAGCATCACTATAATGGAGGTGATTTGTGTGGGAGAGATGACCATGTGGCAAGAGAATGAAGAGATGAACCATTAGATGATAATGATTTACAAGTACTCTGGGAAAAATTATGCATCTGGATAGAGAAAGAGAATTAATTAGGCAAAATTGTTGGACAATGTGCTATCATGAATATGTATTTTTGCAATGTCCTTTGCCCATTGTCTTTTAGGTTTTGATAATGACAAAAGGGTGACAAAACATCATCATCATTTTGTGCATCAAGGCTAAGAATCAAAGCTACAACAAGTTCATATCCGTCCGTGAAGAAGGGACTTGAGCATCGGTGGAAGGAACGAGACCGAAGGGGTTGTTTCCTTAGTTGGGTAGTGTTTTAGGTCTTAGATTATGTGTTAAAGAGTATGGCATCTCTAAGGTTCATTCCCTTATCATCTTACCTTTAAAACTCATTTTAGATCAGCCTTTGTGTGGGGAAGTTGCATTTCTATTTGAATAATCTTTAGTTTATTCGAATAAGTCGTGATCTTTCCTGTGACTGAAATTAACCTGTTTTATTTGATTAAATCACCATTTATTCGCATAAGTCCTGACTTTTCACCCTGATTTATTCGAATAAATCACCATTTATTCAAATAGGAACTGGTTTTTCAAGCCACGCGATTGATCCAAACTATTCGAATAGTTCTTGAGTTATTCGAATAAGTCGATAGTTTCAACTACCAAACGGCTAGTTTTTTGAATGCTTTTCATCCCTATCCATTCCCTAACTTCTATATACTACCTACTTTCGTGATAATCTTCATAAGAACACTTAGAACACTTTGAAGAACATATCCTCTGAATATCCAAAGAGATTCTACTCAATCCCCTCCTTATATCCAAGCAAGACAATTGTTTTGATTGCTAAATCATTTCTTGCTTGAGTTTTTCCTCATTGCTTGAGTCTTTTAGAGATATTGCCATATTCTAAAGGATTTCATTGTATTTGCAACAATCTACTCCGTGTTGGGAGAATTACTCGGTTGCGGTTTGTTTTCTTACTTTATTGTAAGGGATTTGTATTCTTGGTGTTGGGATTACACCAAGTGGTAGAAATCCTAACGGTTTGTGAAATCAAACGTTAGGTGGAAGAAATCCTGAGTTTTGTGAAATCAAAACTTTGGTGGTAAGATAAGAGGCTTGTGAAATCAAGTTCTCGAGTTGTATTCGGATTGTCAAACTCCGTTAAGTTTGACGGGTTAGTGAAAGCCTGAGCACGATTGCTTTGGGGACTGGATGTAGGCATTTAGGCCGAACCAGTATATATCGTGTGTGCATTGCTCTTATCCTTCACTTTATTTTGTTTGTGGTGCATTGTTTTTGTTGAATATTCGTGAAGAACGTTTCCGCGCAAAAAAACCAGTCTTTTGGGCAACACCTCTATTCACCCCCCCTCTAGAGGTGTGCGAGGCGTCTAACAAAAATAAGATAACACGACATATTACCAACATATATTAATTCATTTTCAACAAGAAAAAAAGAGGAATGATTAGAAGGTGGCGAGGGATAAAACAAGAAAATGATATGGCCTCAAACGTGATGTTGTGGAGGAAAATAGAAGAGAAATGACTAGTGAATAGTAATGTTCTAATCATAATTTTAAGAATTGAATCAGACTGGACATGACTAGTGATGTGGAGGAGAAATATATTAATGAACAAACGGAATGAGTATAATATAATACTGAGTACATTTCATGATTAAAAAAATTCTAAAATGATTTCTCTTCATTATTAAAACCATTGAAAAATAAAAAGTTGTAACTATGTTTTAAACTTTTAACTATTCTACAAATACAAAGTGCATATTACGGAAATATCTAATTTAAATATGTTTTGAATCACTGATTCCACTAGTAAACCAATATCTTGATCCGTTCGATGTCGGATCAGGTTATGAAATGGAAAAGGCTAGGGTGCCACCACATGGGTGCTACCATGGATGCACCCATGCTTGACACAGACAAACACAGACGATAATCGTCTGTGCGACACAGACAATTATCGTCTGTGTTTGTCTGTGTGAAGCATGAGTGTACCATGGTGCACCCATGGTAACACCCATGTTATGGTACCCTAGCATACCCATGTTGTGACATCCTAGGATGGTACTAATGAAAACTATGCCTATATGGCTATAACCAAGTGAACAACTCCTTATTTCCCGTTTTTTAAAACCCTATTCCTTATTCCCAAAATTAGGGTAAGGAAGACACATTCCCATCACGCCGTATTTTCATCTTGAGGACAGAGGAGCGAGGAGACGGCAGGCGGCTGCCAATCTGCTCTCAGCCCTTCCGGCCCTTGGCATCTAAACTAGCGCCGGACTGTTCCCCTTCATCAGATCGAGCACTTTTCTCGGACTCCACTTTCAGGTATCCTCCCCTCAACGATGCCTTCCTGATTCTCTCGTCTTTTCATGTCTTAAATTTCCAGATCCACATGATTATTCCATACATACATTCCAATATTCGAGTAGATATTACTCATATTTATTGATTTCATTGAATTTTCTTTTCGATGATTGTTAGGGTTTCTACCAGTTAGTATTTATTTTTCGCATTCTTTTGTGTGTGTGTGTGTGTAAAGACTGGTTCTTTGATTGTTATCATGGCCTTACTACCATCTCATTTTTGCATTTAATTGATATTCAAAGCTCAAATTTATTGACATTGAGAGTATCTGAATGTCAAAGACCCTTACTGAGGTGTTTTCGTCAACTTTCGATTTGGGCTTAAACCAAGGAGGAGAGAGTTTAGAGCTTAAAGTGCCCTTACAAGATATGGAATACGTATTCATCTGCGGCAATCCATCGCTGGGTGTCTTCAACAATCTGTACCAATCTATCAACCTAGATAGCTCTTTATTTTGAACGTAAACGTAGTTTCATTTTCTAGAGATCATCTTCGAAGATACTTGCGCATAGAGACTGGACAGGAACAAACATGAGTTGGATTTGTTTCGTGTAGGATCCAGATCTTCTGAAAGAAAAACAGCGGCACCTATGCAGATCTTGTGGGAAAAATCCATATATTTGCACGAAGTTTTAGTAGTTTTTGTGTCCTTGATGTATTGGTCAAGCTTCTGCATCCATTCAGAGTTGTAGTATCGAGGCAACAAATTGAATGAAAGCTTTGAGTTAAATGAGATGATATATGGTGGAGGATGTAGAAAGATTCAAATGGAAAGAGAGAAAGGAGATAAAAGTCAAGGAGGGACAATTGGGAAACAATGTTGGAGGGTAAAAATGTAAAATGGACAATTAAAGCATTTGAATTATACTATAAAAGGAAAGTGGACAATAATGGCTGGACAATAGACATGCCAAAAAATGACCCGACCTATTTTGACCCGTTGAACAAAGGTTTTGTTGTCCAAACTTGAAGTTGACCAAACCCGAATTGACGTGCTAAAAATGGGTCCTGACCGAATCCGAACTTGACTTGACCGACTTGGTAATATCAGAATTTTTCAAAATCATATATTTTAATATGAAATGTAACGTTATAAAATTAAGTTTATAATTATATTTATTTTCTTAGTACTCATTTTTAATGTATAAATTTATATTTTCATACAAAATTTTAATGATATTGCATAATTAACTTACTTTTTTCCAAAATATTTGCAGATTTAGTTTTTGGGTCATAAATATTACTTAAAATGTCAATAAATAAATAAAGGGCATAACCCGTTGGGTCAACCCGAACCCAATGACACCGATTCATGAACATGCAGTTCTCAATCTGAACCCGAACTTACCCAAACCCAAAGTAACCCAAACCCAAAGCGACCGAACCCGACCTGACCGATCGATTTGCCAGCTCTAATGGACAACCTAAAGGGAAAAAGTTGACATAAACACTAGGATGAAGGGAGTACTATGCTACTCCTTCGTAAACAATCTCAAGATTACAACGTACAATACAAAACAATATGATCGGATCAAATTCTAATGAGTGTTAGGGTTTCTATCATTTAGTATTTCTTTTTTGTATTTTTTGATAATACTGGCTCTTTGAGAGTTATGTTGGTCTTAGCACCATCAACATTTTGCATTTAATTAATATGAAAAGTATGGCTTTATCGATTTTGAGATACATGGTGATATACTACATAGTATTCAGATCTCAAGATTATGACGTGCAATACAAAGCAATATGAACAGAACTACAGAAGTTTCATCACGGAGTGGAATAAACTCAAAAGCAACACAAGAAGGTGCTAGTGCTTTGCAATGAGTCTCGTTTGTGACGTTCTTGAACATAGATAGCTTAGTTACATCGAGTGAGATATCAGAACCAGGAATGCCAATAAAGGGCATCAAGAGTTCGTCAAAACTATGTGCCCTAGGTGGCCATCTATGGGAACCATAACTTCCGTGCTGCCATTGGAATATTCACAGGCAATCAAAGTATCACTAAATCTAATTCCAAGATTATTGTGTGGCAGGCCAAGTCCCTAAGCGAAACGTCGTGAGAATGTGAGATCATTTGACCCAAATGCATCTGTAAAGTAGTATTGTTGCAAGTCGACTCAATATCATTAATATAGACGTTAAAACAGACTGGGATATCACTAGAATGTTTCCTCCATAGTATTCCAAAACCATAAACAATATGAAAGCGAGAAAATTGCAAGTACCAGATATACAGAGTTTTCTGAAGGCCATAGAGAGTTTTCTGAAGCTCTCATCAGTCACACCATTATGGTTAATTAGATCAATGTAGATTTGCAGGTGCATTTATACATCATTATATAGCATCCCATCAGGAAACACATCCTCTGAGTGGATCAATGTAAACTATGGTTTGCTAGATGTTCACGGTGAATTTAGAAAGTGTATATTGACTTTTTTGTGGATATGAAATTGTTTTTATTCCTATCATGGAAATTGTTAGTTAGGGAGGATAGTATAATGAAAACAAGAGGGAGTGATGGTTTATTTTCAATGGAGTTCCAGTTAGATATTTGATATTTGACTTTGCTTTGATAATTGGCCTTGATGTTTTGAACTAGACCATACAATTTCTGAATCCTACTATGGATTATGGAATTGATAAAGCTAGTTTCATTGAAATTGGTGTGCATATTTTTAAAAGGCGCTAACCTCCCCCACCTCAGGCGAACGCCTAAAAGAAGCCCGGAGAGGCGCCATGTGTAAGGCGTGACTGAGGCGGTCGCTTGAGACTAATACTTCTCCTCCCTTGTGGTAATTAGAAACTAGGCTGAATTAAAAAAATTGCGTGCTTATGCAATTGCTCCATCGCCTTCCCTAGAAACCAAAGAACCAAAACACACCCCATCTTCGTATCATAACTGGGAGGACACAGGAGTGGAATCACCATCTACCCAGGAGTTGATCCTTCTCTGTGTCCTCTTGAAGCTTTGCGAGCATTGCCATAGGTTCACACCTTTTATTTTTGCTTTGTTGCAGTTCTTTTTTGGCACAATTCTTTTATCTTTTTTTTCTCAATTTTTGTTTTGGATTATATTACTCCGTATTGAAATTATGGAGTACCAACTAGCAAGCCTCATGTGCAAAAAAGTAGCAAGCTAGCTGTGCAAAAAAAGTAGCAAACCAGCAAGGCTTACCACATGGGTAAGATTTGTAATGAGGTTGTTTTGGGAAGGGCTGGAGTTGCACATATAGAGGATAAGCAGCGGTAAGCAAGGCTCAGGTCGTTTGGGCACGTGAAGAGGAAAAGTTTAGAGGCTTTGATGCTGCCATGCAGGCATGCAAGAGGCTTGAGATAGTGTGCACAAGAGGGTTATCCGCAGGTCTTGGAAGAGTTGAAAGAAGTGTATTAGACAGGATCACAAGACTTACGATTTCAGGACCTTAGTCTGAAGTTTATGCTGGATTGTTTGAACCCTAGTATGTAGCCTGTGTATGTGTTTTGTGCGATGGGTTGGTTGCCAGTGTTTTTGTGTGCTTTGTTCATGTGTTTTACTCTTACTTCGCTCTTACTTTGTTCGTGCTATTGTGTTTACTTTGTTTACTCTGTTTACTTTGTATGTGTCTGTGTTTGAGCCAAGGGGCTATTAGAAACAACCCCTCCACTTCTCGGTAAAGATAAGGTTCATATGTTGTTGCAATGAGTTTGTGATGAATAAGGACATCCAATCGAGTACATATTCATAAATGCCTTATTTGGGCTACATCTTAAATTTTATAAACTCATGCTTTGATTGTATTGCATTTTACAATGAATAGAGTTGGTTCTCTGATGCCTAACAAAATTGTTTTGAGCATCGTTGGGTACAGTCATATGAATATATTATGGAATACTCGCCCTTGAAAAGAAGAGTCTCATGCTTGACAGAAACGCTAGAGACTGGATCTTGTCAAAGGATAACCATATGTATTTAGTTTGGAATGGAATGATTTTAGCATTGAGATTATCTCCTTATTTTGCTATCATTTGTACTCTAGAGAATTTATGAGGCTATAGAGTATAGAGTCCTAATCTACTACAAAATTGAGTGAGGAAATTCAAATAAAACACTGATAAAGGAATACTCTTAATAAGAAACTGATACTAATAGTCTACTGCAACAAGTAGAATACTATGACTTTTGCGCCACTTTTCCTCCATGTCTCATATCAGAAGTTTTCTCCGATTATGTATGCATGAAGGTGGTGATTTTGGTAATTGTCGTGAATGGAGTTTCCGGGTAATGGATGTCTGTCTTGGTATTTGCTTTGTTGAAAGAGTTGTGGTGCATTTGGTGACCAATGAGTGGGGAGGTTTTGTAGGCGTAGCTTATTACCTTGATTTCTTTTTGGTTTTGCGGATCGATAGTATGCATTTAGTATTGTGGCGGTGTTGGGATTTTGGTTTTTGAAATGATGTGAGGTAAGGGTGATATATGGACTCATTGATGTGGTGTTGGGTGTGTGTGGTTGTGGTGGACAGGGAGGCATGCTGCAGCTGGTGTGGTGAGGGTGTTTTTTGTTGCAGGTTGTGGTGGGTACTTAATTGTGAGAATTTAAATTATGTCAGACATCCGAAGCCGAAGCCCAGTGGATCGTAGGATGCGTACTCAACGGTATTCCTACCGTGGTGCACCATATAGGCGGGAGCCGAATCGGGGTTACAGGTTCTTTGGTTTAATCATTAATATGCTGCTTAACAATTACTCCGTATTTGTTTTGTTTCATATGTATCCTATAAGCACATATTGGTTGGAGGAAAAAGTTGAAGTTGTTGGTGCACTATCAATGTAAATTAAAGTTTATAATTAAGTTCCTCTAGGGTTATTACTTTCACTAAGTTAGCATGATACCATTACTTTTTGAATTTTTGACATTCTTTTGGGGTTTGTGCATTATACATTTGCCTCAAACTCTTCTTCTGGTAAAATATGTGTGTGTATATAATGTGAAATTGCCGAAGAAACGGTATGCCATCATTTCCATTGCATGTTTTTTTCTGCTCTTGTTAAATTTTATAATAACATTTACTGTTTCTCCTTTACAGCCAGGATAATCTGTGCAACAATTGCAAAAAGCCAGGTCATTTTGCTAGAGATTGCACTAATGTGGCAATATGCCATACCTGTGGCCTCCCAGGGTGTGTCTTTCTGTAGCTCTAGTAATTATTGCATGCTCTTTTCTGCCCACTAGTCTGCCCCCACCCACACACACACACAATTGAGACCAAATAGTTATGAGGACACAGTGTGTTTATTCTTGTACGTATATTTTCATCAGGCACAAGTCATCAGAGTGCACAACACAGTCACTCTGTTGGAACTGCAGAGAACCTGGACACATGGCTGGTAGCTGTCCAAACGAAGGAATCTGTCACACGTGTGGGAAAGCTGGGCACCGTGCAAAAGACTGCACGGCCCCTCCAGTGCAACCAGGTGACCTGAGGCTGTGCCACAACTGCTACAAGCAAGGCCATGTTGCCGCGGAGTGCACAAACGACAAGGCCTGCAACAACTGCAGGAAAACTGGCCACCTGGCACGCGAATGCCACAACGACCCGGTGTGCAATCTGTGTAACATATCTGGGCATGTTGCAAGGGATTGTCCAAAGGGAGGCGACATTGATGAGCGAGGTTATGGACTGCCTCGTGTTGGGTTTCGGGACGTTGTGTGCCGGAACTGCGATCAGGTGGGCCATATGAGCCGGGATTGCATGACCATGATCATCTGTCAGAACTGTGGAGGTAGAGGACACTCTGCTTTGATTTGCCCATCTGGTAGATTTCTGGACCGTTTCCCCCGGAGGTACTAATTCTTCAAAACTCTCAGTGTCTGGGCTCCACAACGGTTTTGGTTGTTGAATTTCCTTCACAATCCAATTGATATGACTAGTAGTCCTGTACTTTTTTTTAATATATAACGGAGGGAGTTGGTATAATATATTTATGCATGCTTTATCTCATTTAGAACATTGAACTGAGTTGTTGATTTCATTGACTGGTGAAAATATGTCGCTCATTGTCATATTCTATAATTGAATGTCTGCTTGTTTTTTTGGCCTAGAAGGATTTTTCGCTGCGAGCGAACATAACTTGGAATAGATATGTTGTTCGGTGTTATTAATATTCTCTCCCCCATAAAATTCTCTACATTTTCCGATTTCAAAAACAGACTTTATACTTTATTTCCTATTCTGGTAATAGATATGTGGCTACCAACAATAATCTCCAAACAAATTTCAACTATATGTTGGCCCCGTTTGGCATCAGAGTTAGCGTTTTAAAAAAACTATCCAACAGTAGTCTTTAGCGTTAGCATTTTCAAAAATTAATTTACACCATTAAAATTTTATTTAAAATGCGAACGCTAATTGAAGATGCTATTCTCAAGCAAGGTCGTTAATTGATAGAGTATTGTAAACAAAAGAGTCAACTTGTGTGTGTACTTTAGCTTCCATTTGGTGGGGGGTGCCTCTCAGCTTACTATTCTCACGTGCTGTCCTCTCCTCCTCTGTCATGGTATGAATTTGCCTCCACAATACGACACCTCTCGTGATAAAATCACGGGACTGTGTGCCTTTGGACAAGTTGGAGATCTTGTGTTCCAATCTTCAATAATATTTCCAATTACTCCATCGTCTCACTTTGTTTAGTATTTACATAGTTAAATTTCATTCACTTTGTTTATCTATTTTCGTTAGTCATTTGATAAAACATTCTCCAAAGCTCTCTGTGGAATAAAACATCCAGACTAACAAATTTGCGGCCATATTAGCAGAGCGATAAATAAAGCAAAGAGTCAAAAAACTAAAGTCCTTGTTAAAGGAAAAGAATGGTGGTGTGGCCAAAAAATGTCTTTCCTCTCATCAAATTCTAACCATTTTTTTCACTTTCTAGCACTTTTTTTCTTAAACACTATCAAAACAAAACAAAAAAGTTTATTTAAAGATGGAGGGAATATATACTTTTAGTTCTTGTTTGGCCAAAGAGTTAGAGGTCAGAGTAAACATTTTAAAACATTATCTAACGATAAAATTTATTCATTATTGTTTTCAAAATTAATCTAAATATTAAAATTTTATTCAAAACATTAACGCTAATACAAAACATTATCACAAACAAGACTTTAGTCTTTTATGGAGTATATAACGCTTTTCACGTTGCCCATAGAATCGTCTCGAATAATTGCTCGAAATTTTAGTCTCAAAGAAACTAAATTGATCATATATATAAAGACGACATACTCCCTCCGTCCCCCAGTTTTTGTCCACTTTCATTTTTGCACACCATCCAATGCACTTCTTTAATCCATTTTATCTTGTAATTTGTATATTAAAAAATTATAGAAATTATATATTACTCCCTCCGTCCTATTTCATAACGCCTGTTTCGGTTTACGATGTTTGACTGAAATTATTTTTAAATCATTTTATATAACAAATGATATAGAGTTAAAAAATAAAAATTACATATTATAATACTACATCAAAAGATCTACAAAACTAGTAGTGACAATAGTATTTTATTTTATCGAATTGCTAACGAAAATAGAGAAAGAAAGTGAATGAAGTTTGACCCTGTGAATAGTAAACATGCATTATAATTTGGAACGGAGGGAGTAATAATCTATATGTTAAGACAAATCAAGCAAGATCACACATGACTATATTTAGGCTTACACATTGAGAGAATTTGATGAGTCAAAGTGCTTAGATGAATAGTTTCAAAAGTTAAAAGTGGACAAAAACTGGGGGACGGAGGGAGTATTTTTTTTCACATTTTTGTTGACCATCCACGTGGACACCACAAGATAGTATTTGACTGACTCCCTACTCCACTAAATCCCTCGTGTAGCCGATTATTCTCTCTCTTTCTCCCCCCTTCCGTTTCAGGTTTCTTCTCTCCCGTGAATCCTTTCATGTCTCCACATAAACAGAAGGATAATTAAACTTATTTCTTCTCTCCCGTGAATCCTTTCATGTCTCCACTAAACCCCATTTTTACAGTATAAATCCCGACTAATGCGGAGTAGATCACAGTAATTTTTTACAGTTATACTCGATCCGTATATTTACCCATTCACTCGCATTTCCCCCATTTATTTAACCAATCAATCCGGATGATGACTAAGAATAAATCTCTTCAGCTTCTCATCATCCTTTCCGCGGCAATTTCGCTTCTCGGTGAATTGCCGGCGACGGAATCGAGCAATTACAACCACGACTACTCCGACGCCCTGACCAAATGCTTGCTGTTCTTCGAGGGGCAGCGTTCCGGCTACTTGCCGGCGGAGCAGAGGATGAGATGGAGGGGACATTCCGGGCTGGGCGATGGCTGGACGGTCGGCGCGGACCTGACCGGCGGCTACTACGACGCCGGGGACAACGTCAAGTTCGGATTCCCGATGGCCTTCACCACCACAATGCTCGCCTGGAGCGTGATCGAGTTCGGGCGGTACATGCCGCCGCCGGAGATGGAGAATGCGCTGGTGGCGATTAAGTGGGCCACCGATTACCTTCTCAAAACCGTATCTCAGCCCAACCGCATTTTCGTACAGGTTTTCTATACATTACGTAAATTGCTCCATTATCTTTTATCTCTGATTTTTCACGATATCCAGGCGACCCGGTTTCCCGGTCCAATTCATAATTTTTTATATATTTTTAAATGGCCCAATTAATAAATCTTGTTTTTCCAAAACTATTAGTTTTTTTTTTTGAATAATTTTATAACGGAGTTTAAATAAATTTAAAAATATTATATAAACCGAATACTATCATGCTCCCTCCGTTCCACAAAACCCTTTCGGTTTTGATTTTGAGGAAAAATAAGGAAAGTGTAATTTTGGTTGACTTTCCAATTTTGCCTCTGATGTGATGAGAAAAAGTAAGATGTGATAGTTTGGTTATTAGTGAAAAAGTATGATGTGATAGGTAAGGTATGAAAAATTAGGGGTAAAAGTTGTTTTTTAATAGAAAGTGAAAGTGTTTTGTGAAAATCAAAAAAAACGAAAGTGGAAGAGTTTTGTGGAACGGAGGGAGTACTATATATATTGTACAGAGTAATAGATTTAATAATACTAAAAAAACATTTAGAGTGAATGTCAAACCAAATTAAATTGTGTAATGTTTAGGTAAAAAAAAGTGTAATGTTTTGGTTTTAATTCCGTTATGAATTTGGGATGTTCTATGTTTGTTTTAGCCGGTTTAAGTATGTATTGGTGCGGGTAGGTTTTGCCATTTTAACACGAAATAAGTACATAGAGCATTAGAGTGTATTATTGGGAGATACTTTTCTTGTCTCAATTTAATCTTCGCATTTAATTTTTTTTTGTCAAAATTTATAAATATTGATTGCGATATATGGAAAGAATATATTGTGTTTCGATGTAAACGTATTATCAATAGTTTTATATTGAAATGTAGTTTTGAAATATTAATTTTTTTTAATAAAAACATCCATATTAAAATGAGGTAAGGTAATCTTACACAAATTCAATTAGACTAAGATTGTTATACTAATTCAATTAGTATAAGATTGTTAGTTTGTTAATCAATTCAATTGGTGTACCTACGGTGCTTTGATAAAGAAATTGATTGTTTTTATCCTCGTAATCTCTTGTTAAACCCCCAAATAGTGACTCATCCCTGGCACCCGTTCTAATTGCACCAACCAAATTTTGAGCAAAAACTTTTGGATGATACAATTGGAGGAGGTGCAGGGGTGCGCAAAGAACGCGCCCGATATAAGGGATTTGCCGGGAGTTTCGAGGACATTAACAATCAACTTTACAATCAGAGTACCGTAGATATTCCAATTAAATTAGTGTAACAATCTTAGATCAAATACTTATCTTCTATAAAACTATCACTCTTCTATACAAATTTTTTTAGGGCCTAGGGGGGAAAATGCTAGGGGTACACCATTTGGAAATGATGTACCCCAAATGTCCCCCACCCCCTCCATAACCACATAAAAAGGCAAATAAAATTCAAAAAAAATTAAAAAATAAAAACAAAATCAAATAAATAGTAAAGAATGAGGTGGTGTACATTTGGGGTACACCTTTGGTGTACCCCTAGCATCTCCGGCCTAGGGGTAATAGCCGCCCACTAAGGGTGTGTTTAATTTGGTTGAGATCAAACGGGTTAGGTGGGGAATTTTGTCAAAGAATGATGCTATATGCAAGTTGTGCATTTCTTGTTCTTGGGTCTTCACTCCAAACAAACACATTAAATCACGCCCTCCTCACCCTGTTTTCACCTATTGATGGATTTATTCACAATCTCCAAAAGTGAACGGTCAACAATTTAAAACGAATCTCAATTTATAATATTAATTAAATAGAATAAATTATTATTATTATTGCACCAAGGTTCAAGTGACATTGAACCTTGATGTCATGGGATAACCTGGGGGCGCACCGGTGTCCCGTTCGTAAAATTGACGGTTCCTACCCCCAGTAAACCCCCCACCCGGCCCCGGCCCGAACACACACCCCACCCCCTTCAATTGCACCCACAAGTTGATTTTGACTTTGGAGTTAAATTTTGACTCCAAAGTGAAAATCAACTTGTGGGGTGCAATTGAAGGGGGTGGGGGGTGTGTTCGGGCCGGGGTCGGGTGGGGGAGTTTACCGGAGGGTAGGAACTGTCAATTTAACGAACGAGGCACCGGAGCGCCCCCGGATCATCCCATGACATTAAGGTTCAATGTCACTTGAACCTTCCCCTTATTATTGAGTTAATTATATTACATGCTCAATTGTTGATCGGTCACTCATACTTTACACACTACGTCCCATAATTTCTTTCTAGGCTCGTTTACTTATGAATAATATAATGTCTAAATACAGTAATTTCTTGAGTGGTAGCAAGCCCACTCCCCAGGATTCATGGGGAAGTTCACCCAGGTTCGAGCCCCAGCGAAGGCAGTAGCATGTGAAGATACATTAGTGATATGCCACCTGTCCATGCCAGCTGTCCAATTCTCCTAACTAATTGTCCCTACTTTCTAGCTTAGATATTTTTGGTTTGTTAGACTAGATATTTTTGGTTAGTTAGGCACAGCTCAGTATGGTGTGTATATATATACATTGTTTCCTTTTCTCTGGGATGACGGATCAGAATATGAAGTTTGAATAACATTTCCATTTTCTTCTTCCCTGAGTTCTTCTCTGTTCTCTTTTTGTTCACAACTTTAACATGGTATCAGAGCCATGCTTTAATGGCGTTATCATTTCCGATTCAATCTAAATTTGTCAAACCTCGATTCCATTCCTCAGTCCAAATCAAAATCTGATTCGAAGGCATGGGGGAACCAGTGACTCGTTCTTCAATCGATCCACAGAGCGAGCTGTATCTACATCCAACGGAGACATCTAATTTCTCTCTTGCTTCTCAGAAGTTGAATGGCGACAATTATGCACAATGGAAACGATCGGCTGAGATTGCTCTGAGTGCGAGAAACAAGCTTGGATTTGTGGATGGGAGCTCGAAGGCACCAGAATCGAATTCTCCTCTGCTCAATCAGTGGAAGCGATGCAATAATCTGGTAATTTCTTGGATTTTGCACTCAGTTGAACATGGAATTGCAAGTAGCATTTTGTATTATGATACTGCACATGAGATATGGGAGGATTTGGATGAGCGATTCAGTCAGACCAATGCACCTAGACTGTTTCAATTACATAAGGAGATAATTACACTGGTTCAAGGATCGGATTCTGTGAGTGAATACTTTACTAAACTGAAGGGGCTTTGGGACACTTATCTGACTATGGTAACTTTGCCTCACTGTAAATGTGATGGAGCTGAGATCTATTCCAAATTGCTTCAAAATCAACACCTGATGCAGTTCTTAATGGGACTTAATGATTGTTTTAAGATAGCTCAAGGAAATATACTGATAATGAGGCCTCTTCCGATTGTGAATCAAGCATATAAACTGATATCACAAGATGAAGTCCAGAAAGATTACACCACATCCACACCAGTGGTCTCTGAATCCAGTGCTCTGGCATCTATGCATCACACCTCTGGTTCAAATAAGCCTGTGTTTGGTATCACTCCAAGTGGAAAGAAGTCTAAGTTCTTTTGTCAACATTGTAAAGTTTATGGACATAGCCTTGAGAGATGTTTTAAGGTGCATGGATATCCAAAAACTAACAAAGGACACAATGCATCAGTGGAGCAAGGTCCTGGATTGGGAAGAAGAATTGCTGGAAATGTGATATCAGAGAATAGCAAGGAGTCCTATGGCTCTTCTGCAAGTTCAAGCTGCTCTACTGAAGTGCCAATGTCTCTCACCAACAGTCAGTATGACCAGTTGATTGCTTTGTTGAACAAGGAGAATTCACATGACAATGAATATAATGGAGCACCTGGATTTCTGTCATCTCACATGGCTTCAAGTGGTCATTTGGCAGGTATTAGCTGTTGTTTCTTTTCTTCATATAACAATACTGAATGGATCATTGATAGTGGAGCCTCTGATCACATGACACCACATTTGACCAATTTTTCATCATATTCACCACTTTCCAAACCGTGTTCCATTACTATCCCAAATGGCCAGAAAATCAGTGTTATGCACAAAGGGACTGTTACTCTTCAAAATGGAATTGAATTGTCTGAAGTTTTACATGTTCCAGATTTCTATTTCAATCTTCTTTTTGTGCAGAAATTAGTTTCTCAATTATATTGTTCTTTGATCTTTCATCCATCTCATTGCATAATCCAGGATCATGTGAAGAAGAAGACATTGTTGGTTGGTAAACAACATGGTGGCCTGTATTTTGTCCAGCAACATGATGTTTCAACTTCACATGGTTCTTCTCCTTTTTCTGTTTCCTGTATGTCCAAGAGTGAACTGTGGCATTGTAGACTAGGTCATTTGCCTAGTGCTAGCATGAAATATATTGTTTCTGTTCCATGTACTGATTCCTCTAGTTCTTCAATATGTCATGTATGTCCTCAAGCAAGAATGCATAAACTTCCTTTTGTCTCCAGTTCTATAAAAACCACTTCTATCTTTCAAATGTTACATGTTGATATTTGGGGCCCTTACAAAACAGCAACATACAATGGTCATAAATTTTTTGTCACTGTTGTAGATGATTTCTCCAGGATAACCTGGATTCAACTTCTTTCTCATAAATCAAGTGCTTTCACAGCCTTGACAAGTTACATAGCATACATACAAAATCAGTTTAATGTAACTGTTAAGGTCATTCGTTCAGATAATGGCAAAGAGTTTGATGACTCCTCAGCCCAATCTTATTACCAAATTCATGGAATCATACATCAAACCACCTGTGTTGATACACCTCAACAAAATGGGGTTGTAGAAAGAAAGCACAAACACCTCCTTGAAACTGCCCGGGCTTTGTTTTTTCAAGCTCAACTTCCTGCCAAATATTGGGGTGATTGTGTTCTTACAGCTTGCTATTTGATTAACAGATTTCCTCTTTCTATTCTCAATCATAAAACTCCCTATGAAATCATTTTTCAACATCCTCCTACATATGTTCATCTTAGGAGTTTTGGCTGTCTGTGTTTTGCTACAACTTTGTCTTCTCATAGAACAAAATTTGCTCCTAGGGCTCAACCTTGTGTGTTTCTTGGCTATCCTTTTCACAAGAAAGCATATAAACTTCTAAATTTACACACCAGGGAGGTATTTTACAGCAGAAATGTTCAGTTCCATGAGCATTATTTTCCTTTTCATCATTTATCTTCTTCTTCACCTTCACATATTCTTCCCAATTTACCTCTTGATTCTTCCCTTATCTTCTTTCCTTCTACACCTCAATCTTCTTCTGAAGGACAGACTCCCTCCAATGTTCCAAATGATCCCATACTTTCTGACACAACTTCTAATGTCCTTTCTTCAGTTTCTCCTTCACATTCCTCATCTCCAGTTTCCTCTCCTCCACTGAGAATTTCTACCCGTGCCAAACATCCACCTTTATACTTGAAAGAATATCACTGCCCCAGTATCTACAAACCTAAAGCTTTAACCTCCCATTGGTGTCATTTTGTTCATTTAAATGATTTACCTCAGGCTCATCAAGCTTTCCTTACTCACCTTTGTTCCTATACTGATCCAACCTCATATCATGAGGCCTCCACTGATCCTCGATGGATTGTTTCTATGAACAATGAAATAACAGCTTTGCAGGCTAATGAAACTTGGGAGTTTGTGGATCTCTCTCCTGGGAAGAAGGCCATTTGCAGTAAATGGGTTTACAAAGTTAAGCTAAAAGCTTATGGGACTTTGGAACGATTCAAAGCCAGGCTTGTGATCCAAGGGAACCATCAAGGATATGGAGTTGATTTCACTGAGACTTTCTCTCCAGTAGTGAAGATGTCCACTATCAGGTGCATTATTGCCTTGGCTGCTTCAAAACATTGGGAATTATATCAACTTGACATCAATAATGCTTTTTTACATGGAGATTTGGAGGATGAGGTATACATGAAGGTCCCCCTTGGGTTTCCCAATCCTGATGCCAAAGTTTGCCGTCTCAAGAAATCCCTCTATGGCCTTCGTCAAGCAAGTCGACAATGGTTTAGCAAGTTGTCTTCTGCTTTTTATACGCAAGGATATGTTCAATCCAAATCTGATCCAAGTCTGTTTATCAAATCCACACCTAATCACATCACGCTTGCTGCTGTTTATGTTGATGATATCTTGCTTACTGGATCAGATCCTACTGCTATTGCTTCTCTCAAACATTTTCTTGATGACAGTTTTACCATTAAAGATTTAGGTATTGCTCATTACTTCCTTGGTTTTGAGTTAATCTATACTTCAGAAGGGGTTATACTTTCTCAACGAAAGTTCACACAAGAATTGCTTGCTGAACATCATTGTCTACATGATAAACCCTTGAAGACTCCACTTCCTCAGCACACTAAATTTCAAACTGTTTACAGGAGCCTCGTAGGGAAGCTTAATTACCTTACCCACACTAGGCCTGATATTTCCTATTCGGTTCAAGTTCTGAGTCAGTTTATGCAAACTCCAGAAGAAGCCCATATGCAGGGTGCCATTCATCTTCTTCATTACCTACTTAGAACTGTGGACCATGGCATTTTGATGACAGGATCTGACCAACTTTCTCTCCATGCTTTTTCTGATTCTGATTGGGCTTCTTGTCCCTTTTCAAGAAGGTCAGTTACGGGCTACATCATTCTCCTTGGCGGGTCTCCTATCTCTTGGAAATCCAAGAAGCAGAGCACAATTTCTAAGTCATCCTCCGAGGCTGAGTATCGAGCCATGTCCCAGGCTGCTTCTGAAATTACATGGTTGGTGCGTTTGCTTCAAGAATTGCAGATCCCAGATTTAAAACCTGTTACTCTTCATTGTGACAATCAATCAGCTATGCAAATTGCTCGGAATCCTGTGTTTCATGAAAGAACTAAACATATAGAAATTGATTGTCATTTCACTCGAGAAAGAATCCTTGAAGGGCTTATTGATCTTTCTTATTTACCCACTGCTAATCAGCTTGCGGATGTGCTTACCAAGATCCTTCCTGCCGAGCAATTCCAGAAACTTTTATCCAAGCTGGGTATGGTTACTTCCCCACCCAGCTTGCGGGGGGGTGTGAAGATACATCAGTGATATGCCACCTGTCCATGCCAGCTGTCCAATTCTCCTAACTAATTGTCCCTACTTTCTAGCTTAGATATTTTTAGTTTGTTAGACTAGATATTTTTGGTTAGTTAGGCAGCTCAGTATGGTGTGTATATATATACATTGTTTCCTTTTCTCTGGGATGACGGATCAGAATATGAAGTTTGAATAACATTTCCATTTTCTTCTTCCCTGAGTTCTTCTCTGTTCTCTTTCTGTTCACAACTTTAACACAGCATTGACTTTTTGTGCGTCATTAGTTTGAGAATAGTATGAACAGATACTACATTGTAATAGAGTCAATAGCATTTCAAAAAAAAACAGTAATTTCTTTATACTCTATCCGTTCAATGTTTTTTTATCATTTCAGGGTCAATTTTTTTTCATTACGGATCTTAATTGATTATCTAATAAAACTTCAAAATATATTTCAAGTATTATTTGCTTTGTAGAATTTTTTATATAATTTTTATATATGTATCAGGGCCGGGATAATTTTTATTTTTAAGATTTACACCAACTTTCAAATATATTGAGTTGAAAATAACTTTCATTCAATTCACATTCTCTTGAGGGAGTTGACTGTACTTTTGGCATATTTAATGAGAGTGTATATTGTGGTTGACTTTTAATTTTGTGTTTACATGTGATATGTAAAAATAAGATGTGAAAGATAATTAAGAGTGAAATTAGGTAAGAATTATAGGGGTAAAATAGTCTTTATAGAAAGTGAAAGTGTAAAATGAGAAGAGTGAAAAATGAAGATGTAATTATTTTGTATAGTGGAGAGAGTATATACTCCCTAGCTCTGTCCTTAAATCTTTCAATCCTATTTTGGCAATTTTAAAATTTTTGTATTGACTTAACAAAAATATTTTTAATGTGATTGACAAATAGTAGGATGTGATTATATATTAGTGAATTGATATTATATAATGGGTATAGGTAAGTTAAGAATTAATAGGGTTAAAATTAATTTTTTTAATACGGAGTAAAAGAAAAAGAAAACATTTTAAGATAGGAAAAAAGCGAGACTATTAGGGAAGAAAGGAGGACTTCAAAGGAGTATATAAAGAATGGTTTTGCATGCATATATGCAGGTTGGAGATCCGGTACTGGACCATAACTGTTGGGAAAGGCCGGAAGACATGGACACAGCTCGGACTGTGTACGCCGTCGACGCCCCAAACCCGGCATCGGACGTTGCCGGAGAGACTGCTGCCGCTCTGGCGGCTTCTTCCCTAGCATTCCGGCCGTCGGACCCCGCCTATGCGGATACTCTGCTGTCAACAGCCACTCGGGTGTTCACTTTGGCAGACACATACCGCGGTGCTTATAGTGACAATGCTAATATCCGCGACGGCGTTTGCCCCTTCTACTGTGATTTTGATGGATACCAGGCAAGTAATACTCTATGTAGCTCTTAGAAAAACTCAATTCAACCAAAAATTCAAGTTTGTAATTTTAGGCTCGTGAAATGTTTTTATATTGTAACAATCAAGCCCCGTCACGTGTATGTGCTAAGCTCTAACGCTGATGACAAACGGGGTCTACATATATACTAAAAATGATTGATCAATGAATGGCAGGACGAATTGTTGTGGGCAGCAGCATGGCTAAGGAGGGCAACTCAGACTGATACTTACCTAAACTACTTGCACGACAATGCCCAACCCCTTGGCGCAACTGACAATATTATTAACGAATTTGGTTGGGACAACAAGTACGCTGCTCTCAACGTCCTCGTTTCGAAGGTTACCAAAACTTCAAACTTGTGGTTAAAGATTCATGCATAAAAGATTTTTTATATTCTAACATATACGGAGTATATCATAATGTGTTTGAAGTATTCCTGATGTTTTAATGGATATTTATAGGAAGTGTTGGAAGGGAATGTATACTCCCTTCAATCCTATAGAGCCTCCGCAGATAGCTTCATGTGCACGTTGATCCCGGAAACGCCATCTAGCCACGTAGAATACACGCCCGGAGGGCTTATTTACAAGCCTGGAGGCAGCAACCTGCAACATGCGACGTTACTGAGTCTCATGTTGCTGGTTTATGCCTCCTCCTTGGAACGATCTCCCCATTCAACTGTCGTCAGCTGCGGGGGTGCCAGTGTTGGCCCCGCCGTGCTGAGGCAAGTCGCCAAGAGGCAGGTCGACTACATCTTGGGCGACAACCCGAAGGGAATGTCGTACATGGTGGGGTACAGTTACTACTTTCCCCAGAGAATCCACCACCGCGGCTCCTCCCTTCCTTCGGTCAAGGACCACCCGCAGATGATCGCGTGCAAGGAGGGGTCCGCTTACTTCAACTCGTCCAGTCCGAACCCGAACTTGTTGGTCGGGGCGGTCGTGGGTGGCCCCGGAGAGTACGACGAATACGACGACATCCGCGGCGATTTTCAAAAGTCGGAGCCGACGACTTATATCAATGCACCGTTTGTCGGTGCCCTTGCCTACTTCGTCGCTTATCCGAGTTAGCTCGGATAGTACTCCATACAGTATGTATGTATATATCCAGTTCATGATTCAATTGCTGATTGAATAGGGAAATGCTACGTAAACTTCAGGCCGGGAAACCATTAGTTTAAAGAAAGACGATTAGACACCGAGATTCAACTGGGTTGTTGAATCCCTACTATAGTGGGATTCAACTAGGTTGTTGTTGTTGATTAGACACTGAGAGTAATTGTGTATGATACACTAAGGAATGATGTTAAATGTATAAAGAGCCTCTCGTCTTTGATATGTCAAAGAGGGAAGAGTACTATGCATTTACCAAACTTCAAACATATATATCTGTATACTCTACCTTCGGTTTAGTTGTTCAGTTCAGTTACTCTCGGAAAATGTGCAGATGAAAATAACAAAATAAGAATGATGTAGTTTTAATTCTCTAAATAAGATTGTGATGAATGTGTGGTGTCAATGTGGTAGTGGCCGGGTGGAGTCTTGTTGCAGTGCGGTGGTAGACTACATATCAACGGTGGTCAATGCCTGTAACGCCCCGAAATCTGGCCCAAAAGAATTAATTAAATTGTCAGAGCAATTGATTACGAATTGGGCCTAAAAAGGGGTTAAAATTATAATTTGGATTTTAAGCCCAACTTTTATGTCATCTTGTAGGAAATATTTTTGTGATCGCGTCGGTTCAGACGGCTCGCGAATCGGAGTTATGGAACTCAAGTTATGACCATTTAATCAGGTATTTTGGGTCCGAAGCCCAATCCTTTTTGGAATGGGACCATTAAATAAACCTAAACCTATTATCCTCCACACGATTACCTTATCTTCTTCTCCCGTCCTTCTTCGTTCTTCTTCTTCGTTTTCTTCTTCTTCTTCTTCTTCTTCTTCTCCTTCTTCTTCTTTCTTCTTTCTTCTTCTTCTTCTTCGATTTCTTCTTCGTCTTCCCAGCCATCGTCGCCGCCGTGAGCAAGCCGCCGATCGACCTCCGCCTCCTCGCCGCACCACTGCTGCCTTTCCTCGCCGCTGTCCCGTCGCTCACCGCCAGGTCCAGCGCCGCCGACCACGGTTCCTAGTCTTCGAGCCGCGGTCGTCGCCGTCCAACTGGAGCAGCCAGCCGCCGGCGTCGCTGCTCATCGCCGCCGTCGATTGCAGCGCCGCCGAGTTGCAGCGCCGCCGCTGTTTCCTTCGCCAGTAGCCGCCGCCATCATCGCCGACGGGTGTAGCGCCGCCACGCCAAACGGAGGACGTCGCCAAACGCCGGACGTCGCTGTTTCGCCCTCGCCGGAATCGAGAGCCGCCGTCGCCCGAGCTTCCAGCCGGTCGCCGAGCCTCGAGCCGCCGTCGCCCGAGCTTCTATGTTGGCATGCCTGCTAATTCTGCGATTGTGAGGAGTGACCTTGAGATACCTAATGTTGTATCGAATCCGCTAGGACATAGCATGCATCTTCATCACATTTATCATAGGTGTCCGTTGTCCGTGCAAGGGAAGCAGTTCCCTGCAGATTTGATAGAGCTACCACACAAGGAGTTTGACATTATCCTTGGTATGGATTGGCTCACCGAGCATAGAGCAGTGGTCGACTGCAGTTGTCGGACCGTACGGCTGAGAGCCGAGGATGGTAGCGACGTATCACTCTCCAGGGAGGTGTTCCCCAAGGCTCCCGAGTTCATATCGTCCTTGAGCGCGAGGCGCTTGATTCGCAAGAAGTGCGAGATGTTCCTGTGTCACGTTCAGGATATGCGAAAAGAATCACCACGTCAGCAGGACATTCGTACGGTTTGCGACTTCCCCGATGTCTTTCCCGAAGACCTACCTGGTTTGCCTCCGCCGAGAGAGGTAGAGTTCTCGATCAATCTCATTCCGGGTACGGAACCCATATCTGCTACACCGTATCGTATAGCACCTGCCGAGATGAAGGANGGACGGTAGCGACGTATCACTCTCCGGGGAGGTGTTCCCCAAGGCTCCCGAGTTCATATCGTCCTTGAGCGCGAGGCGCTTGATTCGCAAGAAGTGCGAGATGTTCCTGTGTCACGTTCAGGATATGCGAAAAGAATCACCACGTCAGCAGGACATTCGTACGGTTTGCGACTTCCCCGATGTCTTTCCCGAAGACCTACCTGGTTTGCCTCCGCCGAGAGAGGTAGAGTTCTCGATCAATCTCATTCCGGGTACGGAACCCATATCTGCTACACCGTATTGTATAGCACCTGCCGAGATGAAGGAGTTGAAGGCTCAGTTGCAAGAGCTACTGGAAAAGGGATTCATCCGACCTAGCGTTTCCCCATGGGGAGCACCGGTGTTATTTGTTCGGAAGAAAGATGGATCCATGAGACTTTGCATCGACTACAGGCAGTTGAACAAAGCCACAGTGAAGAATCGTTATCCATTGCCTCGCATCGACGACCTGTTTGACCAGCTCAGAGGAGCTACAGTATTCTCAAAGATTGATCTGCGTTCTGGATACCATCAGATTTCCGTTAAGAGAGAAGACATTCCGAAGACTGCTTTTAAAACACGCTATGGGCATTATGAGTTCTCAGTCATGCCTTTCGGATTGACTAATGCCCCGGCAGTGTTCATGGAGCTTATGAACAGTGTGTTCCGACCATACTTGGACCAGTTCGTAGTAGTGTTCATCGATGACATCTTGGTTTATTCACGAACTCAGGAGGAGCATGCTAGACATTTGCAATTGGTTTTGAGTGTGTTGAGAGAACACAAGCTGTATGCAAAATTGTCTAAGTGTGAATTCTGGTTGAGTGAGGTGACATTCTTAGGACACATTATCTCTGCCACCGGTATCCAGGTAGACCCCAACAAGATTTCAGCCATAGTGGATTGGAAGACTCCGAGGAATGTTCGTGAGGTGAGGAGCTTCCTTGGGTTAGCCGGTTACTATCGTCGATTTGTTAAGGGCTTCGCCTCGATCGCTACTCCGTTGAACAAGCTACTGCGTAAGGACATCAAATTTGAGTGGACAGAAGCGTGCCAGCGCAGTTTTGATCAACTGAAGGAGTGCCTGACCCAGGCACCAGTCTTGATTGAACCTACTCCTGGCATCGAGTATACCATCTATAGTGACGCATCGCATAACGGCTTAGGTTGTGTACTGATGCAGTTGAGTAAGGTAGTGGCCTACGCATCGAGACAGTTGAAGACTCACGAGGAGAACTACCCGACACATGATTTAGAGTTGGCAGCCGTGGTGTTCGCCTTGAAGATTTGGCGCCACTACATCTTTGGAGAGAGGATTCACATCTTCACCGACCACAAGAGTTTGAGGTACCTACTCACCAGAAGGAACTGAATCTTAGACAACGCCGATGGTTGGAGCTGATCAAGGATTACGATTTAGTCATTGAGTATCACCCGGGCAAGGCTAACATCGTGGCCGATGCTTTGAGCAGAAAATCGTTAGCCGAGCTACAGCTTCAGTCCCCGTTAGAGCAGGAGATCCGTACAGCACAGAGAGGTGATGAGTTTTGTCAGAGGACTCGAGAGTTAGTTCCTACAGGAAAGAGGCCCGAGTTTGCAATTCGCGATGACGGAGTCTTGTACTATCGTGAACGCCTAGTGGTGCCCCGCGGTGGAGTGAGGGATCGCTTGTTGCGTGAGGCTCACGGAACCGTATACACTATGCACCCGGGTAGTAACAAGATGTATCAGGATTTGAAGAAATCCTATTGGTGGCCAGCTATGAAAAAGGAAATCTCCGAGTTCACTGCGCGCTGTTTGACTTGTCAGCAAGTCAAGGCTGAGCACCAGGTTCCGACAGGATTGCTGCACCCTCCTACCATTCTGGAATGGAAGTGGGAAAGGATCACTATGGACTTTGTGATAGGATTGCCACGATCTTCACGAAAGAATGACGCCATCTGGGTCATTGTTGACAGGTTGACGAAGTTCGCTCATTTTCTACCCGTCAGACGTGACTCTTCCTTGGACAAATTGGCAGACTTATACGTTAGAGAGATAGTTCGGTTGCACGGTGCACCGCTGTCAATCATATCTGATAGAGATCCCCGGTTCACTTCGAAGTTCTGGAGAGGACTTCAGAAGGCTTTTGGCACAGCTTTGAACCTTAGTACGGCATTTCACCCTCAGACCGATGGCCAGTCTGAGAGGGTGATACA